TAGCGATCATGGGAGAACGTTAATAACGTTTTCGCGTTATTAGGGATCACGGGAGAACCTTAATATCGTTTTCGCGTTATTAGCGATCACGGGAGAACGTTAATAACGTTTTCGCGTTGTTAGCGATCACGGGAGAACGATAATAACTTTTTCCCCTAATTAGCGATCAATGGATAACCTTAATAACGTTTCCGCGTTATTAGCGATCACGGGGGAACGTTAATAAAGTTTTCGCGTTATTAGAAATCACTGGAGAACCTTAATAACGTTTTTGCGTTACTAGCGATAACGGGAAAACCTTAATAACGATTTCGCGTTATTAGCGATCACTGGAAAACCTTAATAACGTGTTCGTCTAAATAGCGATCACGGAAGAACCTTAATAACGTTTTCGCTTTATTAGCGATCACGGGAGAACCTAAATAACGTTTTCGCGTTATTAGCGATCACGGGAGAACGTTAATAACGTTTTCGCGTTATTTTCGATCACGGGAGAACCTTAATATCGTTTTCGCGTTATTAGCGATAACGAAGACTGCAGCGCATGCGAGAAGACTCCCAATGACGCGCGGACGCAATCACGCATGCGCGTAGACTCCCAATCACGTGAGAGGGTTGACGCGAACGCGGGATGAATCCCAATCACCTCCAAAGACTGCCATGCATGCCCGAAGATTCCCAATGACGCGCGAAAGCTGCCACTCATGCGCGAAGACTCCCTGTCACGTGCGAAGACTGCCCCGCATGCGCGAAGACTACCATTCACGTGCGAAGACTGCCGCGCATGCGAGAAGACTCCCAATCACGTGCGAAGACTGCAGCGCACGCGCGAAGACTCCCAATCACGGGCGAAGACTGCCGCGCATGCGAAAAAACTCTCAGTGACGCACGATGGCAATCACGCATGCGCGAAGACTCCAAATCACGTGAGAAGGTTGCCGCGTAACCGGGAAGACTCCCTGTGACGCGCGAAGGCTATCACGCTTGCGCGAAGACTCCCAATCACGTGAGAAGGTTACTGCATACGCGGGAAGGCTCCCAGCTACGCGCGAAGACTATCACGCACGCGCGAAGACTCCCAATCACGTGCGAAGACTGCAGCGCACGCGCGAAGACTCCCAATCATGTACGAAGACTGCCGCGCATGCGAGAAGACTCTCAATCACGTACGAAGACTTCCGCGCATGTGAGAAGACTCCCAATCACCTGAGAAGGCTGCCGCGCATGCGAGTAGACTCCCAATGACGCGCGAAGGCTATCACGTATTCGCGAAGACTCCCAATCACGTGCGTAGACTGCCAATCATGCGCGATGGCACCCAATCACGCGGGAAGGTTGCCGCGCACGCAGGAAGACACCCAATCACGCGGGGAGGCTGCCGCGCACGCGCGATGACTCCTAATCACGTGCGAAGACTGCCGCACATGCGAGAAGACTCCCAATCACGTGAGAAGTCTGCCGCTCACGCGCGAAGACTCCCAATCACGTGCGAAGTCTGCCACGTATGCGCGAAGACTTCCAATTACGTGCGAAGTCTGCCACGTATGCGCGAAGACTTCCAATAACGTGAGAAGGCTGCCACGCACGCGCGAAGACTCCCAATCCCGTGCGAAGACTGCCACGCATGCGCGAAAACTCCCAATCACGTGAGAAGGCTGCCGCTCACGCTCGAAGACTCCCAATCACGTGCGAAGACTGCCACGTATGCGCGAAGACTTCCAATCACGTGCGAAGGTTGCCGCGCATGCGCGATGACTTCCAATCACGTGAGAAGGCTGCCACGCACGCGCGAAGACTCCCAATCCCGTGCGAAGACTGCCACGCATGCGCGAAAACTCCCAATCACGTGAGAAGGCTGCCGCTCACGCTCGAAGACTCCCAATCACGTGCGAAGACTGCCACGTATGCGCGAAGACTCCCAATCACGTGCGAAGGTTGCCGCGCATGCGCGATGACTTCCAATCACGTGAGAAGGCTGCCGAGCACGCGTGAAGACTCCCAATCACGTGGAAGACTGCCGCGCATGCGAGAAGACTCCCAATGACGCGCGAAGGCTATCTCGCATGCGCGAAGACTCCCAATCACACGGGAAGGGCGCACGCGCGACGGCTCCCAATCACGTGCGAAGACTGCCACGCATGCGCAAAGACTCCCAATCACGTGCGAAGACTGCAGCGCATGCGAGAAGACTTCCAATGACGCGCGAAGGCTATCACGCATGCGCGAAGACTCCCAATCACGTGCGAAGACTGCACGCACACGCGAAGACTCCCAATCACGTGAAAAGGCTGCCGCGTACGCGGGAAGACTCCCAATCACGCGCGAAGGCTATCACGTATGCGCGATGACTTCCAAACACGTGAGAAGGCTGCCGCGCACGCGCGAAGACTCCCAATCACGTGCGAAGACTGCCACGCATGCGCGAAGACTCCCAATCACTTTCGAAGTCTGCAGCGCGTGCGAGAAGACTCCCAATGACGCGCAATGGCTCTCACGCATGCGCGAAAACTCCCAATCACGTGAGATGGCTGCCGCGTACGCGGAAAGACTCACAATCACACGGAAAGGCTGCCGCGCATGCGCGAAGTCTCCCAATCACGTGAAAAGGCTGCCGCGTACGCGGAAAGACTCCCAATCACGCGGGAAGGCTCTCGCGCACGCGCGGAGACTCCCAATCACGTGCGTTGATTGCCGCGTACGCGGGAAGACTCCCAATCACGCGGGAAGGCTGCCGCGCACTCGCGAAGACTCCCAATCACGTGCGAAGACTGCCGCGCATGCGAGAAGACTCCCAGTGACGCGGGAAGGCTGCCGCGCACGCGCGAAGACTCCCAATCACGTGAGAAGGCTGCCGTGCACGCGCGAAGTCTCCCAATCACGCGCGGAAGCTGCCACGCATGCGCGAGGACTCCCAATCGCTTGAGAAGGCTGCCGCGCATCCGCGAAGACACCCAATCACGCGGGAAGGCTGCCGCGCAAGCGCGAAGACTCCCAATGACACGCGAAGTATATCACGCATGCGCGAAGACTCCCAATCACGTGAGAAGTCTTCCGAGAACGCGGGAAGACTCCCAATGACACGGGAAGGCTGCCGCGCACGCGCGAAGACTACCAATCACGTGCAAAGACTGCCACTCATGCGCGAAGTCACTCAATCACGCGGGAAGGCTTCCGCGCACGCGCGAAGAGTCCCAATCACGTGCGAAGACTGCCACACATGCGCGAAGACACCCAATCACGCGGGAAGGCTGCCGCGCACGCGCGAAGACATCCAATCAGGTGCGAGAACTGCCGCGCATGCGCCCAGACTCCCAATCCGGCGCAAAAACTGCGCACACGCGCGAAGCCTGCCGCGCACGCGCGAAGACTGCCGCGCATGCGCTATGCCTGCCGCGCACACGCGAAGTCTCCCAATCAAGCGCGAGAACTGCCGCGCATGAGCCAAGACTCCCAATCAGGCGCGAGGACTGCCGCGTATGCTTGAAGACTCCCAATCAGGCGCGAGGACTTCTCTAGCGCCGCTCATGGTATGCTAATCGATCCATGCGATTTGTTCTGGAAACATTTGTTCTAATTTCGCGGTCAGGTTTTCATTTCATGTTCAGTGTTCCTTGCGCGAAGGCCCTCGCGCGTGCGCAGAAGGTTGCGCATTTTCAAAAATACTTCCGCGCGTTAGCAGTAGTACATGGACTCAGCAAAAACTTCCGTGCCTGCGCAGATGGTCGCGCATGCGGCATAAAACTTTCGCGCATGCGCAGAAAGTTGCTAAACTTTGTTTTGTATAAATAATAGAAAATATAAGATAAAATCACATAAATTATGTAAATTAGTGTTTTATTTTATGTTTTGTATTTACATACGTCTTCATTGCTACACTTCAACTACTTTTTAAAGCTGCTTTTTCATTAATATCATTATTATCATTGTATTTTCTTTTTAAAGAAAAGTGTATTCTTGTTACTACAAAGTTTTTTATAAGCTTAAAAATTATATTATGACATGACGGAATACGTGTTGAACTCTCTTTTAACAATATGTTTACAAATTCAGTAATTTTTAATTTATGAAGAATTAAATTATTTTCATTTCTTCTGAATAATAATTCACACTTATAGATTAGCTTATATATCCATAGTTGGAAAAAATAGTAGATTTTCCTTATGTTCTCTTAATCTAGTGTACAATTTTAAATTATTATTAGAATTATTATTCGTTCATATTATTTAGATCAGGCACAAGACTATAAAAACAATGATCGCAATGTTCTTGATTTTTTTAAGTTTTGGATAATATAGCACCTATTAAATAATATAACGCTGCTTGTGAGACATCACTCAAATCTATTTCGTTTTCAAGTAATGGATTATATATTCTGGGCGTGTTCCTAAATTCACTACCAGCGTTGAAAATCTATGGGTCTGTTCTTTTCAGCTGCACTGCTGCACTAGTGCTATTAGTTAGAGTGAAAGAAAGCATGTTTTTCTCTTTCTAATTTGTACTAATGCAGCAGTGCAGCTGAAGAGAATAGACCCAGTAGTTCACGTTACGTATATTATATATTTTCAGCGCTGGCAATGAATTTTGGAACATAGGCTCTATCACACACAACCCGTATAAAGCTTTGTTATTGCGGTTAGTATCAGAGTAGGTTAGTAATCCTTATTTCCTCCAATCGAGAACAATGTATTGCGGTACTTTATTATTTAGTGACTTTAGAACTCATCTGCTCTAACCGCCATCTTACTTGTGATCCAAATGCTCTCTGGAGTACACTGCGCGACAACGATTCGTTCGCGGGTCCCTCTCGCGTGGCAAGGGGAGCGTAGCTTCTAACCAATCAGCTTTTGTCACGCTGCCAGCTGATTGGTCACTTCTACGCTCCCTTTGCCCCGCGAGAGTGCGGTCGTTGAACGAATCGTTGTCGCGCAGTGTACACTGCGCGACAACGATTCGTTCCTTGACCCTCTCTCGCGGGGCAAGGGGAGCGTAGAAGTGACCAATTAGCTGGCAGCGTGGCAATGGCTGATTGGTTAGAAGCTACGCTCCCCTTACCTCGCGAGAGGAACCACGGAACGAATCGTTGTCGCGCAGTGTACATTCGATCATGCGACGCGAACAAACCTGTGGTCAAACGTGATACTTCCATACCTATGGCAGAGAGTTTGAAATACTTATCGATTTTATAACCTCAAACGTGTGATTAAATTTTATGGTTTATATACATATATATTGTGATTAATATAATATCTGTCACGCATTTAATATGACTAAAAATCATAAGCATTCGAAACGTTTAAAATCAGAAAAGGCAAAAATAAAATTAAAGAGTAAAAAATCCATCAGCCAACTACCAAAGGGCTTAAACATTACTGATGCATCATTTAAAATAAAGAAAATTTTAATACGTGAACAATTACAACATCGAGATGAAACAGAAGTTCTCAGCACTCACAAACTCAATATTAAAGTATGTAATGAAATGTCTATAACTACTATGTGTTAGATATTATTTAATCTATTTAACGCGCTAGAAATATACAAGTCCGACATTTGTATATCTTTGGATGAACAAAAATTGTATTATTTAACTTATATTTTCAGGATCTCTTGACGCGACTTCGGCATCATAATTCGACAATAAGAGAAGAAACTTTAAGACAACTAAAAGACATCTTGTTACGATATCCTCCGAAAATTCTGCATTCACAATTGAATTCTTTATTACGCGGGGTGGCGGCTTTATCTCTTGATAGAGAGAAAGATGTACGAAGAGATTCGTTACATGCATTGAATTTAATTCTTGGCCCTATCTCAAACGAGCAAATAACACCCTATTGTAATATTTTAATTTCTTATTTAAGCTGTGCCATGACGCATATTGATTCGCGTATAAAAGAGGATTCTTTACTTTTCTTGGATGTACTTATGGAAAATTGTGGTAGTGTATTAGCAAAGGACGGCCATAAAATTTTACCCAATTTTTTGGGAATGATATGTAGATTACATAGTGAAATTAAACCTGGCAGACAATTAACAACGACTTTAAATTCTAAAAGTACAAATATTAAATGGACGATTAAGATCATGAAACGTATGGCAAATGTATTTACCTCTGTAGTAAACTATGAAAAGCATTGTACAAATGTACACTTGAATGCTCCTTTAACAATGCTTATAGAGTCAAAGAGATATACTAAATATGTTCCGATTTATAGCAGTAGTCCAGCTCAAATTTGCAAAATTGATCTTGACAAAGATCTAAGCTCAGAAAAGAGTTATGCAGAAGAAACTTTCTCTATAGAAGAATTCATAAAATATGTAGATTTATTGATGCCATTAATATTTGACATTTGGTTCGAAGTATATCCAAATGAAAGAATTGAAAATTACACAGAAACCATAATTTCCAGTGAAGCGGCTATGTTATTGAAAAGTATCATTGAAATTCTAGACTCTATTATCGAGTACATAGAAATATCGGCTCGCGATGATTATGACGCTGAGCATATAAAATATTGGTTCAAAGATACATTTCATGATGGATATATGAAGAATTTTTTATCGAGATTTCCATACAGCCAAATGAAACCGCCCATTAATGAATCCAGAAAACATCAAGAAGATTTTTCTCAAACTGCATTTACCAAAGGATGTTTAGAACAAAACTTGGCGCTTTCTCGGATTCATGTATGGTTTACATCTCTGAATAATTACAATAAACAGCTTCCTAAGCCTGTTAAAGACCATTGTATTTCTATTATGAAATATTTAAATGGTAAAAATTAATTTTTTATATAATTATCATCTTTCCTGTACAAAATTTTAATATTTCTCTTTTACAGATACAATTGAAAATTGGTGCGATTTATCCGCATTATTACAATTAACTAAACTTCTAAAAACTTTATATTTGAAAGCAAGTTCTGTTTGGTATGCAAACTGTATTGATTTAAGTCATACATTGCAATTGATTATAGAAGCATCTTCTCGGTCATCTAATAGGGAACTACAATCACAATTATCTCTGATTATTGGTGATGTTATGTTAGAATGTAATTTAAATTTGCTACATAGGTAATTATTTTAAATAGAAAATATAGTAAGAATTTAGTTTCTATCATGTTTCTGCAAAAATCTCTTATATTTAATGTGGCATTCTGATGTATAATTAATAAGTTCTCCATTATTTTTTTTTTTTTTGTTTGATAGAGAAGAAATATTCAAAAATTTTGTTACAACTTTACCGAGCTTACTTCTAAGACGAAGCATAGATGATGTCACAATTCGAATGATTAGTCAGATAACTCTACGTTTTAAGGAATGGATACAAAAAGAATTAATAACAAAACACAAGGCTATTATTGGTGAGTAGTTACATGAAAATGATTAAGAATAAATTACATATATATTGTCACATTATAATTAACATATTCATAATTTATTTTTTCAGAAAATGCAAAAAGAATTGATATTATAGGTTCGCACAATGATAAAGAGTCTAGACTTATAATCTGTAATTTATATTACTTTATGGATTCATAAGTTTACTATTAAATAATACTATTAAAACAACTCGATTAATTTGTTTAAATACAAGATGAAATATATATTTTTTAAATAAATCTTAATAAATCTAATGACATTATATGAGAATAATATATCAGGTTCATATATTTTCTATGCACATATCCTACTTTGTACTTTGCATAAGATAATAATATATATAATGTAACTTACAAACATATTAAATATATTGTAGTGTTAAAATGAAACTAATATAAGTAAAAAGAAGAAAAATATTTTTAATAGTAGTTTAAATGTGATCTATGAACGTCTTTTAAAACAAGAGTACATATAAAACCATGTCAATACACATACATACATACATATGTGTGTGTATCGCACCATATGATATTCGAAGAAGATAGCTTGAGCTTTTGGAAAAAAACTTCATATGTATCTTTGTTTTAAAAAAGACATTCATAGACGCGATAACATCTAAACTACCGTTGAAAAAATTTTTCCCTTTTTTATTTATATTTATTTCATTTTAACAAATATATATAAAATATATATTTCGCAATGCGTTCATTTATGCGAATATATAAAGAGTATGCAATGCTCCAATATCATATATCTGCATGTATATATACATTATATTACGTTAATACTGTGAGTTTGATGGTTAGATTAAAAAGTACCTATACTCGAAAATAAACATCTTATATATATGATACTTGATCATGTTCAAAACCAAGATTTTCAACACCGTTTTTCTCGCTGATCTCTTTACGTGGTAACTGGATCGAGTTGCTAAATTCATTCGCCATTCGATTATTCTTAATATTGATCGGACAATGATTGTTGCGTGTAATATTCGTGATATTTTGTTCATTTTCCTTTCGTAAAATAGATGATATTGGAAGCTGTTCTCCGAATTTAGGCCAATTTTCACAATTCTTCAATTCATATTCTATTTTTAAATATCGTTTTTTCGATTTGTTCGGCTTGTGCATTCTTCTCTTTAAAGTATTCTCGATTATGCGCTCTATTATAATGCTTTCGACGAAATAACAAATGAGAAAATTGGCTACAGCGAGCACTAAGATGATGAATCTCCAGTCGTAAATGGGTGGTAACATTAATTGTAACGCACCCTCTATCCATTGTGCCGGATAAACCGTAATATACACGCATATGAGCGTTAATAAACATATAGAAGATATAAATGCACTGTTCGTGTAGATCGGGCGTCTATATGGTTTTCCGCGTGAAAATATAATTGCTATCGTGATGTATTGAAACATAGAAACGCAGTAGACTGAATAGTTTTCGTAACACCCGTATGGATTATCGCTATGAGGTACAAACGGTGTAAACCACGGAAACTGTCGAACAGCATAATATGCTATCACTTGAAAAACCATAATGATGAATATGTGTAGCGTTAGAGATAAAAGGGGTGTAAAGCCTATCAGGCTTGTCATCGGCGTTATTTTGGATAACTTCTTTTTATATGCATGAGTTTTGCCGAAAAAGAAGGCAAAATTAACGATTAAACAAATATCAATAAATAGAAATTGGAAATCTGTTAAATTTGAGTCTATGGAGTATAGTATTATAACGGATAGAAATTCGGTAAGGGAATATGCTATCATAAATTTAAAAATTCCAAACGACGTGACCAAGGCGGCGCGCCCTTCTCGTATGACTTTTGGGACACAGCTTATATCGGATACTTTTGAAGTAAAAGGACTAGCCACGCTGCAAATGAATAACGAAAATGAAAGAAGATAATTTATAGAAAATATCATAGCAAATCACGCATATATTTCTCACCTGGATTCTGCTTCGGAGAGCGATATACCAACATGCGCGGTCCTTAATGCTCCACAATCATTAGCACCATCTCCGCACATGACTATAAAAGCATAGCGTAAAATAGTACAATAATACAATGACGAATATCATTTTTACATTTCCATTCCACCTATATTCTTTTTCTAATTTGATTTACGTACCTACGTAATAACCGAGTCGCATAAGCTCCATAATCAATTGCTGCTTCTGATCGCTATTCATTCTAGCAAATATTGTACCGCGCACGCAAATACGATCTACAAGATCGGGATAATGTTCCCGCAGCACTTGCCATGTTTGGCCCGTTAAGGCAAATCTATAATTACAATTAACCATACCGTGTTCTACATCTTGGATCGTTGGCGTTGCGAACACTTGATCTCGCGAATTCTGTAAAAAAGAATTGAAATATATCATTAATCATCGAAAAAGAATGGAAATAATCGTCGCATTTCGTATCAAAACCGCTCTCTAATTCAAGATTCAATAACTTTACCAATCTTGAAGATTGAGACTGAAGATTGAGATTGAAAAATATCTTTGGGCGATCCTTCTCTTCTCCCATCGAAGTTACATCTACAACCACTTCCTCCATCGAAAGTATTCCACACTCTTTCGCGACACTTATTGCAGTTTGGATATTATCTCCTATATCAAAATATTAAAAATAAAACCTATTAAATTTGATTGTGAATATATAATATCGCGTGAAGAAGAAAAATTTGTAAAATATTATTTTATCAAACCTGTAATCATCACTATGCGTATGTTGGCTTCTTTTAATTCCGTAATCACTGATGCTGTCGGTTGTTTTAATCGGTTTTCCAGAACAACTAGTCCCAAAAACTCCAACTCTCGCTCAACCGCTTCTCGAGATAATTTCGATATCTGGAACATACATACTTATATATGTACATATGTGTGTGTGTGTTATATAATACACACACACACACACACACATATATATACACATATATATTACTCGAGAGATATCCCATCTTTGAGAATTATGCACATTTATGTGCGTTGATACATGATACATTACCTCTGCGCTATTTTCAGAGATCGTTCGACAACCCACAGCTATTACACGGTATCCCTGTCTTGTGTATCGCTCCAAAACAAGAGAAATATCGTTGGGTACGGTTTCCGTTTTGCTTAAATTGATTATCATTTCGGGAGAGCCTTTCGTGTAAGCTTTAAAATCATCCGATCCTAATACACGTACAATCACGGACATTCGTTGTAAAGAACTCAAGAATTGATATTGTTGTATTATACCAATTTCCGAGATCTCTTCATTTATATTTTCTGTAAAATTACTCTCCGGCAACTTTACAATCACTGGTGCTATAGCGTTGTATTTATTTACGTCTATGCAATCCGATTCTTTTAATATCCATTTAGTACTTTCGAACATCTACGAGACGTAATAATATCATTACATTGAGATATCGAGTAGTCATAGAACAAATAGAAATAGAACGAATTTTACCTTTATATCCAAAGGATCTCCGCAAAGTTCTCCATCGATAAGTGTTAAGCTATGACAAACTAGCATCCCTTTGAAAAGAGGATGATCTTTGAGTTTGGATATATTCGTTTCGGCCTCACCGAGGACACCGTTTGTACATGGTACAACACCCCACATATCCAATCCATCCTCGGTTAATGTTCCTGTCTATGGGATCGAAGTGAAAAAAATGAGAGAACTTATGCTATTGTTAACATTGTATACAATATCTATCGATTGCATATCGATCTGCCTTGCACGACAATTACGACATAATCTACTTCTCATTTTCCCATCTCCCCCGTCCCCTTCCCCCCCCCCCCTCTCTCTCTCTCTCTCTCTCTCTCTCTCTCTCTCTGTCTATCTATACATTTATCTACATATTTTTTTCTCACCTTATCAAAACATGCGCAATTTACACTGCCAGAAACATTTATGACTTTATTATTAATGCAATAGATTCGCTCATGTTTCAATCTAGCTTGAGCATACAGCTTTCCTACAGTCATCGCGGCTGGTAATGCCGGTGGTATGACTATCGTGATAATATCTAACGCTTTTATCGTTACATCGCTAGCTATAATTCCTCTCGAAACCTATATAAATTATTATATTTATCATTATATTAATAATTATTGATACCTTTTAATTTTAAGCAAATTAAATAGATAAATATACATGTAAAAGAATTGAAAGAAAAAGGATAAAAAAATATTTATGCACATTCATTCATTTCAAAATAAAAGAATTACCTTGGTTATTACGGTGTATATAACAGCCAATATTGCAATGAATGCCAAAATGCCAATAAATTTATACGAATCTTTATCAAATTTGAAATCTGCTGGAGGTGGATATAATATAGCGGCGATTAAACCACCTCTGTTAGTTAGAAAACCAGTTCTGATCACTCTTGCCAGAGCTGGTCGATCTCCGTGATATCTACGTGTAAATCATTTATTAGTTATCGTGTATTCAATATATTATAGTCGTTTTATTGAGAATTAAAAAAATAGTATACTTAGTTTGTATTATAGTGGTACCACTGTATAATGTATGATGCGTAAACTCTTTAGCATCGTATAATACGTGACGAGATGGTAATGATGTTTTTCTTACTGGTACAGACTCGCCTAAAGTTGTTAAAATGATAAATTTCTACTTGTATATAAAAGAAAAGGAGAGCTTATTAGGAGAGGAAGATGTATTTGTTAATTTTACCTGTTAGCATGGATTCGTTTAGTATGCATTGTCCCGTTAATAAGACTGCGTCGCATATGAGAGTCGCTTGATGCTTTGGTAATTCTATGACATCACCGGGCACTAATTCCTTGCTAGAAATATTCTCAAAAATGCCAGTATTTCGAAGTACGCGTACATGCACATTCTCTGAAGATGCAATAGTACCCCGTAAATTCAATTGATTCTAAAAGTCAACGATGATTGTATAATTTTGTGTGTTATACGAGATGTAATGTTATACATAATGTTTTCTGTTCTTATACGTTACACACACACAAACATATATATATATATATATATATATATGTGTGTGTGTGTGTGTGTGTGTGTGTGTGTGTGTGTGTACACACATACCTTTCGTGTTTGAATTATTGTGCTTGTTATGCCAAATAGTGACATTAATATTATCGCAATAGTGTAATAATAATAACCTTCTGCAAGCCATAGAGCCACGGTAAATACTTGAAAAATATAAAATGGATTTAAAACTTCCAACAATAATAATACACCGATACTCTGAAGTTCTATAACGATGTCATTATTTCCGTATACAATGCGCCTGTAATTAAAGTGGGACATTCTTGAAAATAGCTCCATTTTCAATTATCAAATGAACGTATGTACATTAACAAATGTTAAATAAAATTAAAGTAAATTACAATAAATTAAACTAATTAATTAAATTAAGCATTCAACGTTATCTAAAAAAATCACCTAAGCAATTGCTCTTCCTTGGACAGACCATTACTACATGAGAGATGAAAATTGGAACACAATGTACCATTATCAAGTCCTACGAGTCTCGAAAATGCATGTTTTGTAGCGTCCCAGATATAACATTTCTTTTTGCACCAGAAAGCTTTATATTCATAAATTTCACAACATGTGCCGTTTTCCAAATTGATTTTCAATTTCTTGTCCTTGATTTTCTCTACAAGATCTTGATCAATAATAGTGGCCGCAAAACTTTGCGCACTAAAAGTGCATAGCAATAGAATTAACAAGTTTTCTTTAATTGGCATTTCATTCTATATTAAGAAAGAGAAATAGATAATTTAAAAGGGAAACAATATTTTATCAATGAGGGCACAAAAATGCATTTTGCATGAAATTGAATTTCTATTACGCACACCTCTATATATAAAGAAATTTGTCAAATTTTAATCAATTGTATTCTCTCTCTAGATAATATATTATATGTATATTATAACATGTATATGTATATAATATTATCGTATTAATATATATATAATATTATCGTATTTTAATGATCATACACACAAAATGATTCATAAATGCACAGAGGGTGAATAAGACACACTAAAATAATTACAAAATATTATTTGAACGTTGATTGCATGTACATACTATAGTTTTTGAATTACAGAAGATTAAAGAAATGATCAAGTATTTGACTTTTATTTCAATACACGCTATAGTACTCCTTAATGAGTTCTTTGCTCTGTCGAAAATACCAAGTGTTATTCTAATAGTATCGAATCCATGTCGTATCTCTGTTTTGCAGATCATTGTGTAATACGACGAAATTTTAAATAACCTTAAAAATCCCTTCTGATGAGTAGATTTAAATAAAAAAATCACGGTAGCCATGCTATAAGTGCACTTACATTAGCTTACATGCTATCCATCATCTAAGGAAAAATTGTTTAAAATGTTTGAATTGCAAAGATCGCTCATTAAGTCGACTATTTTATTTATTCTTTTATAAAACTCAAAAACTGTAATATATGAGATTTATATTCAAATAATATTTTTACTTATTTTGCATATACATACATGCATTCATTTTTTAAGTTTACCGCACATATATTTATGAATCACTTATACTACATTATATTATTCTTTTAATCACGTATACTACATTATATTATACTTTTTAATATCATATTGATCTTACCTTAGATCTTTAGTAGAAATTTTTTTAACATCTCGTACAAAGTATGATTTGTATTCTCCTTGATAGTCATCCTATGTTTATTTGTTATTATCATTATTATTATTAATATTCTCTCTCTCTCTCTCTCTCTCTCTCTCTCTCTCTCTCTCTCTCTCTCTCTCTCTCTCTCTCGCTCTCTCTCCCTCTCTCTCCCTTCTCATCCTCCTATTATTACTATTATTATTATTATTTTTACTGTTACATTATTTATAAAAATTTTATTACAAAAATTCAATTGGTAATAGTGATTATGACAATGATTATTTATAGTTACTAATATATTATAATAATAATAAATGAGAAAACTTACTATTACAAGTATTTTTGTTGCACGATTTAAAGTACATTTTCGATGAGTTGCATACAAATGCAGTCGAGGATACCAATGAAATAATAATCTGATCCATCCAATAGATAATATGTACAATACATATGTTATAATAGTTTTCAATAAACTCTTCTCAAACCCATAAATATACTAAAATAAATATACTAAATAAATATACTAAAATAAATATACTAAAATAACGTATTGCATATGCAATAAAAACAATTCAATAATTAGCACCAACAATAAATTTAATGCTTATAAAGGAGATAGCAGTATATACCAGATATTCATTTTGATCAGAGTGAATTTTCTGCCATAAAACATCCGACTTTGCGTTGTTCTTCACTTCTAAAAATGAAATAAACTAATAATATTATACTTGAAATATATTTCAACGTTTTGAAATGAAAAATCTATATCCCACAATGATATGCGAGATATTTTGCTTTATCTACTTTGATAGAATAATAAATAAATTTAAATATTACATCCACTACAAAATATATGAAATATGTACTACAATGTAGAGATGTTATATAACAATAATAAAACAGAATAAAATAATCAGAAAGATGAAAACAATTATAGAATTAAATTATTATAGAATACAATAAAATGAAATATATAACTTAAAAGAATAAAATCTAAGAATAAAGAATGTACTCTCTTCACGCCATTATAAATTTCGCCGATAAAAATGTTTTTCAGAAATACATGTCATAAATAAAGATACAGGTGTAACTGTCATACATAAGCGATAATATGTAAACATTATTTGTCTGTCAATTTGTTTGTTATTAATATTTAATATTCATAAATTACGAATATTTATTTTGTTATCTTATTTATGAATATTTGTTATATATATATATATATATATATATATATATATATATGTATGTATATACAGAGTGTTTTATTTTAACTTCTCCAGGCAAATATTTCGGAAAATAATGAAAATTTGAAAAAATTCTTTTTCAAATTTTGTCTGAAAAAATGTTTCAGACAAAAGTTGTATGGTTTCGAGGAGGACATAAGATGGTGCTATTAGTTTGAACTTGCAGAATCATCTGAAAGTCACGTGAAGGTCACCTACAATTTTTTAAACGAAACTGCCTACTTTTTATTACACATTCTTGTAGCTTATCTCGAGAGCTTTTCAGAACACTATAATTAAGTTAGTTTTCATTAAATACCTTCCGAGTTATGAGGCTTGAAATAATTTCTTAATTTTACATAAACCATAAAATATTTAGAAAAATATTCATTTTTCGTTTATCTTACTTTAATACTTTTATATACAAAATAATGAGAGAAATCAATTGGTGTAAAGAAAACACATAATTATTTAAAAAAAATGTAATTGTTAATTGCAAATTACATATTTTTTCTTCAAAACAACTATGTGTTTTCTCTCTCTCTCTCTCTCTCTCTCTATATATATATATATATATATATATATATATATATATATATGTTTCAATATATCCTAATGATTTATCATAAAAATGTACCGTGTAATACAAAATATAAAATGATCCAGTGCGAAATTACTTACGCAATAATTTATTGATTACCATTCTATTTTTATACTTACCATTAGCATCGATCATAACTTCAATTTTGTTTGATTGTAAAATTGTGCTGTAGTTTTGGCAGTTCCTCTTCTTGCGATCCACTGATTTATCACTCAGATTTTTGTAGCGAACAATCGTACCTGAAATATCGCTTATTATTTTAACATTTACCAGTTTTTATATGTAAAATTTTTTTGTATAAATTTTTCATTAAATATGTTACATAACAAATTCCGTGATTATACATATACATATACATATACATATACATATACATATACATATACATATACATATATATATATATATATATATATATATATATATATATATTCAAATATGTCTTATATTAAGGCCGCTATCGTCAATTTATAGATGAAAATTATTTTTATAAATATTATTATTATTTAAAAATGCTATATAAATTATAAATATATGTATATATGTGTTTGTATATGTGCACTTTATACACAAACGCTGATTTTGCAATAATTTACTAATTTATCATTTCTAATCTATCCTTTCGTAAAGTCAATCACGCGTTTACTTATAATAATTTTCGCAACAACTCGTACCAGCTATGTATAGCACAGTTATATTACAGACTAGTATTACTGGTATTTTGCGTCAACTAGTAAAAAAAATTGATACATGTATAATTCATACAAAATATCCCGGCCTTTCCACGTTTCCTTTCACTCATGGATTTTTTAAAATAAATTTATCCTTATCTAAAGTGAAGAAATCTACAATGCAATTCTCGATTCGCAATCGATAATTTTATCGAATTTTGTAATAATAGAATAAAAAAACTATAATAGAAAGTTAGAAGATTAAAAAGTATTTAAAAATAAATTTTAAAATCACTTAAAGAAAACGCAGTTTATCGAAACGAAATGTTAGATTAACGTTTATGTTTATTTAATTACTGTATTTTACTAAAGAGGTACCGAATTGGACCAGAACATCTAATTTTTATTTGGATTTTTAATGGATATTAAAGGTTTTTAAAAAAAAACTGCGCTTTAATTAACTGCTGTTCTTTAAAGATTGTGAATAGCCATTCTCTAACTTTTTGATACATGTATAGTTATACATATATTTGGTATATTTTGTATTTTATTTTATGGAACTAACTATGATTTGAATATAAAATATATTATAATTTTTTTATTTATATAATCACTTAAATTTATACATCTTAAAGATCTAAGTTTAATATTTTAAGTAATTATGTGTAGAATATTTTATTCTTTTCACATAATTATTGATTATTTCAAAAATGTTTCATATTTTACTGTTGTAAAAAATCAACACAATTTTGTGGTCAACATAATTTTGTTTTAAATGGCAACATTTTTATGATTTTGAATTTTTTTTGCCTTTTTATAAATTAGAATGTATTTTACTTTCTCATATAAATTAATTTTTTCATCAATAATTTATAAAATATTTCATAAATTATTTTAACTAGTAACATAAGAAATATAATATCTTATAAAATATATAATTTACTTTTATACAAAAAAGAAAATTGATAAATTAATATAAATAAATAAATAATTGCATTTAAAAAAAGATCTGCAATTGTATCTTATAAGTACAATGTCGCACTTGTATAAAATTCTCAATCTTATTCCTATTTATTACTCTGTAAATATTTAGTAGTAATATTTAATATCACAACATGATAAAATATATAAATTATAAAATATCTTCATATTATTAATTTTATATTCACTACTTTTATATGTAGAATGATAAGAATAAAAATTTTAACTTTCAAAATATTTTAATTTTAATGTAAAGACGAATACATAATTCCATTTTTTAAGAAATAGAAATCATATTGACGAATACATAATCCCATTTTTTAAGAAATAGAAATCATACTGACACTCTCGAAATTGTCTTCATGTTTGAAACAAATTCACACTAAGCACAAGATGTCTTTCTTGCGAAATAGGACAAATTTCATTTCAGATATTATTTTTAATAAATAGTTTCCCAGATAATCGTGTGCAGACACTAAAATGAAACAATCAATGTATATGTGTGTCATATATAATGTGTGTTTATCATGTATAATTAATATATCTATAATATGTGTACATATGTGTATATATGTGTATATGCCCATATTCTGAATCCTCTTTTATCTATAAAAAGACTTTAAAAATGATTTAGAAGCCTTCCAATTGGCCACGAGCCACTTTTAGAGACACATTTATCGATAATAGAGGATTCAGAACATGGGCCATAAATATATATATATATATATAATTGTATCTGTACGTACGTTAATAGACAATATTAATTGTGTTAATATTATATATGTACTATTAAAATATCGCAATATTAAAATATAAATATCCCGAAAGATATTACTGCTAAATATATTGCAATTGGTTTTTGTGATATGCATTGTATAATAAACATTAAGAAATATATCAAATGCAGATGCATAATAAATATATTTTTATAAATAATAATGCATACAGTTAAGAAAATATCTGAAGACCAAAAAAAATATATAGCAAATGTTAACAATTTATTTAAACAAAATTATTATATTCGTATGCGTCGATGTTTGTATTTTGATAACCGATTATATATGTACAAATACATAATCAAATAGAGATTTTATCGATTTATCCGTCATAAAGAAAAATGTTCAAAACTAAAGTGGAATGCCAGTTGTATAATTAGCTTGCTTGGAAAAAAAATGCACGACTGTTACAACAACGGTGCGGTTATTGGCAATAATATCGAGTCATAGTAGTATTGTAGTCGTAATATTAGTCATAGCACAGAATCTCGTTAAATGTTTCCTTGAATATATAAATGTGTGTTGCCGATAAAGTATGACATGAATAAACAGGTAAAGATATGATTAATATTTAATAAATGTATTAATAATAATATTGATGATGCATAAATTTAACTTTTTTATTTACCATCTATTTCGAATACCAAGATGAAAAAGCGACATTCGGAATTTGCATAATGCCTTTCGTAATACGAAATAATTTTTTATTTGTTCTTTCGTCTAGTTATTTCACACACAACGATATGAATAATGTTTAATAATTGTACTAATAATATTGACGCATAAATCTCACTTTTTGTTTATTATCTATCAGCATTTGTTTCGAATATCAATATGCAAAAGTGACAAGCTCGAAATTTACATAACGCCTTTCGTGAAATAATTTTTTGTTTGTCCTTTCATCTAGCTGCTTCACATATAATGATGATATGAATAATAATTATTATTATTGTTATTATCTCATTATAATTATATGTATATATCGAAGCAAATACAATAATAATAATAACAATAATAATAATATTGATAATAATAATACTAATAATAATAATAATTACAATATTGGAAATACGTACAAATGCGATGCTTTTCGAGTAATTTTGAATCTCTTTGACGCTTTTTCCTTTCCTTGGTAGCAGCAAGAACAGGTGATTTCGCGCACAGACAAATGTCGCCAATTTCGGGAAATGTGCACGCGCACTTTCATTTGCAAAATGCGTTGGTCGATTCAAACCAGTTCGCCAAATTTTCACGGTTTTCAAAATTTATAAATTCCGCGTGACATCCTCCGTTCACGCGTCGTTGAAAAATTGAAAACACAGGTAAACCGTGCATAAGTATTCGCGCGTACTTTGCGTCAAATGCGGGCGAGGCCAACTCGGCACAGATTTACAGAATGATTTGTCTGTCGTTGAAATTGCTTGAAATTTGAGCAATCAACGAATGGAATTGCAAGGCGGAAGCAACGAGAGTGCTTCGTTATCGTTTGCGGCACAAGGTCAACGAGTGAACTTTGGATGCGCCCGTTTGGTCGGCGTTTATAAAGTTTACAGCGAGATGTATCGTTGTATTACAAGTAACTAACTTACTTAATTGGTCCGTTAATAATTTTTTAACTTGCTCTTTTTCTTCGTTGATCCGCCGCTTGTCCTGCGTGTGAAGCGCACCAAACTGCACTGCAACTGCAACGTCACATTTTACGTCGACCGACGAAGTGGAGCTGTGCGCGCGACACATGTTTCGTTGACGTTGTTAACTCGAATCTCCCCCGCTCTATACCACATGGATGAAGTACAGCCACTCACCCCTTCTTTCTTCGTCTTTCAACTTTTGTCAAACTTTCGCAACAAATATTTAATAACAGAATACTCACGATTCCGATAATGGAATTATAATAAGATAATCGAAACCCAATGACGGAAACGGAAATATCAAATAAGCCTAAACGTGATAGCTAATCTAACGAGAAATTCTGATTAATTTTAAACCTTTTTAAGTAAAAAAAATATCAAGAGATATAATAAGAGTGATATCAATATTATCGGATTAATCCGTGATAATTTTAAAAGTTATTTAATATAGTTGAATGCGAATGAAATATTTTCCGCACAATCGTTATTGATATTTCTTGGAATCAATGGCTTTAAAATAAACAACAAAATAGAACGATAAAAATAATTCGAAAATTATGTAACACATATATACTACAAAAGTTTCTAATGTGTCAATCAAAATTTTATGTAATTGCAGTTGATCAACAATTTTGAGTCATATATTAAAATAAAATATAAAACAGATAGCCATATTAATAATAAAATATATACATTTATTATACATTCATATTTTTTGCATTATATGATAAAATTAATACATTTATAATCGAGTACTGAAATCAAATTACACTCTACATTTACACTCGATGTTACACAATAATTGTAAAATAAATCAAGATGAGATTTCGCTAAGTTATGTGCGATAACAGAGACAAATCGTATATATTTATATTTATAATTTTTTTATAAAAGTATAATATATCAGAATCTATACACATATACGCATACACACACACGCGCGCGCGCATGCACACGCACATAATATCATAGACTAATACATTAAAAAATTGCGTGAAAATAAAAATAAAATTATACAAAAATCTATATAGAATTTAATTTTCATTATATATATATATATATATATATATATATATATATATATATACATTTTAATATTAAAATTGTTTTATTTTAATATTAAAGTACATCTTTAAAGTACATCTGATATGATTGCACCTTTTGCTTAAGTATATTTATATGTATATGTATTTTTTAATGTAATTATAGAAGCCACAACACAGATACAACACAGATCCATACATTGCTATATTCTCTAATAATATTTCTCTAATAAAGAATTTCTCAAAGTATAACCATTGTATAATAAAAAAACCAAATTTTTTATAATATAAATAATTTTATAATTTTTAAATGTTAAATTTTTAATCACAATTTTCGAATATCATTATTTTTATATAAAGAAAAATTAATTTGGTCGATAAAATATAAATTAAAAAAAAAGTATACGTTATAGAAACGTACATATTTTAAATTAATATTTTTTTGTGTAAAACTATTTTTTAGATGAATATGTGGATTTGGTATCTTTTTTGAAAGGAAAATTACGAGTTACGTCGTTAATGCTTTACGTAAACTAAGCGAATAAGCGCTTAAATTGGAAGCGTATACCGAAAAGAAACTAAGCGTTAAGTACTTTATTTTCAAATGAAAAATTGACATCGCTCTCACAAGGACGTAGCACGATTAAATGTACGTGATAATATGCAGAGAGATATCGTTGATACTTAGAATCGCTAAAAAAGACTGTTTGCATATTATTTCTTTCTCATTAAAGTTATCATATACGTGTGTGCGCGCGCGCGCGGATACTTACATGTATGTGTGCGTCTGCATGTCATACGCGCGTAAATAATAATGTAGGAAATACTTTTTTTATCTTATTGTTAGCAATTTGACATACACACGCAAATATAACATGCATATACATACACACGCAAATATAACATGCACATACATGCACAAAATATATTTAAGTCTTAAAACTCAAAATATTAAAATTGAACTTGTCTTACACTATATGTATAAAAAACCATCTTCGATGAACGATGATCTCTACACCATTTTTTTGAATATCCAAAAATGATAATCTATAAAACTTTAACGTATTAATGTATATGCATGTTGCGGAAAGAAAATGGAAATAAATAATATACGAGATCACAGAGGATAATCTCCTTCCAATGCGCGCGAACGAAAGTTATTGTGCTTCTGGTCTTAATTTCGTAAAGTGATCTCTTATCCTACATTTTACCATTGGCAGTCTTAATCCATATGTATTGGTACACATTTTCTCAGTACAATAAAAACTCGTATCTCTCACATTTAATACCTCTATCTTTCTATTGAAATAAATGCCGTTTATTTAATGGCATGGCATGCAGTGTCATTGTCACTGAAAACGCAGTAATGATAACGGGACAATCCTCATTGATTTGCGCGTTTTATTTTTCTTTTTTAATAAGGATTTATCGAGATTAAAAACTTATATTTTTCCGTATAGTCACTTCTTATGCGCATCTAATAATTTTCTTATGTCTCCTTAGTATTATATAAAAAGAAAAATAATAGCGCTGCGCAAAGATGAGATCGATAGTTAGCATGTGCATCAATGTGTATCCATTGGATCGACCTTGTGACGTGCCGTCGGGGAAAAAGTTGTAAAAACGTGTACTAAGTGTGTCCGAGTTATAAAACAGTAATGGAAGTTGAAACAAATCGAGACAACGCGCGGCAAGTCGATTAGTTTTCCAAGTGAAAAGGAGCTATAAATTTCGTCTCATCTTTTATTCCTCGCGCTTTACTTAATCACAGACAAAGTAATTTATCGATTACGACCCACCGTTAGCATTCAATGGGCGCAACAGCATATATGCATATTACACATCCTCTCTTTTGATGTATTCACCCATTACGCGATTACGCAACTGTTCGCGCTTCATACTTTTAGTAAAAACTTATACATTATTTACTATAAGGTAAATATACGCATAATACATAGATAACTGCGTGTACTTAATTTAAAGTGATCGCAAATAAAGTTCATTGCATGAAAGATAAGATCATAAAATATTTTTATACGCGACCTTATCTTTTATATGTCGGTTCATAAAATATTATTCCATTAATCGCGTCACAAATCCAGCGATAACGCTCCACAATTTAATTGATATCAACACGTGATAAAAGAATGAATATGAATCATGTACATAATATAATTTTACAATTGCATGACAATACATTACAAGACATATGTATACACTGGGCATATCATGCATGTAAATATGCATATACATCTCCTGTACCTACTTTGATATGTATTTAAGTTCACACATACGCATGTTAATTTATATATTATTATCCCACTTGCACATAATAAATATACACACACACACACACACACACACACACACACACACACACACACACATATATATATATATATATATAATTTTTTTTCTCTCTCTCTTACTATGTACATTTTACCAATCAAATCGACTTATAGCAAACGCGGTTATCACCAATTTTTGCCACACAATTAATAAACTAGTATTTCATAAATTCAGTGATAAATCAAGTGAGAGATAAGATGATAAGTATGTACGACTTTACAAATAATTTTACCTGCAATAATACTAACATTTAGGTACTAACAAAAAGGTACAAAAATGTCTATCATATATATTTATATTATAATATGTACATTTATATTATAATTTATATCATGTATTTCTTCTACATATAATATATGTTGTAAAATTATATTATTACGCATAATTAACATTTCTTCTTATTTATATTCAATTAATCAAATCTTCAATGTATTTCGTCGTCGCTAATTTTGTGATACTTGATATAATACTTTATAACAATCATCAAGATCCTGTAAATATGATTATGGAAATATTCGTTTTATCTTATATAATAACTTCAACACTTAAAAGAAAAGAAAAAAATATATATATGTATATATATATATATATATATATATATATATATGTAAACGTTTATCGTATATATACTTCCATTACAGTGTTATATACAATGTATCTCTTGTACGCATACAACATAAAATTATATTATCATGATATTGACTTCCTTTCACTATCATGTGCAATCGATTAAATCGTACAGAGAGTACTTCATTATCGTTAATTTTATTTTTATTATATAACACGATAAAGGAAATAATATTTTATTAAGCGAGAGAGAGATAAGATTATATATACGATTTTATAAAAAAATAGCTTGACCTATAATAACTCTATAATTTAAGGATAGAAAAATATACACCATATATATTCACATTATAGTACAATATTCGACAATAAAGTCGAATTATTTTACGACCGCATATAACAAATATAACATAATAATAACGCATCGCATAAATTTATTTTTTTATACAACAGTTACATTAATGTTACATTCATCTAAATCTAATCGCAACTATCTATATTTATCTCGATTAATTGTAATTGTAATATTGCTGTAACATACAATGTAATATCAATGAATTTACATAGAAACATGCTTTAGCACTTTTTTTTAGAATCAATAAAGACATTATCTACGTCCAACTGTGATAAGATCTCGTCGTCTGAATCGTACTCGTTAACATCAGTAAAGTAGTTTACTAAAGTTTTCGAATTATCCGATTTACGCTTTATTTCCGGCAATGTAGAATTTATATTCAAATTCGAATTTTTATGTACTTCATGCGCTATACCATCGTAAGATGAAAGACAACTTTCACGCGAATAATGTGAATTAAAAATTTCTACGTCCTCGACGCCTTTCTGTAAACTTTGCGATAAGTGATTCTCTCTTATCTGATTTTGAGAATTTATTACCGATTCTTTTCTCGTATTTTCTAAGTAGTTCGTATTTCGCGCTTGTAATTCGCATTGAATTTTGTTATTAAACAAAATATTTTCAGAATTAAGACAATTCTGCTTTTCCAAAATTGTAAACTCGCAGTCATTAGTCAAAAAAATATTATTTGTATCTAAATTATTCGAAGTGTTTATCGAAAAAAAGTTAGAGTTTTCAAATATTTCATCTTTACGATTTTCAATGTCCTGTTTAAGAATTTGTTTGCAATTTTTGTATTTTCTGCTTGACTGATGTGATATCGGATCGTTTATCAATGCAGATTTGCAATCTTCCTTGATTGATTTAATATTAACAGAAAAATTATCTTGCGACGGTATGTTACAATTTTCGTACATCCCTTGCAATCCAGAAATATATCGTTTTGAAACTGACATAGAATAATCTCTATTTAATTCAAAATTTGATAAAATATTTTCCATACGAGACGTACTTACAATACGACCTTTATCGGAATATATGGCTAGTAAATTTACTTGAGATACTAAAATGTGATATTTATTTGTTATTACACATGTTGTTGTTTTTAACAATCCTACGTCATGTAAAAGAATAACCACATTTGGTTCTAATATACCTGGATATTTTAATACAATATCACGGTGAATAGTGCCTTCTATATTATCTGTCGAGTCTTTTAATACAATAAATGGATCATCATGACTATGGTCGATATAATCTAATATACCTACTAAAAATTTTACCTTTGAATTATCCCAATGATTAGCGTTTGCCTTTTTTTTAATAACAGAAATTCTACACTCCTCTAAAAACTTGTCTGATACATCATTAAGTAAAAATTTCCAAGCTTTTTCTCCAAACAAATTTTTCTCATCCTGTGACTTAATCTCGATATGTTTAACAGCTACTTTATCTTCCAATTCCCTTACTTTGTTTAGATACGATACAATAGGAATATTGTCAGTTTTAACATCCGATACTAGGCCAGCTGGCCCAGGGAATATTCTAACAAACTTTACTTCTTTACCAAGTTTTACTTTATTTACAGATTTAATGCGATTCTTTTCTTTAGATTTCTTGTACGATATATTTGTTTTACATAATGGAAAACATTGCATCTCGTCTTGTACATCATTTAATGGATTACTTATTTCTTTTGCAAGATTGAATATTTCTTGAGAAGTGTTTTCCTGGAAAATTCCTACTAACAGATCTCGTGATATATTGCTTTTATTGTTATGAGACGAATTGTTGTCTTTTGTTGCAACATTTACATTTGAATTAAGACTATTATCCGATGAAGAAAAAACCTTGCAGTTGTCCAGTTTACGCCGTTTCACAGATGACGCATCTTCCTCGTTTTCACATAGAGAATGAGACTGTATTGTTTTCTCGTCAATGTCAAACGCATCCTAGAATTGTATACCAAATGTGTATATGTATATATGTATATATATATATATATATATATATATATATATATATATATGTTTATGTATGTATATATTATATAAATAACGAGTATTCTATATTCGAATATGTATTCCGCATGTTGATAAAATTATAATATACATAAGAAGTTGAAAAATTTAATTGAATTGAAATTAATAATCGAATAATTTGAATATGTAATCATGTAAATAAAAAACTCACTTCAAAAGTCCAATCATCGCTTTCAAACATAATTCAAAAACAGAAATTCCGCTAGTTCGCATTTAGCGTTATAAATATTCTGCATATGAAATAAAAATAAACAGTTGCAACCAGCGACATAAAACCATAGACGTATAATATATAGACTAGGGCCGGTATTCATAGACCGTGTTTCGAAATTGCTGCCAGTTTACTGCCAGCACTGAAAATATATAAAGGCTGGTTTATAGAGGCCGTAACTGTATATTGGATTTTCAATACTTCTGTTCACGCTGAAAGCATGAACAGATGCATTGAAATTGAATATATTGAACTTGACCGGTTTCGGCATAAGTAAACAGTTACGGCCTCTATAAACCAACCTTTAAGGTTTGTTCGCATCGCAACATACTCCTACTCACTCCAATACGCTCCAATACGTTCGCGTCACCGGAATTAATATGGCGACTAGATGTTTGCGTCGCGATCTTAAGGTGCAATTTCATTGACGCTAAAAAGTAGCGTCAACCATTGGTTGAACAAAGAAGCAACTACTTACTTCTTTGTTCAACCAATGGTTGACGCTACTTTTTAGCGTCAATGAAATTCCACCTTTAGGCCGGTATTCATAATCCGATCTTATATTTGAGATCGTCTTAAGTTCGTGCTTGAAATGCTACGCAGCTATTTGATTGGTTGAATGAGGTCTTAAGTCAACCTCGGACCAGACTTAAGACAATCTTAAATATAAGATCGGACTATGAATACCGGCCATAGAATGTCCTGTGTTGTCTGGGTTTGGACGTACAAATTCTAGACTTTAAAAGGTCGACGAAAGGACTTGTTTTAATCGTCTTTTCAACATGACGAACAGACATCTATAGGTGCAATTTCATTGACGCTAAAAAGTAGCGTCAACCATTGATTGAACAAAGAAGTAAGTAATTGTTTCATTGTTCAACCAATGGTTGACGCTACTTTTTAGCGTCAATGAAATTGCACCTTATAAAGATGCGGCCTCATTGACGCTAAAAAGTAGCGTCAACCATTGGTTGAACAATGAAGCAACTATACTTACCTCCTTGTTCAACCAATGGTTGACGCTACTTTTTAGCGTCAATGAGGCCGCAACTTAGCCCGGGTCTACAATAGGTAATTTAAGCCCTAAGCCTTAAGAAATTGACCAATCACAGTCAGATATTCTCTTCATACTTGACTGTGATTGGTCAATTTCTTAAGGCTTAGGGCTTAAATTACCTATTGTGGACCCGGGCTTAAAACGTCTTTTTCGCCATGTCCAAAAGTCGACTTAGAAAAGACATCTTTTCGTCGTCTTTTAGTATTTTGTGTCCTGTGGGTTACGATTCATTGTAGAACGGGCCTTAGTCCGATTTTAAGCCGGATCTACATTGGTCGATTATTTCAAAAATAATCAACCATGATTGATTAATTTGCCTACGATTTACGACTTGCAACTTTACGGTACGACCAATATAGATCCGGCTTAAGATTGTCTTAAGTCTAGTCCGAGGTTGACTTAAGACCTCATTCAACCAATCAAATAGCTGCGTAGCATTTCAAGCTCGAACTCAAGACGATCTCAAATATAAAGGTGCAATTTCATTGATGCTAAAAAGTAGCGTCAACTATTGGTTGAACAAAGAAGTAAGTAGTTGCTTCTTTGTTCAACCAATTGTTGACGCTACTTTTTAGCGTCAATGAAATTGCACCTTAAAGCGGCCTTTTCATTGACGCTAAAAAGTAACGTCAACCATTGGTTGAACAAAGAAGTAAGTAGAGAACCTCTAGGAAAGAGAATGGACAACTGATCAAGCTTTTTCATGATTGGCTGGCAGAAAATGTATCAATTTTAGCTATTGCGACGCCAATGCAAAATATGATGACACACAAATAGGACACACATGACACACATATATTAACCTATTTGTGTGCCATCATATTTTGCATTGGCGTCGCAATAGCTAAAATTGATACATTTTCTGCCAGCCAATCATGAAAAAGCTTGATCACATGTCACATGATCAGTTGTCCATTCTCTCTCCTAGAGGTTCTCTAGAAGTAAGTAGTTGCTTCATTGTTTAACCAATGGTTGACGCTACTTTTTAGCGTCAATGAAATTGCATCTTAAGATCGGATTATGAATACCGGCCATAGTCAGGTCAGCTATATGTATATATGTATATATGTGTATATATATATATATATATATATATATATATATATATATATGGCTGAGCTGATATATTTGCGATTGAACATTTCTTTGATGCTACAATTTTTTATATTTATGATAAAATATCATTTAATTGTCTCTGTTTTCGATACCACGAAAATTTCGTTTAATTGACCAATCAGGATGAAAGTTTCTTTGTTCTGATTGATGAATCAAATACTTTCGTAATATCAAAACATAGAGCACACCCAACACCCAATATCTATGGTTAAAACGGTTGGAAAGAATCACGCGCAGTCGATCGACGCAGGTCGACGGGTCGTGATCGGTGAGAGAAGGATCGCAATCGCGTCGGATTTCGCATCGTGTCGCATCACGTCACATCGGGGTCAGATCAGATCAGTTAGGATCGCTGTCGTTGTCATTGTCATCATCGTGATAAGTAATCACGCAGAGATGTTTCATGTACGGAGTCTTACGCGATCATCAATCGCCCTGAAGCAAGCACCGGGAAATGACGTCGTGCACAGCATGCTGGCGCGCGCCGCGCTGGCTGCCGTTCAAACGGCGGCTCGTCGGGGATTTGCCGATCACCAAATTCCGGACCGTCTCAAGGATGTGCCTGAAGCACCAAATCCCAGATTCTTCGATATGGTGGAATATTTTTTTCATCGCGCCTGCCAAATCATCGAAGACAAGTTGGTCGAAGACATCAACAAACGATCACGCGTACCCATCGAAGAGCGTAAAAAAAAGGTCAAGGGTATCTTGATGCTCATGGAACCGTGTGATCATATCCTGGAAACTACGTTTCCGCTCAGACGCGATTCCGGTGATTATGAGATGATCACCGGCTATCGTGCCCAACATTCGACCCATCGAATACCGTGCAAAGGAGGTATGGGTGATACGCGCCTTTTATCAATTTTCGAATATCGAATATATCTATATATATATATATATATATATATATATATATATATATATATATATATCACGGCTTTCTCTTTCTTTTTTCTCTTCCCTCTCTCTCTGTCATTCTTTTTCTTTCTCTCTCCCTCTCTCTCTCTCTCATTTTGCTTTGTGTTCAGTAAAATATAAAACTTTAAAATAGAAAATATACAAAAACTTCTTTATTATATATATAATAAAGAAATTTTGTCTATATACATACACATAACGCATGCAAGAGAAAAAACAGGTCGATTATCAATTCACATGAGTGCGACATTTTCTATCATTTTCAATATTTAAAACTTTAAAATATATATATATATATATTTTTTTTTTTAAGTATTCACATTTTTTTTTACATTTCTGTTTGTTTTCTCTTTTAATTATGATTTATTCTTGCGAAATATGATTAATTTGTAGAATAGGATGCATTTTTTCACTTTTTCAAGATATATACTTAAATAATAAAATAGTGAAATAATGATCATAGATTGAAAACGATGAAAAATATCACACTCACGTGAACTAATAATCGATATGTTTTTTTCTCTTGCATGTGTTTCGTATTATCTTAAGCCGAATCTCAGAATAAGCGAATAAATGATCATAAACCAAATATTAAATGTCAATAAAATAATAATAATAAGTGTCAGTAAAAAAGCTTTATTCAAATAATAATTTTATAAAAACTTATATATTACAATAAAATGTTATATTATAATTACATGAAAATGTTATAAAAAAATATTAGGAAAAAAATTAATATTTATTTAATATTCACATGTTCGCGTTTGTTAATATTTATTTGTGATAGCTCTTGCTCCTTTTTTTGCTAGTCTGAATTATTGCTTCACATAAATTACGAAATGCCTTCAGCTGATATGTGATAAATTTGCGTTTTTTCTGCACGAGACAATACATATTTCGTGAAATATGTTTAATATTTATGCAATTCATCAAAAAGCTGTCACACAAGTACAAGTGTTTAATAGATTCAAGCGAAAGATTTGGAAATATTTATAAAAAGCAAAATTTATTCTTTAAGCTAGAATGAAAAGAGAGAATTAAAATATTCAGAATAATATGTAAATTTAAGCACATATTGGTGCAATATATATCGCCGATATAACATATGTGTAAGTTGATTGTATAAAAACTTTATATGAGAAAACAATCGCAAATATTTTTAGATTTTCATGTAAATCACTTACATCAATCAATTTTTTTCTCGTGTTGTTTATTTTTATTACTTATTTCAATGTTTTTCGAATAACAATATGAAAATAATCATTGACATTTATATACGTGTAGTTATTGTTTGAAGTGATTTATTTATTGGTACTGATATATATGTATGTACACGATAACGCTTACGACAATTTTATGACTTTGCTGCACTAATTACTTTAGCCTTGAGATTCAAGGCTCAAACGTGATCTTCAACAAAGCTCAAATGTGATATATATGATAAAAATTTTTGCAAATTTACGCGCATCAGTTTACAAAACAACTTTATTTAAGTTATTATGAACGAAGATCGTTTCTACGATTATATGTCATAAAAATGATCTTCGTTCATAATAACTTAAATAAAGAGAGAGAGAGAGAGAGAGAGAGAGTGTGTGTGTGTGTGTGTGTGTGTGTGTGTGTGTGTGTTTGTACACACACACAGACACACACACACACAGTAAAACCCACATTTTTTGCTATCTTATATAACATTTTGAAAATTGTGTGTGTGCGTGTGCATGCGTGCGTGCGTGTGTGTGTGCGTGCGTGCGTGTGTGTGTGTGTGTGCGCGCGCGCGTGTGTTTGTGTGTGTACGCACACATATATATATACAAACTTACGATATACTTAAAAAACGTAATATTTATTTAAATATAGTATATACATTTTTCTCTGTCATTAAATTAAAATTTGATTTGCTTACTGCTTATGTAGAGTTGGCGTAAAGTAAGTTTGATTTTTCTTTGATACAACTTTACAATATTCTTGAAGAGAAAATAAATTCTTCTTTTGAGTACATGATAATGAGATTTTCTAATACTTGTGATGAATATATTTTGAAACTATCAAGAATATATTTTTTTTTTGAAGAAATCTATTACTTAAAAAAAAAAAGAGACTCGATCGCTTTTCTTAACAGTAGAATGATATTTTTCTCTGTGTAGCTGAGTACATGCGAAAAAATTAGTTGACAATTTTAGTATATATAGTTTATGTATATATGTGTATACAGGGTGTAATATCTTAAAAAGCTTCCACTAAGCAAATAGCGTTATTCCTGATTAAAAACCGAGTCGAAAAGTCCTGAACCATTTTTTTCCATAATGCTTAATAAAACAGTAATTAATGAGTAAAGTGCGCCAATAAAAAGACAAACTTTCTCGTTATCAACATATAAAGATTTGGATAAGCAAAAAAATAAACTGTTTTGTGTTAATTTTTAAACAATTCATCTTTTCAGAAATCTTTTTAATACTTAAATCTGATTAATTATTTAATAAATCTTGGGGAAAAAAATGGTTCAGGACTTTTCGACTCGGTTTTTAATCAGGAATAACGCTATTGTTATATAAGTGCGAGCTTTTTAAGATACACCCTGTATAGTTTTGCTTATAGAAAGAAAGAAGAAGAAAAAAGAAAAATAGCTCACGGGTCTCACGTTACGCTGCTGACGAATTAAAAGCATTTATGCATCACAGTATACTTTGCTCTTGTTAATTATATATTTCTTGTATCTCTCCTCATTGTAGATCATCCGATACAAAGTATCAATTCATGATCTATATATATATTTATTTATAATTAATTTTGAAATAATTTCGAAAGGACCAAAGTTATAGTTATATACGACGCTCATCTTTACACACTTTTGCACAATATAATTTCTATATGTTTCGCATCTGTCATTCAAAAGAAGATGAAAAATTTTCACATTTTATTAAATTCTTTAACAGAATTGATTACTTATTTGTATATACATATACAGCGATATTTATTCATAAGAAGCAAAATTTATCCTCAAGCTAGAATAAAAGGCGAGAATTAAAATACATTACAGAAGTACACAAATTTTTTTAGGCACATATCAGTACAATGTGTAATATATTGCCGATATAACACATATACACATAGAGAAAAGTATTCTACTGCCAAGAAAAGCAATTACTCAGTTTATTTTTCTTTTTTTAAGTAATAAATTTCTTCAACAAAGAATATATTCTTGACAATAGTCTTAAAATATACTCATCACAAGTGTTGGAAAATCTCATTATCATTTGCTCAAAAGAAGAATTTATTGTATTAAAGAAAAATCAAATTTACTTTACGCCAACTCTATGCAGTAAGCAAACCAAATTATTGTTTCAATTTAATATTCTTGATTAAACTGCACTTACTAAAATTCAGAATATATTCAATTAAATTTAATGCCTGTGATGAATTTATGATATATTTGCGGATATATTATACAAACTTATGATATACTTAACATAAATAATTTACTTGAATACAATACATTTTTCTTTGTGCATGGTTCAATTGTACAAAAATTTAAGGAGGAAATAATCGCGCAAATATTTTTTCCTTTTCATTTTATTTCTGACAAGTCGCGAGCGATTATCCTAAGATAAATTTGTAATTTGTTATAGATAGGTTTAATGAAAATTATATGAAATTTTGAATTAATAATTCTATAAGACTAATATATGTGTATATTTTTTGATGATGATCTGCCAATGATCTTTTAAAAATATTTATTATAAACGATTTAACTTTAAGACATACATATTAATGTAATAATATATAATTAATTTTATTTGCTATTAAATAAAATAGAAAAAATTATGAAGACATTTTCAAATATAATTGCTCATATAATTGTCTTGTATTATAATACTTTTATTTGAGAGAGAATTGGGATATTTTAAAGTTAAATTATTATAATAGTACACGCACACAACAATATAAGGCCTATCAATCTGTCTTATTTATATATATATTTGACTTAAGAAAATTCATTAGTAAGAATATATTAATATCATATATTTCGTGGGATTTTGAAAGTGAATATTAATTGTATTACAAATTACTTAAATTAATTAAAGAAAAATAAACAGTCAAATATACAATACAGGGTCTACCAAAAGTGTGGAAACCCCTAAATATCTCGGAAAATATACGTTTTACAGAAAAGTGTTTCCAACAAAAGTTGTAGGGTTTAAGAAGATCTATATACTGATTCTATCAGTTTGACCTTGGATGGCGTCGTCAAGGTCAGGTCAAGGTCACATTGACTTTTTTAAATGACACCCCCTACATTTGATTGCATATTCTTATAGCTTAATTCAAGAGCTTTCCAAAACACTATAATAATGTTCATTTTTATTAAGTACATTGCGAGTTATGAGGGTTGAAATAATTTCTTAATTTTACATAAACCATAAAATATCTAGTAAACCATTCATTTTTCGATTATCTTACCTTCATACTTTTATGTACAAAATAATGAAAGGAATCAATTGGTGTAAAGAAAACATACAGTTGTTTTTAAGAAAAAATATGGAATTGTTAATTGCAAATTACATATTTTTTCTTAGAAACAACTATGTGTTTTCTTTACACCAATTGATTCCTCTCATTAATTTGTACATAAAAGTATGAAGGTAAGATAATCGAAAAATGAATGGTTTACTAGATATTTTATGGTTTATGTAAAATTAAGAAATTATTTCAACCCTCATAACTCGCAAAGTACTTAATAAAAATGAACATTATTATAGTGTTTTGGAAAGCTCTTGAATTAAGCTATAAGAATATGCAATCAAATGTAGGGGGTGTCATTTAAAAAAGTCAATGTGACCTTGACCTGACCTTGACGACGCCATCCAAGGTCAAACTGATAGAATCAGTATATAGATCTTCTTAAACCCTACAACTTTTGTTGGAAACACTTTTCTGTAAAACGTATATTTTCCGAGATATTTAGGGGTTTCCACACTTTTGGTAGACCCTGTATATCATTTATGCGTAAGTTTTTGCGCAAGGTATCGATTTATTTTTTTCTTACAACTTTTCGATTATATATATATGTATATATATATATACACACGCACACATACATACAAAATACTCGGTCGTGTTAATGGATGAAGAAGATGTTATGCGCGCACGTTCTCTTATACATTCTTATATGTATTCTTGTAGGTTTGCAGTCCAAGGCTGTCTAGAATCGACAGCTCACTACTGGCTGAATAAGTTAATAAATATGCAAATATATTTTTATGACATGTAGAGATGCAATTATATGTAAAAAAAAACGAAAACGATTGTCGAGTACAATAAAAAATAAAATTCTATAGTGATATTGAATTTAAAAAAAAGATATCGTTTTCTGATGACGTATGTTTTATAAACGTTATAAATGTATGCGATTTCTAATTGATTCCATTACGAATAATACATTATACATATATATTCAGCAACATTTTGCAAAGTTTCAAATATTGATAATTAATTTCTTCCTTTATATTTTATTATATTTATACATATATATATTTTTTATTTGTTTCTAATATCCATTTTTGAGGGATTAATAATTAAAATGCATTTATATAGGTATCCGTTTCTCGATGGATGTTTCAAGGGATGAAGTTAAGGCCTTGTCGGCTCTAATGACATTCAAATGTGCGTGTGTCGACGTACCTTTTGGCGGCGCTAAAGCCGGCATTAAGATAAATCCTAAAAACTATTCGGAACATGAATTGGAGAAAATTACCAGGAGATTTACTTTGGAATTAGCAAAAAAGGGATTTATCGGTAAGCTCGCTCATCATAAAGAAAACAATTAGAGAGAGCTCTTTTTTCAGTGTAGCCGACAAAGGCGAATCTGCGATGTTACATCATCGTAAACGTGTGACGATGAAACGATGTGAGCGGAGGCGTGACGCTTATGCGATAATTTTAGATTTCGTCGTGAATAGATGTAGAAAACCTATTAGGATTTATTATTACCATGTCTCTCGTAATGTTTATTGCCGCATAAGATTCACTGCTGTTACGTCATAACTTAAACACATTGCAAAAATAGATCTACCGTGCAATTGACGCGCATTTTACTTACAGTTTTTACTTGCACAAAATAAATATAGGAATATCTATAAAATAAAAATATCTTTTATGTGGGATAAAATATATAAATTGATAAAATATAAATGATAAAAAGTACGTACACAAATAAATAATTATAAGCGATAAGAAATGCTAAAAATGTGAAACATAAACAGGCTAGCTTCGCGTCTCATACGAGATTGCCAGAAAAAAGTGTGATTAATATTATATAAATATATATATAATATATATATATATATAATAATATATATATATATATATATATATATAATATATATAATATATATTATATAAATATTATATTATTTTTGCCTTACACGTTTTAATATGAAAGAAACTCACATGTTTGTTATGTTTGCTGTTTTATATGGCGATATATTGAATACATTTCTACATTTATTAATGAACCATGTAAGACATTTTAATCGTTGACACAAATTAACAATGATGAAATTAACGCTAAAATAATATAACACATTACAATGTTAGACATAATAGAAAAACTAATTATTTTAAAAAATCACATTTTTCTATTATTATTATTATTATTATTATTATTATTATTATTATTATTATTATTATTATTATTGTTAAAGAAATAAAACTTATTTCTTCATGATATTTCACTCAAGCTAATTTTTAATTTTATTTGAAAATATTTCAACATTAAATTTCAATATTAAAAACAAAATAGCAATGTACACATATTAAAGCGATATATTAAATAATTTTATCGGTAGGTATTTTTGCCAAACATTATTATCTCCTTTAAGGACCTGGTGTTGACGTACCTGCTCCTGACATGGGAACCGGCGAGCGAGAAATGTCCTGGATAGCCGATACTTATGCAAAAACCATCGGCCATCTCGATATCAATGCTCACGCTTGTGTTACTGGCAAACCCATTAATCAGGGTGGTATTCATGGCCGCATTTCTGCGACAGGCCGTGGAGTGTTTCATGGATTAGAAAATTTTATCAACGAAGCTAATTACATGAGCATGATTGGTACGTTCGCACGCAAATTGCTCATTAATTATTTTTAATCTACAACATATCATCACACATGCAATACGATATTATTGCTCGGATACGATTTTTATCAATTGATACAATTAATAGGTATAGCGATAAATAGATTGATAGAAATTACATGAATTATAATATTGTTAGATATTGTTAGATTGCATATATTTTAAGAAAAAGTAATAATTTCTCATGTCGAAAACTTGTAAATCTAGTACAATAAGAAATTATCTCTTTGCTGCAATTTATAGAATATCATCTTATAGCATTTGTGATTATTCGATAGTTTCATTAAACAACGCTGCAATATATAAATGAAATATAATAATCCATAGGTACTACACCTGGTTGGGGAGGCAAAACATTTATTCTCCAAGGTTTTGGTAATGTAGGTTTGCATTCGATGCGTTATTTGCATCGTGCAGGTGCGACTTGTATAGGCGTGATTGAACACGATGGATCCATTTATAATCCAGAAGGTATCGATCCAAAAGTAAGTGGCAAGGATTTATCTGATTACCATGAATCTTTATCACAAAATAAAAGATGGAATCAAGTTGAATATTTTTTCGTTGATGGTTATGCTTGTTCACGCGTTTCAGGAATTAGAAGAATATCGTATAGAGAATGGTACCATCGTTGGCTTTCCTGGAGCCAAACCATACGAAGGCGAAAATCTCATGTATGAACCGTGCGACATATTTATACCCGCTGCCATAGAGAAAGTAATTACCAAAGAAAACGCCGGACGTATCCAGGTAACAATTTAAGGTTGCACGAAATACGTTTTGATATCAATTCGAGATCAATTAAACTATTGATTATGCCATTGATAATCAAAAGAAATTTATATTGAATATATATATATATATATATATATATATATATATATAACGATACATTAAAATTAACTGGCCTGTTTTATTGTTTAAATTATTTTCTTTAGAATATATCTCTTTTACAATATGTATGTCTTTTTTTCGTAAACTTTTATAAATCTGTTAGTGAGTAACAGTTGTGTGCGTATGTGTATCATACTTTCTATTAGATCTAATAAATTAAGATAAAAATATATAAAATGGCAAAGTTTGAACATCTGAGGCAATATTAATCTAACTCATACTTTTATAGGCGAAGATAATTGCAGAAGCTGCCAATGGACCAACCACTCCTGCCGCAGATAAGATTCTAATCGATAGGAATATTCTTGTAATCCCCGACCTGTATATTAATGCCGGTGGTGTCACAGTCTCATTCTTTGAATGGTTAAAAAACTTGAACCATGTATCATATGGTCGTTTGACTTTCAAATATGAGAGAGAATCTAATTATCATCTCTTGGGTACAAATTAAATAATTAATACTATTAAATAACATATTATTTATAATAATAACAATATAATTAATAATATTATTAAAATGTTTGACAAAGATACGAATAAAAATATTCAAAATATAAGTAGTATGTTTGAAAGTGTAATTTACAGATTTATTTTTGTCTGTAGAATCGGTACAAGAGTCTCTAGAACGTAGGTTTGGTCGTGTCGGCGGCCGTATTCCTGTCACACCATCCGAAGCTTTCCAAAAGCGTATATCTGGTGCTTCCGAAAAGGACATTGTGCACTCTGGTCTAGACTATACAATGGAAAGATCCGCTAGGGTAATTAATTAGATATAAATTATGCGTGTTTCGTATAAAGAGCAAAATGTCACTAATTTAAACATTCCTTTTTTGTATAGGCCATTATGAAGACTGCCATGAAATTCAATCTTGGGCTTGACTTGAGGACAGCTGCATATGCCAATTCTATTGAAAAGATATTTACTACTTACTCAGAGGCCGGTCTCGCTTTTTAAACATTTTAGTCGAAAAATTGCGTAAAGCGAATATTACAATACGATAAGAGTAAAGTCAGTTTTTACCAATTGGTCGCAACAAATATCTCGATATATCGTTCAATAAATATTCGTAGATAACGGTTGATGATCAAGTTGCGACTAACAAGATATCAAAACTCTAGCAATGAAAGCGTATCTCGTATAGCATTATTTATCACATTTTGCATTGTAATAATTTGCCTCTATTATACATACATATATGCATATATGCGCTCTCTCTCTGTTTATTCTGTTTATATTATATATATATATATATATATATATATATATATATATATATAGAGAGAGAGAGAGAGAGAGAGAGAGAGAGAGAGAGAGAGAGAAATACGTAAACCGAATATATTAACTGAAAAAGAATCGTTAAATAGCCCTACGAAGTAGTTCAATCAGACAAAATTGATACTGATTATTCCTTCTACAAGACGGATCGCAAATAGTCAAAACCAGTGCATTTTTATATTTCCCTTTTTATGCATATAACTTAAACTAAAATATGAGAAAGTATCATGTGTTCAAATTATCAGATAAATATCTATAATTCGCTGTTTTTCTCGAATACTTCAACGATATTACTGTATCAGCGATTTCGCAAGACGTGACACGAGGAGGAAATATATTTATTGATTTTATCATTTACGACAATGGATTGACTTTCATAGCTTTCAAGCTTGAAAAGCGATATATGTATATCTAATCAGATATAATATGCGATAGAATTATTATACGTGCAAGAGTTTGCTAATAAAAACATTCAATTTTAAAATTTGGAAACTTTGATGCAGATACGGTAAAATGCAGTTTGTGATGTTATCTGATATATCGAGTGCATTTTAATAAGTGCCATTGCAACAATACGCAACAATTGTCGAGCGATAATACTGAAAAAAAATCGCAAAAATAAATTTATAGATTACAATTAATACAGTCTTTTTTTATTTAAATTCCATTGGTTATTGACCTTTTTTGCATGTATCCTTGACTCGCCTTTAATACTTGGATATGGAAAGCGAGTTTTCCTGCAGCGCCGCTCCCCCTCTTCCCTTTTACACGTGTTTCTCTTCTCACGTATATTATTCACGATAATGAACGATGAATCGCGTACGAAATATGCACGTATTTTATCTTGTAGTACAATTTATTTTTCAACATTTAAATATTGCAATGTATATAAAATAAATTTCAATTTTGAAAAATTGAAATCTTTCCTATTAACATATATGTATAGATGGAGAACAAAACGAAGCGCTTATGTCTTAGGTTTGAAAAATGTGTATTTTCAAACGATACAAAGATTGAGTATTCTAAAAAGCGAAAAGGAGGGTTATGCGCAATCGGACTAATAATCTTTGTTCGAATCTATATTGGGAAAATTTCGCAGCGATACGCGAAAACGGCGGAGGGGCGGAAGGAGGAATAACGGGCGGTCGTAAATAACTCGCGAGCGCGAGCGGCGGACGCGATGGTGAACTATACCAACGATGCTCGCGCGGGGCGGCGGGGTGGTCCAAGCCTCCGAGCCCAAGTCGCGTACATGTATACACACTACTACTCGCCAGGGCGGCGCCCAGTCCGTTCTCTATAAAGTGTCGCGACGTCGCCACCGCAATTTCATTCCCGTCCTGTCTATTCTGCCCCTGTCAGAACGTTGCGCGTCGTCGCCAGCGAAGCAAGGTGACGAAAATAAAACCCGCACCCTATTTCACTCTCAAAATCAATCGCCCATCTACGCGAATCGAATTCTTTGCCAACTTGTTGCTCGATCGTCACGATTTGAAGATCTATTTGTTTTGGCTGCCAGTGCAAAGTTCAAATTTCGGAATTATTCGATGGATCTATTTTGCAAATTTGCATTTGCGCGATGTCGGCAAGTCGGAGCGACTCAAAATGAAAGAGCATCGAGTCCGATGTTCATGAATGTGATTGATTCGAGAAACGTGATGAAATCGTGTACTGCGCGTGTACTGCGGTGGAAATGAGTGCAATAGCGTGCAATCATTAATGTGCATTCCCTCTGTTCAAATGTTATTTTGTTTGTTCAGCGGTGCGCGCATCGAGTCTATCGCAATCGAACGGTTGATATAAACAAAAATAAAAGTTTCATAGCCCATATAGGACAGAACCTTTCAACTTGATATCACAAATCTTACAATGTTGCAGATATTAATATATATTCGAAATATTAAATTTCAATGGCACGATATTATGATAACGTTTTTCGTCTACGGTAAAGTTTTATAAAAATATTAAAATGCAATAATTATGAAATTTCAACATAAAACAATATAGAAAGCTCGCAGAGATAACTCATTACAAAATTTCTGCACTGTAAAGATGTGAAAAAAGGAGAAAGAGAAATTTCTTTAAAATTTCTCAAAATATATTATGTATGCGACAAGTTTTAATTGTTATGTATTAGATATACCATATAATGTGTAAAAAAAAGGATAAAGAAAGATGTAGGAAACAAAAATGTCCAAATTCTTGACGCGGCGCACGTTTCACGCCTGTGCAAATATATTGTCTTTTACAACAAGTTTCGAATGTTTATTTAGGTGGCGAGATTCGAATCGCGCGTTACTCCCACCGATATGTCCATACCTATGGCGACCATGAGCAACGGCAATGGATCAACGATGCAGATTAACACTCGACCTGATGACATTCGAAAGCGAATCATTGGATGTGAGTTCTTCATGATGACGATTAAGCAAAATGTAACAAGGGAACTTGGTAGAAATTTTTCTCACGTTTTTATTTTCGATTAAATTGTCCATTTTCAATTTTTATTCCATATTCCAATTATCGACTAAAAAAAACGAACAAAATAAATGATGCGCGTTTGATTTTGTTTTTATTTCGTCTTATTTTTATTTTACTTACGACAGCACAAATCACGCAATTTATCTTATTGTCATCTCTTTTGTATTATTTTCCTTATTTTATTTCATCATCTTGATATCTTACTTTGTGAAACACGATTAATAAACGTCCTCGTAAGCGTCGCCCTTTCCTTACAAATACAAGTGTTAATGATAACGATTATTCCGAATACACACACACACACACACACACACACACACACACACACACACACATATATATACATATGTGTGACGAAAGTCACAAACGAAGCTCTATATCGTTATTCTCAACCTTAAGTTCGAGAAATAAATTATTTTACAAGTATAAAGAAGGTCAAATGCTTGATACGTATACGTATACGTAACCGAACTTTAACATTATGAATTGTGAAATAAAATTTATCAGTAATTGTGTATCGTTTGGCTTATTATAAAGATACTTGTGTGAAAAGATTCGAAGTTAATCTTAAATTACCTTAAAAGTGTAGATTATTTATATCATGTAGATCTCTCTCTTCGGTTTTTTAAAATATTACTAACTTTAACAAAACACCGATGTTTGACGGATTGAACCTTTTTTTGCTACTGCATTGATGCTTAACAAATGCATTAAACGGGCCTAATCTACCAACAAGAAATAGTAATTACATATTTTCGGCGCGAAATTTGTGCTATCAAAAATACATTGTTAATGTATTGTTTTATAAAATAAGAGGCATACTAATTTATTTATCGTTTATGTTTTCCTGCTTTTTTCAGTATGAGAATTTTTACATTATAATTTCTCACACATCATCTTTTTTTTATATCATTTACAATAAGTCTCAGATAATAAAGATATGTTTCATATCTTATTGTATCTTATCGTATTATAAGATAAAATATTATCTCGTATCGTTTCATATCTTATCTTATCTTATCTTATCGTATCGTAATTATCAGTAGTAAAACTTATGTGCAGCTTTGGCTTCAAACATAATGAATGAAACAAACAGGTATGTGGGTGACTTGCGCGGCTTCAAGAAAGGATCGTGCATAGACAATTGATTTTGACAGGTGGCCTGGTCGTTCTTTGCGATCCGATCATTATCCAGCTATATGCATATACATACGTATATTTAATATGTGCAGGGTATCGAAAAACTCCTGTTTTAATATATTTTTCGCTAGAAATGTTTTCTTAATTTTATTTTAAAATCTGTCTTTTCTATAAAAATGCCGAAAATATTTACAATTTGCAGTCAGTTATCGGAAATAAGATTACTAATGAATCAAATCGCAATTGATCGGACAATAAAAAGTACCGCGAAAACGACGTAAATATCTATTCTGACAACAAAGCAGCGCGCATGGTATAGTTTTATAGCGTAACATATAGAAAAATTATATGAAAAAATTATTACATTTGCTACAGATTATAAATTTTCAAGAGATTTAAAAAGATTGAAAATTGTAAAATATTAATATTATATTAATATTTCTCAATCAAAGTTAAACTTTATTTGAATATGTATTTATGTTCACGATTTAAAAATTATAGAGATTGATTTGATATACATATATGTAAATCGATGAAAATTTGCACATTTGTGATGAGTTTTTCCAATGTCTTCGCTTAGGAGAGAAAAAACTCAAATGAAGTAAAGAAAATGATTCGCCAAGTCTGGGACATTCTGTACACGTATAGATACACGTGAACTTGGAACGCATTAGCATTCACCTTGTACGCTTTCTATAGACTCGCTATAAACGCATATCGTCGAATGAAATATCCAACAGAGATAAAAATTGTCTAGAGACTAGTACGATTGGTCTCGATTCCAACAATAACGAACAACGTCGCACATTTACCTCGTTTTTTTCTGAAATAATGTACAGCGCCACCACTGTCGAATAGTACTTGATGGCTGTCTGATAATGCCTTGTTTCTACTTTCGCAATTGAGCGGACAGTGATAAGCATCGCGAAAGCGACGTAAATATCCATTCTGACAACAAAGTAGCACGCATGATATCACGCAGTGTTATATCGTAATATATATATATATATATATATATATATATATATATATATAAATACAAATTGGAAATTATTACATTTGTACAGATTATAAATTTTCAAGAAATTTAAAAGTATTAAAAATTCTCTTTTAGTGTAACGTTAAATTTGTTACTCGAACTATTATTTTAAGGTAAAATGCTATTTTTAATAGAATAGGAAGAATGCTACATTTTGCAAAAATTTTGTATATATAAAAAAAATAATTGAATTTATTCTCTTGTTATGATGGAAGAAACACGAATTGAATTTACTATCGGAGCGATGCTCAAATATATCATTTTATCACATTGCGAATAAACAAGATGAGCGGGGGATAAATACAAAATTATGGGAATAGAAAAAGATGATTAATCAACGAAGAAAGGTTTACATGTAATTAAGAAGATAGTGAAAGAACGATGAGAAGAAAGGTAAAAAAGAAGGGCGAGAAGCCAAGAGGAAGATGGCGCATCTCGCGCATCTCGCGCATGCTGCTTCGATGAGGACAAAACAGGGATGAACGAAAGGGTGGTTTCTGGGCTGAGAGGGAGAGGGAAAGAGAGAGAGAGAGAGAGAGAGAGACAGACAACTCGAGCAACATCTAGTCACATCGCAATGAATCGTGTGAAAGGCGAATAACGTGCTTCGAACCGAGTCCATTCACATATTTTACCCTATTTATTTATATTTATCTTTTTAATACTTGAACACAAAACAGCTATCATCTTTGTGACAAAGAGAAAGAAGGAAAGAGAGAGCCATCTCGGTGATCCCGCCCAATAAAGTGATAGAACGAGAATCAAGATTAAAATCTGGGATTATTTCGAGATGACAGACGGTAAGCGGACATTGAGAGCGAGGGTGATAGGATGAAAATAGCTGTCGATTTAACGAAGACGCTTATACGGAAGTTCTTATTTTATTTTCTGTATCTGCCGATTATACGTAAACTTCTTCTCTGATTTGCGTACTTTCAGGGTCAGTATGATTCTTAACTTTTTATCATTTTTATTAGAAACACATACAACTTTAAAAATATGGACTTATCGAGTGTTATTTTTTAGCTCATTTATTTTATCATAATTCTACTCATCTATCTGTAATAGTGTTTGTATACATTATTTTTCTTTTCATAAAACAAAATCGTTATTCTAAATTGTATTACATGTATAATTTCTTTAAAGAATTTGACTTTGCATTAATTACATTTTATTTTGATGTCTTATTTTGATGGCATCGAAATGCAAACTCACGGATATCGATTTTATCTTTCGATATAAGTATTTCTTATTTAGGTTGGAAACTAAAAATTAATGTGAATTTCTTTACAAATTTCGTTAGGTATTTATTTAAGGCATAATATTTTGTGATTAGAGCACAGTCGAAAACTTTGATTAAAGCTTCGTTTTTACAGAATTATCATTTTTTCGAATGTAGGTTGTATGACGTACGTATATTGATCGACGTGTAAAGCAGTCGAAGGCATTGGTGGAATCAATGATTATAAACGCGCTTACCACACACGCATACATATACGCACAAATATATTTAATTTAAAATATAACAATTACCTACAATATTTTATTCATATTAAAAATCTCTATGCGTGTCTCTAAACAGATACTTACAAATAGCTTGCATTGTGTGATCCCAAAAAATCAATCTCTATTTTTTACTTGCAACATGTATTATACAAACGCATTCTATACAATCTGATTCTATACACTTGACTTAAACCCATATATTCTAGATTTATTCGTAGCAAGGAGAAAAAATTAGTCAAGTAAAAGAAAAAGTGCTTTTTACCGACGTATATCTCGATCCTTTTAATACATGCTACAATAAGGAAATGCATGCATGCATATTTCGTGTGCGCTTTTATAAATTTATATATTTCAATACATGATACATTTAAATTTATGCCGAAAAATTAATGATAAGTGATATATTGCCGTATAATACTTATTCCATCATAATATCGTATATGATTTTATTATATATTCCATCATTATTAATAGCAAATAAATGCTGCGTGCGCGCGCGCGCGCGTGTGCGTACGTACATACTAAGGCTAATCTATCGAATAGCTAAATAAATATGAATATTATATGATGTACTTGTTTTGTCCCTATAGCGACAGAAACAATGACAATAGCATTATACATACTTATATTCATTTGCACAAAGTAATTTCACATTCTGCATAATGATAGATGTTAACATTATCCAAGAGTTTTATGTGAAAATTAATCATAATTTTTTTCCTTGACTGTAATTTTTCTCGAGAATTGCATTATTCACATTTCTAAGAACATATTACATTGTTGATAAATATTTTAAATCTTTTTTATCGCTTTTACTTTTTTTCTCGGAATTAAATTGTGAAATTGTGCATATTTAAAAGCTTTAAATAAATAAATAAATTTTATATAATTAAAAATTTGAAAATTTTTTTTACAAATTCCAAAAATTTCTGATTATAAAATTTAATTACTTTAAATATAAATTAAATTATTTTGATTGCTTCTCATTTTGCAATAATATCATTCTCTATTATATTCTTATTAGATTAGATCTTTAACCGTCGTAAAGAGCGTGAAATAATAGAATATCAAAGTATCAAGCAAATAAGTACTCAAATTAGAAAGATATCAATTGCGTTATAGTCACAGAAATGTATTGACTGTAAAACTTTCATATATAGTTACACATATACTTTGAAAGCTAGATATTAGTGTCATCGGTCACATGAACAATTATGGTAGTCAACGTATATAATTGTGTCGACGTTGCTATCTGATGACAACATTTTGGAACATTATCGTTTGATATTGGATTTGTCGTTCGATACTATTATTATTACTTTGACTCTAGTTATCGATAAACCGCTATAATTGAAAACTAGGACATTAATGTCATTGCATTTAATACGAAATTTTAACTTACCACATTTTTTTCCTTCCTAAATCTCTACACACATCTTTATAATTTTCTCTTTTATCATAAATTCATTTAAAAAATATTGATTTAAGAGATGATCTGTGAAAAAATAAACTTAAATTTTCAAATCATTCAATTTATTCACGTATTTATTGTCCTCTTTAACATTAACGAATCACGTTATGATTATATGTTACAGCGGATGATAGTAAACAGTCAGAGGCAACAACATGCGGGAATATTCTCGTTATATTATCATGGATTGTCGTAATTTTGACGATGCCGTTTTCTCTCTTTGTTTGTTTTAAGGTAAGATATTTTTCGGAAAAGGTTTATCACTGTTTGTCGAATTCAGCAATATACACATATGTACATAATGATCCTCGTTGCAATCTTATTATTAGATCGCAAACCGAATGTTGTATATCAGTGTGCAGTTATCGCATGTATACTTTTATTAACAGAGAGAATTATACTAATGATCGATCTTATATCTATGAACTTTACTACTAATTTGGCAGTCAAAATTAATCATTAATTTACATCGAATCGAATTTTTTGTCTTGCTTTCAATGTCAATTTTCAACAACTGCTCTGATATTTAAGCGGTGTCATGTTTCACTCTTTTTTAGAAACTATCTAACCTTTTATAACCAAAAGCTCTTCTTTTAAACCACTAATTGTAAGCGGAAAATTATTCGTCTATTTAAACTACAAAATAAGTTTAATTTCTACATAAATGAAACCTATCGAAATTTTCTAAAATCCATAAACGAAGAGAACAAAAGGTTGAATATAGGAAAAAAGCTTCTATTCGGATGACTATTTTTTTTTGGCAGGTCGTGCAAGAATACGAGAGAGCTGTTATATTTCGATTGGGGCGTCTTTTATCAGGTGGTGCCAAAGGCCCCGGTGAGTAAAATCATCATGCTAATCTATTTACAAAGCGGATATGATTTATTTAATTAATTGATATATAATATTTGTGATTGCACAATCATGTATATATAAAGAACTTATAATTATTGTATAATTTTTTATCATGATTCCTGATTAGAAAATTCATATAAGGTTGAACGGTTTAGTTAGCAATACAGTGCAATCATTTTTTTTACATTGTGCAACATTTGAAACCTGTCTATTGTTGATAGAAGATCTAATTATGCTTTTAGGAATCTTCTTTATTCTGCCATGTGTGGACAATTACGCGCGCGTTGATCTACGAACACGAACGTATGATGTACCTCCGCAAGAGGTAAAAAAAATTCTAATTCTAATTTATAAACTAATTATAATTTATATATATATATATATATATATATATATATATAATCAAAATCAATTGATTATTAACTCTGTATCTCTATAAAAAATTTATCTTTCTATATTCATATCCATCTATCTATCTATTAGGTCTTGACAAAAGATAGCGTTACGGTATCTGTTGATGCGGTAGTTTACTATCGTGTTAATAACGCGACTATTTCGATTGCGAACGTGGAGAACGCGCATCACAGCACGAGACTATTGGCCCAAACGACTCTAAGGAATACTATGGGAACGCGACCGCTTCATGAAATATTGAGCGAACGTGAAACAATCTCCGGAAATATGCAGGTATGTGAGAAAAAACTTTATCATTTCATTTCAAGCCATCCATTTTTTAGATTATTCGTGCACAGTTATGTTAGCGGTATAATATTAAAGAATAAGATCAAAGGCTTGATAATGTGACACAATTTTGGATACTCGAAGTTCTATTACGAAATTATATTAATTTGATACCTCATAAACTCACAATGTGTATCACTCTTAGAATTAGTTATCCAGAGTTATTCAGTTCTATAAAATAAAATAAAAAATCTTACGCGCGTGATTGACTTGAAACTCATATTAAAAAGAGTCAAGTTTCTTATATCGACATAGTTCATCAAATACTTCAAGAAAGAAATGAATTAATTTATATATATATATATATATATATATATATATATATATATATATGCTTAATGACATATTTTAATGAAATGTATTAGGTTGCCCTAGACGACGCTACCGATACATGGGGAATAAAAGTAGAACGAGTCGAAATGTAAGTAGTGTAGCACAAGTTACTCTTACAAATTACTGTACAATGACAATAATGATTAATTGCCGTACATTTTATTTAATTATCATACATTTTATAAAAAATTCTACATAATAATAACAACGCAAAAATGTTTGTGTGTGTGTGTGTATAAATTGAAATTTTTACACTGTTTACAGCAAAGACGTTCGTCTACCTGTTCAATTACAGCGAGCCATGGCAGCGGAAGCCGAAGCTGCACGTGAGGCACGCGCTAAAGTAAGCCATGCCAACAAAAATTTGTATTATTTTGTTTGTAATGTTGAATTCATAACCCTGTGAGAATTTCTTTAGGTGATTGCTGCGGAGGGTGAACAAAAGGCCAGCAGAGCTTTGAGAGAGGCATCAGAAGTCATCGGTGATTCTCCGGCCGCCTTGCAGCTCCGTTATTTGCAAGTAAGACAAATATTATTAACATTAATTTGATATCTATGATTAATTTATTATATTGATTAGACGTTTATTGTCAATAATCTATTATTGCCGTCAGTATCCTCGTATGTACCTTTTTCAAGTTGTTTGCATTTTTCTTTTATTTTTAGACACTGAACACGATATCGGCGGAGAAGAATTCTACCATTGTGTTCCCGCTACCGATTGATATGCTGACTTATTTTATGAAAGCTTTACCGAAAGAATAATCGTGCAAAAGAATGTCGCGTTTGCGAGATATAATAATAGAAAAAGAAGAATGATATTTTTCTTCTCAAACTCTTTGGGAAGTAAGGAGTTTCATTTGACAATGTATATGTATTTGACAAGCTTACGTATTATATCTCAATGATGGAGAGTTGCCAATATTTGACCAATTTGATAATTTTAAATTAAACAGGCTAAAATCGAGAAGAGTTACATGGAGAATTAACTTGTATAGTATATGTATAATTTTGTCGCGCAGGATTGATTCGAAGAATCGAATACTGTACAGACTGAAAAACATATTTTTCGAAAATCTTACATAGTTACTTTACACATTTACGTATTGTTAAAGGTATATAAATGTTTGTTTAGAGCACGGATATAGAACGTAATTGTATAACATCGATATTTGCTTATTTTCCAGTTTTGCATATATAAATTTTTTGACACGACGACAATTCCACTTGCGTCAAATATATATTTATAATTAACACTCAAACGATGGAAAGATACAATGATTAAACACAGATTGACAATCCGTTCACAGATCTCGCACTGCCACTAACATCAAATTATACTTGTACAAACTGCAATTAATTTTTTAACGACATAACTAACTGATCGGTCGATTAGTGTAAATTTACTTCACACAATAATTAGTCGATAAATAAGAAGCGATTATTTCTATCTTGGTAATTTTATAAAAGATAGATATGCATATAAAAACATTGAACGATATCAAGATTAATTAACATTGAATGATATCAAGATTAATTAACAATCAGCAATTCTTTCAATTTTGCCTATTTATCGCGTTTACGGCACTAAATAACACTTTGTCAAGTAACAAATTCAATTCATATTGTATCCCACGATAAATTTAAGGATAATAAATTTTACAGTCACTAATAGGAATACGTGTACTTTAGAGATCTGTGTGATAATTATTTGATCCAATATCGGCAACTCTTGTTTGCGATATTTATACATACATTGCTTACTCGATTATACATATTCCTTTATACATATTTGTCCTTTGACATACGACCTGTCTCATGAAAAAAGTCCAAAGAATCGGATCAATTATAAATGATCGGATTATATGATCTCGGAGAAAACTACTACTATACAATACTGATTGAGAGGAATAAAATATTTGAAAATGAACAAACGACATTATATTTGTTAAAAGCATGCATAATAATACAGCATCATAGAATCAAGGATATGTGTGCATCTATATAACATCTAACATTTTTATATATTTGACCGACTATATTTGTTTTATAAAATTGAAAATATCTTATTATTTATTCTATATTGTAAATATTTCCTATACTTGTGTAATCGATGTAAGAGAATTCAAGTTTTCACAATTTAGAATAGTGGATCGTTTAAAGAAGAATATATATTGAGTTATATTGAATGAAAAAAAAATGATTGTGGTGTTTCAAAAGACTTATAACGAATATTCATTGTAACTGTGATGGTTAAACTATATAATAAGGTCAATTTACAATTATCTTGAATGACATTTTTAAATAAAGTGAATTGGAAGTCGCGCGTTTTACTTCCACATTTCAATTTAAGTGCGAGATATCACATCTATCTGTTTAGAGTAGGTTTAGACCAGAACATTTCGACCAATATAATATGTAAAATAATGGGTGAATATAAAATGTGAATAACGCTTGAATAATGAATATCAATTCACAGTTGAACGATACATAATCTACGAATTTAATATTATTTTTGCGAACTTACAAATATACACATAGTAATTCACGAAATTGAGAGCACAAATATTTTAAAATTTTTGAATAATTATTCAAAGGATAAATTGGGTAAAAAACCTATATCTTTAGAATGTATAATATTTATATGTTTTTCTTTACACACACACACACATACACGACATATACAAATTATGGGAACTTATTTTACATACTCTCTCTCTCTCTCTCTCTCTCTCTCTCTCTCTCTCTCTCTCTCTCTCTCTCTCTCTCTCTCTCTCTCTCTCTCTCTCTCTCTCTCTCTCTCTCTCTCTTCTCTCTCTCTCTCTCTCTCTCTCTCTCTCTCTCTCTCTCTCTCTCTCTTTTTATCAAAAATAATTCTATAAAATTTTAAGATACTTGATTATATTTTCGCAAATAAATGTGTGTGTGAGTACATATATACATAATGAAATCATCCAATGCATTTGCTGCATACTTATGTACAACTATCTTATTAATTCTTCTTTTATACATATTCCGCTTCCAACACACACATGCGCGCATATACATATACACTAGTCATGTATAATTACGCGCATTCGCGCGGTTACATACGTGTGTATTCTCATTTCGTAATCATTTTTAAGTATTATTAGAGTTTAATATTTTGTACAGAAGAAAAGATAGACAAAGCTACCTCTGCTTTTGTTAAATGTGTAAATGCTTGTATACATCTAATTTGTTGTTGATAGACTGATTAAAGGAATTTATGTAAGTATTGACTTACATAAATTTCTTTAATGAGTCTACCAACTTGCATCCGTTAATGATTCAAAGTTTGTGAATATTATAAATGTTGTAATTATAATATTTTATTATTATTATTCTGTATTAGAAATCGATGGGAGTTACATGATAACGGAACATTAACATAATTATTTTTAGGACGGTAATCATCGTATCATTTTTATTCTTCTTAATGAATCATTATATACTTCTTTATAAATCGTTGTAAACTTTATTGTATAAATTCTGTATAAGAACATAATATTTGTTTAACATTTAAAAAGTTTTTCTCCTATGAGATTGTTGTTTAATCTACGAGAATATGTGCGATATAATCAATTTTGCATAATATTTGCGCGTTGGAAAAGATATGTTCGTGTGAAAAAAATATATAAAATACACATATAAAATACATATGTATATATATATATATATTATGTGTGTGTGTGTGTGTGTGTATGTATATTTTTGTTGATTTGTAACAAGAGCACTCCTTGACGTAAAGCTAAGCTATCAAATACTTTTTTTCCAAGCGTAGTTACAAAAAATAAAATGTGTGTTAAAAATATTAATATATAAATTGATATTCCACAAACTTATGTTTTTTGATCCTTTAATGTACTTTGTGGTCTTTATCTTAATTTTGTCGTGCATGGTTGTTGCACATAATTAAGACAAAAACCTTTATTTCCGACATCGCCGGGTGCTTCGATACTGTCTGTGTGAAATATTAATCGGAACGGCTTCACGGTACCTAAAAGATCGAAAAAGCTATATAAAAACTGATGAAGAGATAAAGATTTCGAGATGTATATGAATGGCTCGGATGCTAAATGATACAAATCCATCCAAACTCGATTTCGAATTACTAATAGATTTGATGTGACAATACGATATTATCAACCAATATAATTACACTGAAATTATCTGTCTTCAAAACTAATCAAATCTGCATAGTTAGGTCATTCGTATGTGCACATACCTATGATAAAAGCAAATGTCTTTATTTCTGAAACTTTTATTTTTTGAACTTGTACTGCTCGACATCTGAGCTATTCATATTGTGTACATATGTGTATGTGTATATATATATATATATATATATATATATATATATATATATATATATATACAATGTTCTAAAAGTTTTAAAAACCTTTCATCAAAAGTAAATTTATATCGATTTAAGTATTATATTTAATTGATAATATTAAAAGTAAAATATTAAAAGGATGATAAAAAAATCTTATTTTCAATCTGTCTTGAGAATACATATAGCATACTATACGAGAGCCGCACGATATATGTTTTAAGTTTTAAGAAATATGTATAATATTCCATACGTACACACACACACACACCAATATTTAACATACACTAGAATAATAACGCGAAAAATTTGCTTCGAAACTTACTGATAACAGATGATGCGTTCAAATTCTGAGTTTCCGCATTAAAGGTACCGCCACATAATCGATCAACGCATATTAGCTGCATCGAGGGCATTCGGCCTAAATTGATGGCACACGGTATCGATAACCAATCGGACGAACAAGAAGTTCCTGTCATTGACACTATTTGCGTGTTCTGCGTATTTCCTGTCAGCGTAAATGCATTGTTACGCATTATTTGTCCCGCGGCTCCTGCCGTGGTAGGCATCATTCCTTGAGTTGTAAATAAATCATACGATGGATATTATCAATGTTGAAGAAATATAAATTAAATAAAATAATTAAAAAATTTAAATTTTAGTTTAAATTAATATATATTACACTACATCTTCATTATTTATAATTATATTACGGAAGAAAATATACCCGAAGAAAAAATTGTCCGTTTCAAAGTTTCGCATATTGTGTTAACTCGAGAAAAAAATGTTTAAAGTCACAGTTTTTGAGATGGTTTTTAATATAGACGTACACACGTATGTACGTTCGTATTTTATTATTATATACGTTTATTATTAGATACAAATATTACTGACCATCATCGGTACACGCTATATATTGAATTCCGCAAAAGTTTCTTTCCATTCTGATGCATATACTGTAATCTTGATTGGACAATTGTAATCCGGTTGTCGGATCGTAATTAAAAGACTTTATTTGGCCGGAAACCCCAGTGAAATACTGAAGACAGCCCTCTTCGGCTCGGTATATCGTACTGCATTGTATTTGCGAAATGCGAACCTTCCACGATCGTGGAAATGAGCCGCCACTCGTGACAAAAGTCAAAATTACCGGATTAGTTTGTCCGACGCCTGTATCTACGTACACTATATAAAAAGTGTATATTTAGCTCGTATCTCAAAAATTAACTCGATAATTATATTGACGAAAGACAATATTAATGAAAAATAAGGATAGAGTAAACGATATACTGTCTTTTCGATACTTACTGTGATTTCCGTTATTGTTACCACATATCGTCGGTACCGGATTGCCACCAGAAACGATAAACTGATCGTAAGTACAGACATTATTCGTTGTTTCCGGGCCTCTAATATTAAATTGTTCAAAATCTAATCTACAATGAAAAATGAGATCAAATAAGAGGCCAAAATCTCCTTAAAGGAGTTTTACACCGAATCCGTGTGTCTTTCTTCTTTTTTTACATTTTAAGTAATTAATAAATTTGGATAATTATCAAGTGCACTATATACATGTGCATATATGCGTATATTCTTAAAGATCATACCGATACTGGCATACATCTGGATGCGACTTTACTAGTGTCAGTTGGCAAGATTCCATACCGTCGAAACTGGACGGATAATTCGGATTGACAAAGTATGTATTGTTGTCGGCGGCCAAACCGCCGCAAGATATCGTGACTGCCAAAGGTAACGAATAAAAATAAGTCGAAGCGTTTCTTTTTACGCTAAAATAAAAATGCGTATCTCCAAGCGTTCTCAATGCCAAAACAACGTAAGGGAGAAAAGCCGAATTGATTTATTTATAGATTTACCTATGCAACACACCCCGTAGCCATTTGCGCAGACACCGCTGGATATACCGCCGCGTTGCACGCATTCCGCCGCCGCGACGCACGTGCCGTTCTCCCCGTTTATTCCACCGCAGATGCTATTGTCGAACTTGACCAATGTGAACAGCGAGAAGACTACGCGTGAAGCAATAATCGCATGATACATTTTTCCTTTACGCATGTATTGCCGAGTATTTACGGTATGCCACTTACGTCTTTTCTCCCTGGCGATATGAGTCCGATTATTGTTCTCGAGTTTCGGCGATCCCCATTTACTTTTCGCCGTTTCTTCATTCGAAATGCCAGCATTATTATTCTTATTATTCTGCCACAACCATCTTCTATTCGCAACCCTATGGCTGCCATGATTATTCCAAGCGTTGACGCAAGTATCAAACATAATGCAGCATATCAAAAGCGCAATCAACGACCGATTTCTCATCATTTTAGTAGCGTGTTTCATATGTTGAGAGAAAGGCGATGTTGAAAAACTTTAATACAACACTAATATATCGTTATACAGATATATCTCTTTACCACTTTTTTATTAAATCTTTATTACATATAGACTTTTTTTGCAAATCGAAATATTACAACAATTTTTAAAGGCAAACTGTTTAGTTTCTTGGTCGGAATGTGTCAACTATCTCCTGTAGATCCAAGGTGTCGAGTCTAATATACCCAAAACACTGTTTACACGGTCTGCATACCATGCAGCAAATTGTAGCGACTAACAATGAATTAAGCTTAAATACATCTACGTACGTATAAGAATTTCAAAGGGAAAGTCGAGAAATTTAATTGATGCTCCGAATAATGAGCATTATATTTGTCTTCTGAATCGAGATAAGTGCTATACTTTCTCGTCACCTCAAATCGCGCGATTACAATTAAGATACCACTGAATGAGAGACACGTTAAAGTACTTTAACGTGTCTCTCATTCAGTCAGAGAAAGTTGTTTTCGCACATTATTTCGTTACATGTAATGTAATTAATTATAAGATAAGATAGTTGTTTATATATAAAATATATTTTTATATAAATTTTTCCTAGCAATAATTCAAATTTAATAATTTTTTTCATTGACAATCACATTTGCTTATCTTTTCAGTTTTTTTAATTATTATGGAATAAAAATAGGGAGGAGAGGGAGAGAGAAAGAGAGAGAGAGAGAGAGAGAAGAAAAAGAAGAAAAAAGACAGAGGGGGGAGAGAGAGAGAGAGAGTTTAAATAGTCTAACTGTGTGTGTAATGATAAATTTAATAGAAATATATTAAATTTTATTAAATTTTTTCATTCAACATTTATACATAAAAAAATGTATCCAACATTTTTTCACATTATATAAATATTGTAAAATTTTTCTTCAACCAATTCTTATATTCAAATTTTTGTAATCTCTATTTGGAACATTTTATATATATATTTATAAATTTATCATGTTAAATCTAATTGAAGCGTAAATTAATCGCTAATTACAAATAAATTTTTTAAAGAAAATTTTATGAAAAATAAGGTATCGAATATTTATTCTCTCTCTCTCTCTCTCTCTTTCTTTTATTATATATACATATATTTATTAATAAGAAAAAGAGTACACGCACATATACATACATATACATACTACAGTGTCGGCGTGGGCGCGCAGGCATCTTACATAATTTTTTAATTTCTTACTAATTATTTCTGAGTGACAATACAATTACGTACGCATGTGTAATTAATGTTTCAAAGAACCGTTTAATTGACGCGTAAATTAGTCATGAAATAAAGTTTAGAAGAAAATTTGATGAAACATTTAATTAAATTTTAAATAAATATCATTTTGCAAGAAATTTTTTAAAACTAAATGTTAAAATAAATTTTGAGACTGCTTTTACGAGACCAAAAAATAAATAACATCATCAAGGATTTTTCAAGATTAATTTCTTGAGTTTAGGGAAGGTAAATCTATACGATATTGAATGGACAAATGTTGAAATTGTTGTAATTTTAAATAAAAATTGTTTCGATGATTGATATTATTGATAAACAATTTAAATCGAGAAATAATTTCTTGACTCAATTTTGATTTTTCTGAAAGAATCAAAATTGAAGAAAAATATTTTAGAAATCAAAAAGGATATATATCATTGTTTGCATGTGCACGCATGTAAACTAAACAAATATACAAAAATACAAAATATAAGATATTATGCTCTGATGTTGTATTATTTAGACTTTATTATTTGCAAAATACTTATTATTTTTAACAATAAATTGCACAACTATAATCGAGAGATTTTCACTTTGAAAATTATTCATACTTGGAAAAGATTGATAAAATATACGTAACGCACGTGCGCGCGCGTCCGATTTTTCGTTCCGATTATTCCAAATGCACTATATACATAAGACATGTATAATATAAAATTATACGTAATTTATTGTAATTAAATTACTGTGTGCTCTGTGCGCGCAATATAAAATTGGTACAATTTTTACAAACGGTTGAAATACACATGTATATCCTGCACGTAAATTTATTATTAATGGTAGTTAATACATATATTAATTAATTATGTTAATTGTGATAGTTAATTTTTAATTGACATTAAATTTTTTTACTCTTTTATTCTCTAATTTTTCACGCTTAAACATTTGACCACCTATTATATACACATTTCGTTTTCTTATTATTACATAATGCGTGTATACATACAATTTAAGGTACACGATAGAAATATAATGGAAATTACGAAGCGATACGCAGCTTACAATATGCGTGCTTCGAAATAATAGGGAAAATTCGCTAATAATAGATTACGCGCTAGCTGAAAAGCCTTCTCGTCGTCCCTTTTCGTCTAGATGAAACAACTTGAATTAGACACCGTGGGGCGTGGGGCGCTGTGCGACGAGCGTGCGCCGACGCTATCGCGCCAACGATTGTCCGCGGTGAATCAACTGGCACTGGCAGCTGACGGCGACGCTACCTAACGCTACCTACCCACCCGCTTCGGCTTCGCTTCGGTTTCAGTAGCCTCCGTCGGAACGACCATAGAGAACGACGGTGGCGAGGAGGCGAGGAGACGAAGGCGCGGTGAGGCGAGGCAAGGCGAGAACAGCCGAAATGGAGGAGAGCCAAACATCGGAAAGTGTCGCCGTGCTACCGGACATGTCCGAACCGTTGACGAGCGAGACCGAGGAGGCGACCGCATTGACGAGCGAGCACGAGACGCATCCCGTCGCGGTCACGGCGAGCGTTACTTCGGTGCCGGGCGTACCGGGCGTTCCCGGAGTCGGCGTGCCGGTTTCTCTACCCGTGGGCTCCATCATCGGCGTGTCCAACTCGACCCATGGCACGACCTTCAACGTCATCACCTCGGATCAGCTACAGGTACGCCCGTAACGTCCGGATAAACGCGCCGCGAGCGACGGACGCACGATTCGACGAACATTGTGCGTACACACACACACACACACACACACACACACACACACACACGCGTATACATGAACGGAACGCGCGATCAATGACACGTTTTATGTTTTTCCCATGTGTTACTTTACCCACGATGACGGATGATATCACGGAGGCTTACAGAGTACACACGTTGGAATAACGCGTCTGTCCACGCTATTTCGTCAGTCGACGACGGCTCTTATTCGTTTCACCGCGTTCTGTTTTTTGTGTTTTTTTTTCCGTTAGAGGTTGGCTAAAACGGGACACGGTAGATTGGAGATATTATGTAAGTCCCAATACATATAACCATATAAAACGCGAGCAAGCGAGTGTCCAAATGCGAACAAAATCTAGTTCCTTATATATATATTTATAAATGCAATGTGCTTCCAATACGCATACGTTTACTAATTTTACTCCATTATAAACATCAATTGAGTTATTCCAAAAAAGGATAAATATACATGTGATTTATTAATATAATTTATTTATATGTAAATTATATTTATCATTTGCAGCTGCCAGGTTCGGGACAATTCAAACAAATGCTATGCGTCGATAATGGATTCATCTGTGACTCGCGTCACGATAAAGATTCGGATCCTCTTCGTTGGAATGGTGAGCTGAAGGCAACCCATATAGTTATTCAAAATAGCGCGGATGAAACGGAATCGGAACAAATACATGTTTCTACTCCCAATTCTCAGCCAATATATAGTTGGTCTGAAGCCGCGAATTTAGCAGTTTTACCTGTCAGATGTAAGAACACGAATGCAGAATTGCACAAGAGTAGATTCGGATCTGGTGGTAGGGGCCGTTGTATCAAGGTTGGCTCAGAGTGGTACTCGCCTAGCGAATTCGAGGCTTTCTGCGGAAGGGCGTCTAGCAAAGACTGGAAACGAAGTATTCGATTTGGCGGGAGAAGTTTGCAGACTCTCATCGACGAGCAGATCTTAAAACCGCATGCCACTTCCTGTACTTGCGCAGCGTGTTGCGACGACGACAGTGCGGTAAATAAATCAAGCATTTGTATTCTAACATATTTCTTAGTTTGAAACAACGTCAAGCTTCGATTACACGCCATTGTCAATTTGTTCAGACAGGACCGGTGCGACTATTTACTCCGTACAAGCGCCGAAGGAGAACCAGGGATGCGTCCGACGGAGACGCTCCCTCGCGTAAACATAAAATTGACAATTCGCGAGATGGTAGCAATAATGACGAGAGCGGCGACGAGGTCGTCGTGCCTGACAAAGAAGTTTGGCCACAGTTTGTCTCCACGGATGGGGGATTGGTCGTACAACAATCTCAGGAACAGGACTCTGTTGTCCAAAATACACATCAAACGGAGAACGGTCAAGGCGACGACATTTTTAAGAAATTGGACGAAATGTCAAATAAAATGATGAAATTAGCTTATGAATTTAGACGTACCTTGGAAGAAGTAAAGGAACTAAACAGACAGCAGAGAAGAGAACAGGCGCTAGTAGCGCAACTTGGAGGACGGACGGACGTTATCGAAACAGTTGGACTGCAACCGGCTTCGGATGCGCATAATAAAAAGGTAAAAGGAATACCAATGGAGGAAAAAATATTTTATTCTCTACTTTCATGAGGGAAAGAAAGAAATTTAATACTTTAATCATTTATTTATAAATATCTCTCTCTTTCTGTGCAACCAACTATCAAAAAACTTTTCAACTCTCGAATTTTGAGTGTAGTATTTGCAAATCTCTTTTTTATATTCTCAAAACTGAAATCTTATTTAATAAGATATATTATCTCTTTGTATAATGCCATTTAAAATCTTTATATAATGGATTATATATATTTGCTGAATTATCTATATACTTTGTACCATTTTTATAATTGATATCATTGAAATGTTGTTTAAATAAACAGAAAAAATTAACAATTTATATGTATATTTATGTATAACTACTGTTTTAGTGATGTTACTAATGATGCACCTAACTTAAAGAAGATGCATACTACTTGTCTCTCATTAATATTACAATTTTTAAAAAATTTATTTAGCTCTTTTTAAATAATACTATATGTTTCAAACAAATTATAAGAACGTTATCAAGGTCTTTTTAGACTATCTAATTCGCGACAGAAGTTTATTTATAATTTTATCCGTCACATTTTATATATGTATGTATGTATATATGTATATATACTATATATTTTGACTTGTAAGTATTTCATGTGTTTAAATATTTTCTGTATTATATTATGCATAGAATTTATAAATAAAATTCTACCTTGAATTTTGTCGCGAATTACAAATTGTCTAAAAGTTCTTTGAAAAAAGAAATTATTTGACAGTATAATAAAAAAAATATATATTAGTACATCAATAATAATAGTAATAATATTAATAATGAATTGTAGTGTGCCAACTGCAATCGAGAAGCATTCGCAGAATGTTCCCTATGCAGACGCACGCCATACTGTTCTACATTTTGTCAACGTAAGGATTGGGCAAGTCATCAGATGGAATGTGTGAGAGGTGCAGCCGAAACAGTGATGCTCATAGTGGAAAGTAGCAGCGGGGATACGAGCGCTCTTCCAACAGCCACTACGGATCAATAGCTAGTGTTTCTTACACCGATTCATCAAAAAAATATAGAAAACGAAGAATCTGATGTGGAAACGTTCCAACTTAAGGAAGAGAAAACTTGAAGTATGCAAGTTATAAAAACAAAAAATGTATATATAAATGTATATATGATAGGAAATATTGTGTGTACATGCGCGCGTGTGTGTGTGTGTGTGTGTTTTATATATATGTAAAATGTATAAATATAAAAAGATATAAGATGTCCAATCATTATCATTTTAATGCTTAATAACATAATCTTCAGTTGAAATTAATTTTTCATCGATAAAAATAAAAACAGTCATTATTCTTGCAATTTGTATATCTTTAATATTTTTAATATTATATATACTTATTAACCAAAGCTTAAATTCAGTCTCTAAAAATAAACTGAAAATTAATTAAAGATTGATTTTTTTTATTTGGTTATCTGAAATCTTATCCTTATATAAAGAATTTTTTATTTTCAATAATTGATTACTTGAAAATTATTGGAATACATTAACATTTTTATATAAAAATTTTTTTATTTGAAATTGGCCAAAGAATGTGCTACTAAATGCTGACAGTAGTGAAGAAATAAATGCGTGTAAATTATTTTTAGATTATTGAATAAGATCGCGACAATTCAATGTTTTAAAAGCTTTATAGAAACAAGATGTAATGTAGTGTAGTGTAGTGTAATAATGAAATAGCATATCGTAGCGATGCTGAATCACATAACGATATAAAGATACATCATGTATATATGTTACTTTATATAAATAATATTTGCTTTTAGAGATTAATTATCTTTGTGAAATGTAATACAGTCTTGGTGAATGTACAAAGGCGTATATAGGCGATAAACGACCAAAGGCAACAACCTCTATAACTATATAAAGAAAATATACATATATATATATAACATAGAAATTACATTTCAGATATGTCATTGCATATACATTATAACACTTACTTTTTTAAATATGTGTGTGTGTGTGTGTGTGTGTGTGTAACGTGATATGAAAATTACTGTATTTGTATTTATATATATTTGAAGCTATTTTATTTATACATTTCTACATACACACACATATATGTATATCACAGAAATTTGTGGTGTACATTAAATATTAATGCAATATTATACATGTGTGTGTATATACATATATGTAATATTTATGTACACACAATTACACACGCACTATATATATATATATATATATATATATATATATATATATATATATTTAGATATACGGCATATTATAATTTATACAAGATATATCATGTACAAGCAACGATTCATTATTCATTCTTTGTTTGATTGCACACATGCCCATGCAAACATATTGTATGAGACTTATTTTTATTAAATGAAACAAATTTTAAATATTAACATGTTTCTTGAATAATTCTTTTAAAGACAAATAACATTTAAGAATTGCAAAACCTTATTTTTTTAATGTAATTGTAATTTATTTTTATGGGATAGATTACATAATTTCTAAAATTGAAAATTTTATATAACTGGAAGGAAATATGTAATCACATTTTACTTTTAATGAATATAAAGTGAAAACATTTCAAGATTAATGTGATAGCTGTATGTAAGATACAAACCTGAATAATTTTTTTTTACAGTAGAAATTTTACAATTTTATGTGAATAATCACACATAATGTATGTAAAGCACATGTAATGTAATATTCTTCTAATATTATATTATCTATCTTTATCTCCCTCTAACCCTCTTTCACTTCTTTCCCTCGCTCTCTCTCTCTCTCTCTCTCTCTCTATATATATATATATATATATATATATATATATATATATATATATATATATAATGTAATAATAAAGAAATCAACGAGAATAAATCAAGCAATTAAAATATACTTGTGGAAAATATTTTTAATTATTAATCTTATACTGAATATTACAATACACTATATATATATATATATATATATATATATATATATATATATATATATATAATTTACAACCGTTAGAAAAATCTTATTATAAAGATATAATATCTTTTAGAAGGTATAATACTTACTATATGTATATAAATATTTTATTATATAGTTAATAATTTCCATAATGTCTTAATCTATATAACAAAGCAGAACCTGTTCTATTAGCAATACTGAGGTAACCACTGCCAGGAGAAAAATTAATCATTTGCGGTAGACCTATCTTAGTTTGAAATGTTGGAAAGTTCGAAAATACAGTAAACGAAGGTATGTGCAACATTTTAAATGCATTATGCTTATCAACTGATGCCGCACTCAATATCTCGGATGTCGGATTAAACTTTAAGCTTGTTACACTAGTTACAAGATTCATCACTATTTTTAAAGGTGTCGGACTTTGATTCTCTAAAACAGCTTTTGAGTCATAAAGATTAACCACTCCTTGAGCGCTACCTGTAGCTATAAACTGGCCACTTGGAGATACGGCGAGTGACGCGCAAGATATGCATCCATCGTCTATGGCGCGATTAATACATGTTCGAGTATTGAGATCCCACACATACATTTCACTCCCACCTGTATTTCAATAGATTAAGTTAACGAAAACACAATTTAATGCAGAAATTTCTAGGAATTCTGTTAAAAGATAAAAATAAAAATAAAAATTGTAAAATCCTACTTACCATGCGTGATAAGTGTCCTATTATCTGGACTAAATATTAATGTTCTACATTTCGAGTTCATCTTAAGCGTACTGATAAGTTCTTTTGTAGAATTATGTAATAAATATATTTCACCCAATCTTCCACATAATGCTATTAAACTGCCATCAGGAGACACTTCATAATGCTGGAAATATCAAGATATGTTATAATCTCATTACAGAAACTTATTTCGAATATGTATAAAAATATTAATTCAACAAACTTTCATATTTGTAATTCCATGTGGTAAAGGTAATTTATAACTTTTGCCACTCATTAAATCATAAGTATGACAATATGGATAATATTGAGAACCAAGCAAGATTTCTGTTCCATTTTTCATAAATATTGCTTTGCTAATTGGATATTTTTTAAATTGCATACTATGCAATTTACCATTTGTATGACCATCTACCTGTAGAACAAATAACACTTGTGCGTTAATAAAGCTCAATAACGATAAAAATGTTATAATAATCTGATTTAATTAAATAAAATAATTTATATTTATTTAATTGTTTGACAAGGTTTCCTAAAGAAAGGTTTTAATTCAAAATGATTTTATTATATTAAATATTTGTTTTTATACGATAAATCTCAAAACTATCAACACTGATATTACATTTCTTGCATTACAAAAAGTAGAATTAGGAGACATTTTTGTATCACGCTCTTTTCAACAATGAAGTAAATTAATTATTTCTTTTTTCTACACTTTTCACTACACTTTTATTTTATTCTCGATAAAACTTTTGTTTTCTTCTCCACAATGATAATGAACAAAAGAAACATTTTCAAATTTTATTACATAACTATAAAATAAACTATAAATATCAATCGATTCTCGAAGTATTGGAGTTATTAAATATAATACCATCTTGAATTGATTAAATACACATACTTGAAATAATGACAAGATGCCTGATGTACCAGCAACCAGAGCTACAGTGGACGATGGATGAAAATCTACACTCGTGATAATAGGACCTTCCGTATGAGTGCTCTTATTCAAAGCTTTGAGTGCTTTGATGTCAATAATATTTTTTGGCAGATTCTTGACACTTGATGTCTCTAGATGGCAACTATGCTAAGAACAAAAAGAATAAAATAAAATTTAATCCATTGAATTTAAAAAAAAGGAAAATTCTAAAATGCTAAGATACCTTCAAGATATCATTATCGAAGTCATTGGCTTCATCCTTTTTCTCAAATTCAGCCCATTTTGGAGTACCCACAAACAATTTGTATCTATTCTCTAAGTATGTTGTATATAATTTTTCCGTTCTTTTGAATGGTAATTTGCATTTCTGTTCTCTTTGAGCTATATCCATGCTATTATATAACATATATATATATAATTTAGTATACGTAGTATGCTTGTGTATTATTATATATATATATATATATATATATATATATATATATATAGCAAAAAAAGTCTTTAAATATGTCTTATATTTATCTTTGCATCCTTATATTTTCATTAAATAAAAATATATCTTTTTTTATACATACGTATAATTGTAATCATCATCATCTATCCATACTGCTTTCTTTTCCTCCCGATTGGCATCCTCTTCATTATTTAAAACTAAAGGTTCTTGATCTTCATCACTTTCTCTTTCTTTTTCATTTTTAATATCAATGGGTTCGTTTATTACTTTTGTCATAGATTGATCATCCAGTAAATTATTTATGACATCACTTGGATCACCAAAAACGATTTTTTCCAATCTGCAAATTAAATATTCGTGTAATATTTTAAAGATAAAATAATTAGCTACTTTATATTCGTTATACCTAGCTTCTTCATCCGCATCGTATTCATTTTTCCGTTTCTTCCTCAAAGGAACCGAAAATCTTTTATTATACACAGAGTGAAACCCAAGAGCAGCCATCCTACCCCAGCGCACGTATATCCTGACTGTGTGCTCCCTGAGGAAGTGGACATAAACTACGTCGTTACGCTCGGTAAAGACCTTTTGCACGTATGCATACAAAAAATTTAGGAGTGCCTTGTTTAATCATGTTGCGATTAACTACAGCCAATTATATCAACTTGTGCCTAGGGTAACCAACAACGATTGACCAATCAAAGAGTCTTATTTTGAATTGGCCACATGGCGACGTGGTCAATCGTGTGTCACTAGAGAACCTCTAGGAGAGAGAATGGACAACTGATCAAGCTTTTTCATGATTGGCTGGCAGAAAATGTATCAATTTTAGCTATTGCGATGCCAATGCAAAATATGATGACACACAAATAGGACACACATGACACACATATATTAACCTATTTGTGTGTCATCATATTTTGCATTGGCGTCGCAATAGCTAAAATTGATACATTTTCTGCCAGCCAATCATGAAAAAGCTTGATCACATGTCACATGATCAGTTGTCCATTCTCTCTCCTAGAGGTTCTCTATGTGTCACCATAGACTTCTATAATAATACAACTAGACTGCGAGCTCCTGTCTATGGCCGGTATTCATAGGCCGGTATTCATAGTCCGGTCTTATATTTAAGATCATCTTAAGAACTCATTCCACCAATCAAATAACTACAATGCAGCTATTGATTGGTGGAATGAGTTCTTAAGATGATCTTAAATGTAAGACCGGACTATGAATACCGGTCATAGTCCGGTCTTACATTTAAGATCATCTTAAGAACTCATTCCACCAATCAATAACTGCATTATAGCTATTTGATTGGTTGAATGAGTTCTTAAGATGATCTTAAATTAGAGAACCTCTAGGAGAGAGAATGGACAACTGATCAAGCTTTTTCATGATTGGCTGGCAGAAAATGTATCAATTTTAGCTATTGCGACGCCAATGCAAAATATGATGACACACAAATAGGACACACATGACACATATAGGGTGCTTTCCAGCTATGGTAACACAGTGATACACTGTGTGACACAGTGTTACACAGTGTCGACTTGTAGTTGGAACGCTTTTTAGCTTTTTTATTTTGCCACTAGAGTGCAGGGCAGTCACTTTTAATAGTTGTCACTAGGTCTAAATTTTCAGAACGTTCCCACACAACATTATGTCGTCTTAAAGACGTCTAGATGTCTTTAAGTCGTCTTTTGATGTCTTTTGGACGCAATATCACGCAATACCATTCTTAAAAAAATTAATGATACCAAATATGAAATGTTATGTTGGCACTCACTGGGGTGCTACAAAACGACGACACAGGCGAACACAGCATTTTTGCTGTGTACGATTGTGTCGACTTGTGTCGTAGTTGGAAAGCACCTGTGTCGACACTGTAGCGACACAGTGTCGCCTGTGTTGCTTGCTGGAAAGCACCCATATTAACCTATTTGTGTGTCATCATATTTTGCATTGGCGTCGCAATAGCTAAAATTGATACATTTTCTGCCAGCCAATCATGAAAAAGCTTGATCACATGTCACATGATCAGTTGTCCATTCTCTCTCCTAGAGGTTCTCTAGCATAACCATAAGCATAAGGAAATTGATTGGTCCTCAAGTATATGCATAAGAAAATGAACCAATCAATTTTCTTGTGCTTATGGTTATGCGCTTATGCAAAAGTGTGTGCTGCGGCCTTGATGCTCACTGCGCGTAAGCGTACAAAGCGAACGCAGCTGAAATGTGGCTTTCTGCTAGCATAACAACGGTTGAAATTGACCAATCAGAACAAAGCAATTTGTCGGCCGATTACTCTGATTGGCCAATTCCAACCGCAACCAAGCCCGCAATCGTATGTCCCGATCTACAACAGATAATTTAAGCCCTAAGCCTTAAGAAATTGACCAATCACAGCCGAGCATTCTTTTCATACTTGACTGTGATTGGTCAATCTCTTAAGGCTTAAATTACCTATTGTAGATCCGGCCTTAGGGCTTAAGATCATAAGAAAACTGACCAATCATAGTCGATTATTTCGAAAATAATCAACCATATGTACGATCAACCGTATGTATGATCAATTTCATCTGTTTTGAATGTTGAGAAAAAAGGAGAGAAACATTCTTTCCTTTTTTTTTCAAGACATCCAAAGAGAGAAAAGGAGAGAAGATTTCTTTGTTCTCCTGGCTCAAAGTATATTTTTAAAGATGCGGCCTCATTGACGCTAAAAAGTAGCGTCAACCATTGGTTGAACAAAGAGGTAAGTATAGTTGCTTCATTGTTCAACCAATGGTTGACGCTACTTTTTAGCGTCAATGAGGCCGCACCTTAAGACGAGCAAAATGCATTTTTAATATTTATAGACTTCTTAATATGTAACAAAATGAAAATTGCATATTCAAAACTTTTATTACAATTACATATGAGAAAAGTGACAAATTTTAGTTTTGATGCATATTAACAAATACATTTCGTTATGCAAACGGAATATTGATAGAGGCACCAATATAATTTAGAATCATCCCTCATCGTTATAAAATGACGTAGGTAGACTAGAATCCATATGCTCGGACGATGATTTATGATCAAATACAAAAAGACATTTCGGCTGGTACTGCTCTACAGCTTCCAAAAGGCTATCTGGATAACCGGGCGAATAGTATCTAAAACAATTTTCCTTTAATTTAATAAATGACAACAATTAAAGGATAAAAGAAATGTACTATTCAAGTTGCCATTTAACTTACAACTTAAAATTTAAATTTGAAAATTTTGCTATTTTTCTGTTACTTTTATAATTTAAAAAATACAGGATACAAAATAAACATTGTTAAAAATATATTGTTTTGATAAAAACTCATGAGTTAATATAACGTTATATGTAGATTATGTTTTTCTATCTTATCAATCACACATACACACACACACACATATTCTTTAAGAGCGACCAACAGTTTTTTTAAAATAACTGTCGAAAAATTATATTTACACATTTAAGATTATATCATAAATAATTATTATGTCTTTAAAACATTTCAATTCTCGTAGAAATTATATAAATTTATTTGTCACAAATCACAATTTGCTGATCTTATTTTTTTATTTTTTTAATTGCCTTTAGAAATAAACACTTATTGTTTGAAATATATATATATATATATATATATATATATATATATTTCAAACGATAAGTGTTTATTTCTAAAGGCAATTAAAAAAATAAAAAAATAAGATATATATATATATATATATATATATATATATATATTTCATTAAAAAAAGTATATAGCGCAATGTGTGTGTGTACTATTATATGTTGGGAGTGTTGTGTGCGCGCGCGACAAGTATCCACGCGTAAAAAAACTATTAATTAACTACATTACTTTATAAAAATAATACATCTCTACAATACAAACTCAACAATATCGATCCACTGAAGCGTTTCGCATTTACGTATTGTTATGTTTCGAATACGATCAGCTGTGTGACAACATGGCGGGCATGCCGTTTATCGTTCGGGCGATTTAAAAATTAAATATAAGATTTAGAAACGGAGCCACGCAGTTATATGTATTCACTGGCAGCGTAAACAAGGTTATGGCGTCAATCGGCTGAATTTGTGATAATAGAAATGTGATAGAGAATCTGTCCTCAACCATATATTTCTTCACGTGTAAGTACCTTACCTTATTTTCGTAAAAGGGTTAGACGAACGAGCAACTAGTGTTTTGAAGAATTAATCTATCTCCTAACACTCATTTACACAATTTAATTTATATATCTCTCTTTTCAAAGAAATTGTTTTTCAATGATCAGTACCGAACACAAAAATAACTTTACAGTAGACTTCTGTAAATTATTGTATATTGTATAATAAAAAAGGTTATTATAGATTGACAATTTGGCTATGGAAGCCAAGGAAAAAGAAAAAATATTGCAATCATTAAATGCAGTTATTGTGGAAAAAGTATATCTTACGATATATATATATATATATATATATATATATATATATATATATATATATATTTATACATATATATTTTAATATATTTGATATATAAATAGTGATATATAGATTTAATGAATGAGAATCAATGATAGTTGTAATGTTGAAATGATTTTGATATATTATAGAATATTATAGATAGAGAAATATGTTTGATTGATTTGTTTTAAATATGAATGGAAATATTTTTCCAATTTTATATCACAGATAACACACATCACACACACACATAACATCTAAATAAATAATAAGTAACCTGACAATTTCTTCTGGAAAACAGCAATTGATAATTGTTATATATTCTGAAAGTGCCGTGCCAGGTTCAGCTTGAATCTCTTGTACTTTCTTCAAACCACCAGATGTTACAAATAATCTTCTTGCTTTCGCATCGTGTGGCAAAATCTGTATATATAGAAAAATAACACATTATAAACAGGCAACAATACATTTACAAGTGTGAATTATTTAGTTGAAATATAAAAGTATCAGTAAATTTGTACAATAAGAAATTGATTTTAATGATTCAATCAGTTAATATTTTCGAAAATGTGTAAAATAACTCTGAAGAATACAAAGGAATATGCTGGAAATGTTCAAAATATTATTAACAATCACATTGTATCGTATATTGCATGTAGGCTATGATATTCTGAACCAGATTAGACTTGCATAACTGTCTGTAAGTAGTACACGTATTAATACTCATGAAACTTATTTTCTCATGTCATCGCAATCTATGATATCGATTTTTCAACTAAATTAATGAAAGTAGAGAAATATAATATATAAAGAATGATATGTAAATAAATTTATACAGTTAATATACAGTTAATGTATACATTTGGAAAACCTACACTTATTTCTTATATTCTTATTTAACAATTTTAATTTGCTTATAGTTAATTTTTTATTCCATTGTTTATTTTTCAAACGCAACTACATATATTCTATTTCTTGTTTATCATGTGCAATTATATGTATTCATTCTTGCAACTTTTTGCACAGATATATATTAATTTGTATGTGCATATGTGCTTGTGATGTTAATTTTGACTTCAATTAAGGATATTAATTAAGGAAATGCATGTTTTTATTACTTTGCATTACTTTATACACTATTTTAAATATTTGCATATTAGCTTTGTCGTCTTTGATGCCATTAATAATCAAAATAATAATAATGCAAAAAGAAAAATAATAAACTTTCACTCCTTTCACACACACACACACACACACACACACACACACACACACACACACACACACACAGAGCAATGTTTTAAAACTTGCCACAAAACGATTCATTAAAAAGATGAAGCTCAATAATACAGATTGTAACAAAATTTATGTTCAGTTTTTTTTAGAGTTTTGAATCAAAATTTTGAAATCACGAAACTGCTTATTGAGAGATATAATTTTAAATTAAATTAATTGAATTATGTATAAAAAATAGAAATTTGTTTCCTTTATTAATTCAAAGTAAGTTCAGTGAAAATTAATAAAAAGTATAGTGAATAAAATATTAATGAATGAGATATTAATGAACGAGAATAAAATATTAATGAATGAGATATTAATGAACGAGAAGAAAATTAATAACATTTTTTTCGTGGAGAGAAAGTAAAACTTTGATATGTATGTAAATATGCATTTCTATCATTGATTATAATCCCTTCAAATTTTTCACATGTATATTGTGTGAGTGTGTGTGTGACTATATAAATATAAAATTCACATGTATATCACAATGATGTACCACATTTCGTATATTATATATGATATTTCGCATCATTCTGCATTTAACTTTTATTTTATTTGAAATGCTGGAAACCGATATGTAGACAATATAAAATATGTTAAATTTGCTTGTTATTGCTCCAAACTCTAGAATTATGCTCTATGACACAATATATACATATAATATATAATTCACAAAATCATATTGTAAAACACGTAAATAATTAAACTAAAAATACTCTACACTATTGATTGTAAATTAATATTGTAAAATGAAAAATAGATAAATCTTTTCTTGTTACAGCATTGATATAGTATCGTTTAAACTCTGGCTCACATGTATACTTCAATTATGTGAAAATTTTAACCATACAAAGAAATATGAAAAATATATTAGATTTATTTATGTAAAAAATTGTTTAAAAGCCGTTTAAATTAATATGTCGAATCTTGAGTTTTTGTCAAGTGTTACTGTGTTTTTCAATGTGTAATCTTCCCTTCCATATTTATAAAATCTGACAAGTTTAATTTGCATTTTTGAAAAATAAAAGGAAAAGAGAAGTTGAAATAAACGAAAGAAAAGAGGAGATAAGATGCGATAAAAATGTAAAAAATAAAGAATAAAAAAAGGACAATAGTTTTGACAAGAGAGCTTCTTTAATTTTGAATTGCTAAGTGCAATTTTATTAACTAGTTCTCCATCGCTGGCATGGAATATCTTAAACAAAAACAATATATATACAGAGTGTATCAAAATTCGCGGATGAGGAATGCACAGCGTGAATGCGTTTTTCGTGCCAAAAGAAACAACTTTTCCTTTGGCAAATTGCGTCTGAGCATTACTTTTTTTAATAAGAACAATTTTAAGCTAATGAATAAACGCTTTTGAGATTACCCATGAATCAGGAGCGGCGCGCGCACGACATGCATTACGTTTAAACGTATTACGCTATTTTGCTACAGATTTCATCAGAACTATGCATGATAACTAAATATTTGTTAAATATCTATGAAATAGCTATTTTCAAAACAATTTACTTAATGAAAACACATTTTCCATTTGATATCACCCTGCAACTGACTGAAAGTAAAATAAGTAGATTAGATAACATGTGATAATTTTTTGACATATTTGATTTAGAAGAACAGTTCCATTGTGCAATAACAATCGTCACATCAGGAATGATGCAAGAATTAAACAAGAAAATCCTATCCGCAGAGCGAACATGTGTATACAAATAGAAAGTCTGCATTTAAAACATATGCTTTAAAACATTTATCGATCTATTTTAGGGCCAACAAAATTCTTAGAACGTTGAAACAATAATTTTGAATCAAAATTATTCACGTGTTATCTAATCTACTAATTTTATTTTCCATCATTGTTTCCGCAATATCAAATGGAAAATATTCTTTCATTAAGCATTGTTTTGAAAATAGCTATTTAATAGCTATTTAATAGATGTTTACTAAATATTTAGTTATCGTGCATAGTTCTGGTAAAATATAATAAAATAGCGTGTATGCGCGCCGCCTTTGATTCGTGCGTAATCTAAAGCGCTTCGACGTTAGCTTAAAGTCGCCCTCATTAAAGAAAATAATGTTTAGACGCAAAAAGAAAACAGTTGTTTCTTTTGGCACAAACTATCACGCTACGCATTCCGCGTCCGCGCGCGAATTCTGGTACTCTCTGTATTCATAATGTTTCTATATTTTAAAGATAAGAGACCCTATAATATAAGTTCACGTAATTTGCGTAAATTAATTTAAATTTACATTATCGTTCTCATTTTAATTTTCTCATTTTCATCTGTTTGCAGCGCTTATTGCGGTTTTACATTGTGAATCATCGGTAAAACTACTTCCATTGATATATAGCGGGAGATACTGCAACGCGTGTTTTCAACTACCATTGCATCATTCGATGACGGAAGTATCAAAATCATTTACAATCAATTTTATTCTCATCAACTGCAGCTTAAGGATGACCAACCCTGAAGTTCTGTGAAAAAAGCTAACGAGCAACCAATTTGTGCTTTATTACGTATGCCACGTATTGAACGAAAATGCATTTGGACTGAGGTATAAAAGCGTTTCGAGCGGATATGCGTTTTAAAAATTATGTTTTTGCGTCGTGAATGTAAGAACATAGTGAAACCGACTACGGAAAATTAATACGACTTAAATTTAATCGGCAACGGCTGAAGAATAAAGAAAAGTTTATGCTTTTCGGAAAGGATACAATGTGCTAATTTATCATAATAATATACCGTATAATCGCGAGCGCTCGGTATGTAGATAACGAGACAAGATAACTGTCTTAAATTTTCGAGATATCATGACAGCTTGAATGGCAAAACAAGAACATTTTATTCCTTTACAAGTTGTATATCGCGCATGTATATGTATATTCGTGCACACACATTGGCATATCTATAAATTCTCTTCTGTGAAATCTGCTAGTCAGTTTTTTCGAGATCACGCGACAAAAACTGGCTGCTTTAAAGATGAGTTTATTAAAATCTGCACGATTATATAAGAGAATCTTTGAGAAATCTTGAATAAATATCTGAAAAATTTAATTTACGTTTCAAACAAATTGTGAAGTTCGTTAATTGTACATTTGTGTGAATATTCAAAGCGCCAACAAGCGGAACAAGTGTGCATAGTAAAATAATAAAAGAGAAAAAAATAGGCATAGCCACATCAAAATGATAAATAATCAGCATTGTGTGATTCTCAATACTGGTGAGACCAATAATTATCATCAACCGGTCTCGGCTAAACCCTCTGTTGTCTCTGTATCAAGTATCGATTCTGATGTCAGCGACAGAAGGGATGTACGTGAAGAATTATATGCCGGAATTTTTAGGAGGCACAGAAAAACTATACTGGTATTAGGCAGTTTTCTTAAGATGTTAAGAGTAAATAGAAACATGAACAATTATGCTAGTATTAAACCCAATGATGAAACAGATGAGTAAGCTAATGCATTAATTAACGGAAGATTTGTTTTATGAATTTAAGTATAAAAGCATTAATTTAATTATTAAAGGATAATTTATTTCGAAACATTTCTCTTTTAGTTAGATATTTGTTTCACGCTAATAGAAAACTCCCGCAATACAACAAAATTTTTGTAATTTTAATAGATTCTTTCAGGCAAATTTCTTAAAATCTAAACGATATCAATATCAAGATGTGATTTTTCAAATTGTTAAAAGTATAAATTTGATATACATACACACATATAATTGCTGCAGATATTTATACAGATTATATCATTCTCAGTTATTTTATAAATGACTATACAATAAATTAGGACAAAATAAAATTTAATTTCAATATTTTTTTTAGTATTTATATTTTTCTATTAAAAAATTTACTTTACTTTTTATTTTATTTTTTTTAATTCACGATATTCCGATATGTTTTATTTTTGAATTTGTTATATATACGTATGTACATATATATAGTTCATTATATGTAAATTTTTCTTACGAATTTTTAAGTTAAAAAAAATTTTCTTTTCTCGATATAACTGATTACAAATAATAAAAGAAATAAATTATAATTAACAAGATCAATTGAAGAAAACTGCCAGTGAAAAGATTTATATATAAATAGAGGAGAAATTCTTTTATATATTTATGAACATTCTGACTGCATTTTACAAAAATACAGAAGAAACTAAGAAAAGATATTTATACTCTGCAGACAAATTTGCCCATCGAAAAATTACTATCATCCACCTACATTTGTCAAGTTATCATCATTGGTTTTAATAATAATTCTACATAACAATATTTAGTAATAATTCGACATAACAACAATATATGTAATTTTTCTCTACAAATAGTTTGCAGTTTATGTCAACTGCATGTAGCATTCATCAATATGTTGAAACAATGTTAAACAATTTTTTTTGTTTTGCAGAAATATTTGGACAGATTGCACGCTTTGAGCCGAGTATACGCCTTAATTGCTTTAAGATTTGAAATGCAAAAATATTGGTAAAATCGATATTTTTTCTATATTTTATCATATATATTATGTATTCGTATTTCAAAATTTGTTTCATTATATATCGCCTCATGTCTCATGTTAAAATGCGAGGTTTAGAAAACTGCTAAATTTTTCACGCTTTCACAATATCAAATCTTTTTATACAATTATAAAAAAATTTTTATCAAGAATGATGTATCATATTTTAATGTTGCTGATATAACCCATATAGTTAGCTCGTGAAATCGGTCAATACCTTAATGTATATTATTATCTATATTATTACGACGAGCTTATAATATTTATGAGATGCGCGTGCGTACATACGGACACAGACACATACACACGCACATGTACACACACACGCACTCTCTCTCTCTCTCTCTCTGAGGGCATATATAACAATATAAGATTTGTATAATAATTATAGATTAATGCGAATATCAAATCAATGCCTTAGTGCTTTATATTTTGACATCTTTTCTAGTTTTATCATTTATAATCGAGTACTTATTAAAATTTATTACCAATTCAATCGCTCTTTGTCGTGAATATTTTTTTGTATAATCTGCATCTTTATACTATAGTGTCATACATACAAATACTGCCATTAGAAAATAAAACAACAATATAGTATACGCGAATTAGTGAGCAACTCGAAAAACAATCATGCGTTTAACAATTTCCTAAAACATATTTAACGATAAGTTTTAAATAAATATCTTTATTAAATGAGATAAATATGTATCTCTATACTTAGCCGAATCACTCGTTGTGGTAAGACTGAAAAATGTGCTCTTTTGGAACATTAAATGTGCCATGTGCTATTTTAGAAGAAGAGAAAGAGGGAAAGAAAGATGAAAAAAAGAGAGAGGGAAAAAAACAAATTTTTTTTGCATTTGTCAATTTCTGAATTGCAGTTATAACATTGAACGTATGTAATGATATAAAGCATATTTTTTAACAGTAATAATTACAATTATAGTTTACATCTAGACAACGTATGACCGATCGAAAAGATTTATCTTTAAAATAATATCGGATGAGCGATATAAAGTAATCATGATTGATTTACAGATCAAGCAAAGGATTCATAGAACGTACAGTTATTTGCGTGATGTTGCTATTAAATATTATATGTATTATTACGTATGTATTGCGATAAAGTTTAGAGATTTATTTAAAACTTTAGATATATAACTTGGAAACTGTAATTTATGCTAATAGTTTTTTTAAACTTAAAAAAGAAACATACATACTGGCGCGCCTTTTAAGCAATAGTAGGGCGAAAATTTATATACTAACAGCTTTATCAGATTGCTTGCGTATACATTTAAACATCGCGTAAACATAGACACATGTAATATAATTACGGAAAAGGATTTTTATCGAAAAATGATGTAGAAGAAGAAGCAACAGACATTTTGTTTATTCGATTGTCAAGATTCTACATGATTTTTTAAACAAATAATTATGTTTCAAATGCATTTAAATGTATCGGGTGAGAAAAATTTGTATTATCACTTTGTATAATGTATTATTAGAACGTGACACACGAGAAATCACGTGTATGTGAAACACAATAAAGTATTTATATTATGTTTAATAAATCCTAGTTTTTGCCATCGTTCCTTTAATCATCATATTATTAACATTATCAAATATTCACGATTAGCTTTCAATTAAATTATAGTCTTACCTTGCTGAATTGTCCCAGCACATATTTCAAGATATTAAGAGGCACGTCATGTAATAGAGGTTCAAGAGCTTCGATGTACATGCATTTTTGCAGCACTTGCTTTAATGTTGTGTTACATTTTGCCCTAAGATCTTCGGAACTTTTCGAATCGCTATACAGCTATTCGGATTTGATTAAAAGAGATTTAATAAATTAGCCTATTTTAACAGAGTTAATTCTGGTAAGGAATAACTTAACATTTTTAAATTACCTTCAATAACTTGGGCAGTATGTTCGCAGCTGCAATTGCTTTTGCATGTTCGGGTGTATGCTTGCCAATTTGTCCGATCGCCCATACAGTTACCGCAAGAATATGATCTTCTGTTTCTTCTTGTAAGACAATCGTCAATTGTACAATACCCTATATATATATATATACAAAGTAATTAATTATTTTACAATGTTACATCAGATGGAAAAGAAACCAATGTTATTTTTCATCGATCGATACTTTGGATCCTATTACAGCTACAGCCAACTGATCAGAATGACCAGCGATGTAACCAAGCGCCATGATCGCTGGTAATCTAGTTGCCGATTTGGATACGTTGATTAATTCGATAAGTGCAGCGATACCTCCAATGTTTGTTGCAAGTTGCGCCAGCTGATAGAAAATGCATATTAAGAGTAAAATGAAAAATAAATTTTTATTGAAAAGCTACTTGTCCATTTGTTTCAATTACTTCCAACGTGTGTTTGCAAATTTCTCTGGTTAAAATTGCAGCAACTCTACCGACATTCTCATCCGGATGTGCCATGTGCACTAAAACATCAGGAAAAATTTCTGCCTCGATCACAGCCTCCGCTAATTCCGTAGAATGTTTGGCTATACTGCTCAATGCCAACAATGCTTGACGCTGCAGAGATTAAAAATATTCAAATGCAACAATGAAATGTTTTCAGAAATTGTGTTTAATGTGTCAAATTACCTTTGCTTTGGCATCGGGATTAGCTAAGGTTTTCGCGAGGAAGGCGACTGCACCTGTGTCCACTACCGCTTGTGCAAGTTCGATACTATGTTTACTTATGTCGCTAATGGCCGAAGCGCCGATTTGTTTAATATACAATTCGGGTTCTTGCAAACACAGTACAAGAAGTGACGCCGCGCCTTGACAGGAAGTATAATATAGTAGAATAAAATATTAGAGATTAAACAATTTTCTGTACATTTATAGAAAACAAGCCAAAATAATTTTACCAGCATCTACTGCTGTTTGAGCCAAACTCTTGTTGTGTCTTGCGATATATCCAAGTGCCCAAGCAGCTGCTTCTTTCACTTCTGGATCGAAATCTTCCAAACACTCAATTATAGTCTCCAAACCGTCATGGTCTACTACTATTAATGCCAACTCTGGTGAATGTTTTGCTATCGCTCGCAACACAAAGAGTGCCGCTTTCTTGTAAAATTTCTATATGACATGCAATATATACCTTCCTTAATTTTATGTTTGTTATGTTTGTATTTTCATAATATATACATAAAAAATTTTTAAATCTTTAAAGCTGTAAATATATATATATATATATATATATAATTTTTTAGAATAAAATATATAAAATTCGAAAATTTATGTCTTAAAGATTTTAAATTTTCTATTTGCGCCGCACTACTGCGCTCGGCTCATATTTGCCCTTTTTAATTTAATATGGTATCGTGTTTTAAAAGTTTATTTTAAAAGTTTATGCTCTATCACAATTAAAATGCTTACATTTAAGAAGTTCATACATTTTGTTTGTCTATGTTCTTCAACAAATGTGACAATATATCTCTTCTAACAATAGCGTGTGCTAGTCTGGAATTATGATTCGCTAACTTGCCGAAAGCGAATGCCGCCATATGTTGAATAGATGGTACGGTATCCATTAGTAAAGGTCGTAATAGATCTATTACACCCGCCGCCTCTAAGCAATCGATATTATTAGGTTTTGACGATAAATCCGCTATAGATTGCACAAAGAGCAATCGCGCCTTTTGATATTGATCAAAAACTAGAAAGAATAAGAAATTGTACATATTTTGTTCACAATATATCTAAATAAATCATATATATATATATATATATATATATATATATATATATATGTAAATATATGTATATCATATGTATTTATAGCATTATACGCAAATACACATCCAAATATTATGTATGTAACATACATCAATGAACATTTCTTATATTTTTGCTATAGAAGAAACACCTTTTCTTTCTGAATGATGTATTTGTGCTTGAATATAATTCATTATAATGATATATAATAATAAAGATGAAATAAATGTGCTTACCTTGTAAAATCGAGCGTGCTGTCATATTAATTATCAGAAAATATCAGACATTGTATTTAACATTATCGCTAGTTAATCTATGACATTCTGTGTCTCGCGATATAGGAGTAATTTTTGACAACTCTTAATGAAGTCGTCGTCTGTTTGAAAATGAAAATCTGGCGCTCTTGAAGCTCATATCATACTATGCATTAGAGACTGAAATTAAAGATAAAAGATTAAATTTTGACTAATTAGAGAGAAAGAAAGAGAGATGGGGAGGAAGGAGAGAGAGGGAGAGAATAAAGAAATCTATGCTCCTTTTTTGTCCTGATTGGTCAAGTTTTAATCTTTAATTTCAATTTTTATTACATAATCTATTACTAATTTTAGAGCTGTATCAAAAAATAGACACAACTTCTATTCTGCAATGAGAGGAAGATTTGCAATGAAAGAAAAGTCAAGAACTTTAGTGTTAATTCAATCATTTTCATTACATTTACCTTCAATTGGGTTTAATCTGCAGTTGTATTATATTCTTTTAAGAATGAAATGATTGACTATGGATATGAATGACTGTGGTCAGCTTAACAACTGTGATTAAGAATAACATGCAGAGATTGATATAGAGCTTATAATAGTGGAAGAGCCTTGCCTATGCGTCGACAAAGGAGAGATTGTTTAAAGAAAATCAACATAGAAAGATGGATATATTCTATCTCCATATCATACATAATTTTAAAAACAACATAACAGATCTGTTCTACACATATGTTTATCACATATGTTTTACAATTTAATAATGTTAATTATTTCTGATTTTCCATTTCTATATGTTTCATTCTTCATTTCTTACAAAGAAATAAAACAATATCAGATCGCAAATTTATGGATCTATTATCACAATTCAAATAGAAATATTATCTTTAATATAATAGAAATATTATCTTTCTTAATCGATCTCTCCTCAATGCAACAGAGCCATTCTGTTAATACAAGTTCCATCAAACATTATTGATTATATCTATAGAATGATCAACATGAAAAATTCCAACAATGTAATTTCTGCATATAATAAAAATTTTGTTATTGATTATTATTGATATTCTGCATGTTAATTAATGAATAAGTTATAGAGTTATAAAATATTAACTTTATTATAATCATACATCAACATATTTGTAAAAAATAATAAATATTGATTAAAATATATGAGAAAATGTAACATATACAAGTTTTTTTAACAATTATACGAATAAATTTAAGGAGAATAAACTTCAAAGAGAGAAAAAGACGAAAAATATAATTTTTTTCCAAAACAGATTGCAGAGACAAGTAATTGGCTAAGTAAAGTATCCAGAAATCAAGCATCATTTATATATTATATAGGCAAAGACTTTAACAGTTTTTACATATGTTTTATTACAAACAATAATTGTCTGCTTATCGATTACCAGTCTATAGCATTTTATCTTCCGCTGTATATCTCTTATACATACGATTTTTATATAAGCTATTTATTATCTTTTAATATATACACCATTAATTATTCGATTAATTTGTTAATTATTTGAATTAGATTTACCAATCAATTCCTGTTCTCTGCGCAATTCTTGCTCGCGTTGTTGTTCCTTATTTAATGCTTCCTTTTGCTTAATCTGTTGTAAACGTAATGCACGTTTCTATAATGAAATTTTTTTTAGTAAGCATTATAAATGTATTTACATACACGCATGCATACACGTACACAGGTATACGCGCTCTCACATGCACGCAGATATTTGATATGTATTCTTATAAAAGAGCTTTAATTCACCTTTAATTTGTAAGTTCTTTCATGAATATTAATCATTTCCTTTCTTATCAATGTTAATTTTCCTTGGTAAACTTTAATAGCTGCAAACTGTAACATATGTTTATGGTGCATATGTATGTAGGTATATATATATATATATATATATATATATATATATATATGTATAGTTTACTTTTCTATTGAAAATATTAATATTTCAAATATATATTACTATAAATCATACCATATCATTTAAATCTATATCTTCAAATGTTTCATGTATCTTTTTGTTTTCAAGTTGCATTTGAGCGAGCAAAGCTTCTTGTTTACTTCTACAAAAGACATCAAGGTAAAATATCTTACTATTTGTTTCTTATTAATGATTTATGTAATGCTTACGTGAGTTCAAAAAGTTCATTTTTAACTTGTTCCAAGGGAGGCTGACAAATACCCAAAAGACCTTCAGCCAACTTTTCTACTGCTTTTGAGAAATATAATGTATCTTCGCTATATATCAAAGAAGGAATAACACTATTAAACTATAATATAATTAAATTGTCATTAAACTTATTCCTATAATATTGTAACGTATTTTTTTTTGTATATATATATTGTACTGTATAATCTATTATACAGGTATATAAAATGCACCAATAATAATATTAAATTTTAAATACTCATAAAATAGAAAATTGCACAAATATTGATATTATATTTTTCTAATCTATTTGTATGTATTTATAGATTAATTTATATATCTTTCTTGTCATAAACTGGAATAAACTTTAAGAAAATCATATTTGCATTGTAAAATATGTAAACTTGTTTTCTGTTTAAAAAACGTTTGTTCATCATGGAATAGTTCTACCAGAGATTCTTTATTACTCCGTTACAAATAAGAATTGTATTTAAGTTGCTCAAATTCAACTCAACAAATGAAAATTTGAAAATAAGCTATTTACTAATAAAGAAACATTAGGCGCGCACACACTGTACACACTTACTGACATGTACGTAACATGTATGTATGTATACGTATATACACATCTCACATATAAAGAACTTCCATGTATTAAATGATTGACATTTTTAAATGACTCGATGCTTGTATGCAAACAAGTTATAAAAAGGTTACCTGACTTCCTTCTCAGTTTTCAGTTGAATATCCATGACTCCAGCTTCTCCTATGTCATTCATATTCTTCGTCGTCGCTTATTTTCACCTCATTCGTAATCATATAATCGAATAAGTTTTCCTTGCGATAAAAGAATAATTATGAATAGTGTGACTGAAATCTTTATACATACATATACGTGTAAAGAGCTTCGAGTGATCCTCTGAGTCTCGACTCGAACGCGAGACGCGAGACGCCCTCTGTGGACATGCTACGTGTACGAAATGTCGGTAACGAGTTTTATATAAAAAAACGAGTTCTGCATATACATATACATATACGCAAAAAGACGCTTACGTATTAAATAAATTTCTAACATAAAGATGTTTTATGATGTTATTGCTTATATAACGCAAAATTGACTTATATATTAAATAAATTTCTAATATACATATACGACATTATATATGATTTACTTTAAAACTGAAATCACGAATAAAATTTATTTTAACAACTTGTAAATTAAAAATCATTACTGATAATTTTATTGAAATGAATCGATTTTATTACTCTCTCACTCTTTCTTTCACACACAACAAACACACACGCGCACACATGCACAAAGTAAATATAGCATGCTAACGAGAGAATATATATATAATGTGTGTGTGTGTGTGTGTGTGTGTGTGTGTGTGTGTGTACATGTATATAGAAGGGTAAATAAAAGAAGAAATGTCACTGCGCATACATATATATATATTTTTTTGTTATATTTGGATAATATTATAATTTGCAAAATATAAATAATAAAATTTTTAAGATGATACATCAAATATATGCATATATATTAAAATATATGCATATATATTTTAATTTTTATTCAGGTTGTAAGCTTATCTGTATTTCATAAATTCACGTGCGATTAATTACTTTTAATGATAGATTAAAAAGATAATAGACTTTATATTTATTAAAAAATATTAAATTTTATAAACTTGCATTAACGCGAACACTGCAAAGATTGCTATTGCATTTTATTATTATTATATATATTATACTATTGCAATTTATTATTATTATAATAGCGAGAATCTTCATAAAATGTAAGTTATTTTCAAAATCCTTTAAAAAACATATATTAAAACATTAATTTTTTTTATTTTCGCATTATAATATTGTAATCATGCAAAATAAAATCGTTATAAAAAAATACAACATAATTTAAAACATATATTTTATTTAACTTTCATTTTAAAGATGTATAATTGTTTTGATTATCGTCTCAAAACATTTAATACTTATATAAAATCTGATAGGAAGTAAGAAAGAGAAAAAACGCTTATATTAATAAAGTACTAATTTAATTTGCTAAATTTCAAACTTATAATATACATACAATTTAAATTGCATAATTTTCTTTACCATTAATTTATATATTCAATATATGCTGTTTAAAATAAATAAAAATTAAGAAACATATTGATTATAATGAAACGAAATACTGCTGAAAAATTAAAGTAAAGAAACGAAATATTAATATATTTTAATTATTCTTTCTTTTTTAAATAACTAAAATTAATAATTGTGACATGAAGCCTTGTAGAGCGTCTTTTCGTTAATAATTTTGGTATATAATTGTTCCACTGAAACGACGTGACATCATTGATTTTAACAACGGAATGTTTTTATATAAATTCTCTTGCCTTTAAGTTAATCTATATATATTGATGTAGAGAATTTCTATTATTTATGATTTTTCTAAAATATTTAGACACTGATCATAAAACCCTGAAACACTTTGTAATAAAACAATATCAAAGATTATTAACACAGTAAATGTTCCAGTATTTAAGATAAAAATTTTATATATAATTATATATAATTTTATATATAATTATATATAATTTTATATATACGTTAAAAATTTTTTAGCAAAGAATAATTTTCCGCGCATAAATAAATATGCAATATGTGAATTTAATTTTTTTATATCTATTTTCTAGACATTAAAGTTCTTAATAATTGATCACATACTTTTTAAAAATTATACCAATAGATAAAAAGAAATATTATCTATGTAAAAAAAAAGTTATAAAATATTAGCTACCATGATCAAAATTAGATAAAGTTTTCTTCGTAATTTTATTTGCGTAATCTATTTCGAGATTAATTTGATCGAAGTTATATTGTTGATTAAAAATCTGAGCCCCTAAAACATCAGTTAGATCATTAAATGTTTTCGGTTTTTTATTATGATATGATGTAATTAATAAAGCTTTCATCTCTTGGAAACTCTCTTCAGGCATATTAATTATGTAATTCTGAAATACAATTTTATAATGATTTGTAAATGATACTTTCATAAAAACATAATTTAATTGTTATTCTTATTAATATTCTACATACACTATTGTAATATAACATTAATTTTGTGTATTTTCTCAATTTAAATAATTTTGAATATAATACTGTGCCATATATTTGATAAATGTATGATTCAATTAATTTCTAATCGAATATCTAATCGAAACGAATTTAATATTTATTGAAATATAAACATTTTTCTTGAGGAAAGTAATGATTTTACAAATAGTTTTAAAAATAATATAAAATGATATGAATTTCGAAATATTCATGTCAAAATTTTATCAAGAACAATCTTTTTCATTTAAAAAAATGCAATGATACACATTTTCAACTTAATTTCTCAGAATTGCCATTTTGTATCTTTGTATAATATTAGATCATCACATATAATATTAATGTTAAATAATTATTATTATATTCATTTTTGTTAATTATTATTAATGTTAATGTTAAATTAATATTAATGTTAATATTTACCACCACAGAATTCATGAATAGATTAATTTGGTGTTTAATATCTTCAACTGTTTGCGATTTTAGACCTTGAGCCAGGATTTTCAATCTTTGTATTCTATTTGTTCGGTATATATCACTATATGATAAACAGCCCAACTGTTCCTCACTTTTTAAAATAGCCAAACGTTTACAAATTACTTGTTGCACAAAATCTAACATCACGTCCAACTCTGTGGATCGGGAATTAACTGAATAAAACATAACGCCGACGATACACGAGTCCTTTTCATACAACAAGCGAAATCGATTTTCAAAATTGTAATCTAAAATGAATATCATGATATACAAATTAGACTGCATCAAATAGATAATAGTGATTCATTAGTATTCCACATTTCTGTGGGCAAAAATCTTATTATACAAATAAAATTCTAATAACATGTGTATGGAGAGAAAAGGATATGAAAGAAGAGAGTGAGAAAATAATATTTAAATATAAAAATAGTAAAATAAACATTAAGATATGTTTTAAAGTAGAAAGTTGTGGAAAGTTCAGAGAGACAAATTATACTAAATATAAAATTTTATGTGTGCACTGTAATATAGAGTTTATCAATATTTATATATTATAAACATTAATTCTCCAATTGTCATAGTTAAAATTCTATGAAATTATAAAAATTCCCGGCATAAAAGTCCATGCGTAATCCACATATACATATAAATATACATATATATGTATATGTAAAAATATATATAATTATATATAAATTTATATATAATTATATATAAATATATATAAATTATATATAAGATATATATGATTATAGAGATAGATATATATAATTATATATAAGCAATTTTATTTTTTCTGAAAAAAATACGATGCAAAAATTATTCGCCTCATTATTTTATCAATTATTCGTCTTATAGTTTTTCCTGTACATATGGACACAGATTATACAAATATGTGATTATACAAATGTATAGACAAATTTTATATATAATTATATGTATATTTTTATATTTTTAATTACATATGAATTTTATTTTTCCGGATTTCTTTAATGTTTACAACAGTAATAAAATACTGATAATGAGATAGAAAAAAATTAAAAATTTACGTTAATTGACGATACGGAAATTAATTTACAATTATAAGTTAAGTGTATATTTACTATTACTTACCATCGTCGATATCATGATTTAATTCTATGCTTGTTGGCATCAATGGAATGATATTTGAGAATTTGTCCCGAATTAGAAATGCTATATTATAGGCATCTGATGCAATCATATTACCATGTATTAAGAATTCTACATATATTGAATTGAATAAGCTTGATATGAACTGTTGGACTTTTTCAAAAGTAATATCTGCATAACATTATCGTAAGATCTTTTAGTCATGTATATATACTTGTGTGTGTGTGTGTGTGTGTGTGTGTGTGTGTGTGTGTGTGTGTGTGTGTGTAAAATATAATATGTGCATTTTAAATTTTCAAAAGTATTTAATTATTTTTCAATAGTTTTTCATTCAAATTTAATATTCTAGAAATATGTAATTATTTATATAAACGAAATAATCATTACATGTGTAAAAAGAAATTTGTAAAAAGAAAAGATTTTTTTACCGCACTCGCAAAGAGTGACACATTTTTCAAGAATAAATATCATAAGCAATATTATTAACATGTATATATCATCTATTGTATACTTACGTGAATTTTTTTCTAATATTTCATTTATTGGCAACAAATAATTGTCTAGCTGGATTGATGAATAATTGATTAGCTGATCTTTTCCCAACTGTTCAAGCTGCATTTTACAAAATTGTTCGTGCTGCAAATGATTTTAAATAAACAACATTGCAATTCAATTTAATTCAACAAATTTTTGCATCTCATTGTATCTACGTACATTTTGCTTCTCAATTTCAAAATTTTTTGGATTTAATTTAAAGTTTATCATTCGATCGATGATTTTGTTTAACAACACATGTAGCTTGTCGTCAAACCCATCTATTTTAAGCTAAGAAAACAATTAATTTGACACATCTCTTAAACATATACATACACAATTAAACATACACAATTAATTCTAAGCAATATTAATTTTAAGTAAATATTTCTCAATTTATACATATAATAATGTTGAACAAATTATATTATATATATATATATATATATATATATATATATATATATATTTCAGGTAAATATTATTTAAAGGCAGAATTGATCAAACTTAAAAATAACATATGTGAATAAACTTGGAAATGTTTTGTTCAGAAATAAACTTTTTTTGTTGGTATATAAAAAATTCAATATATCAGTTAGATATAAATTGCATGAAAATAACAAAGATTTCGAAAGTGAATAGAGGAAATGTGTGGGTGTATGTGTGTGTGTGTGTGTGTGTGTGGTGTGTGTGTGTGTGTGTGTGGTGTGTGTGTGTGTGTTCAACTGCTTTACGTATACATGCGCGCGTTTGAATATGTATATTACGAATAATCAATTGTATCTAAAAATTTGTTTGATCAATCTTGTCCGATATATTTTAAAATACTATTGTATATTGTATACTATTATATTATTATTATTGTTGTCTATTATTATTTTACTCACTAGTATTCCATACTTAGTAGCGGAAAGCTGCCAGTGTGAATTAACTAAAATAGCAGGATATAAGTGCTCTCTGAGAGAATTGTTAACAAGTCGAACAAAGAAATGAGTGAGATTGGCACTGACAGAGTCCACATAGACAGGTGGACTAAAAATGTAATTTTAATGATTTAACGAAACATTTACCATTATTACAAAAATAGAATCTATTCAAATTTGTATTGTGTTTGTTGTTTACATACCAGATGAAATGGAAGATTATGATAGTTTTCGGTTCCTTAAATATGTCATCTTTCTTGTACCACATTCTTAGTAATTGTGTGTCCCATAAAACCGTAGGATTTTCTGACTGTAAAAAGTCATGCGCAAATTAAATAAGTGAGGTATGGTCAAAGTCGTGATACTATCTTAAACAAAATAATTAATTTTGTGCAAAAATAAGTTGAATAGAATAAATAAATCTCTTTTGTACGTGATTAGCTTTATTTCTAAAAAATAGATTTTAGAAAATTGATAATATAGATAGTGTTTACCTCACAAACTTATATAATAATTATTTATGAAAATTATATGTGACATATTATAATACAATTTAAATAATGGCTATAAAAAAGTAAAATTAAAAGATATATGATATATTCTTTCGATAGAAATTAAAAGTAATATCTAAGTTATTAAAAAATATACACACATTCATTCAGCAAATTTTTAAATTTAATCTTTTTTAGAAGTAATAAACAGAAGAGCAAATAAATATTACTTTTCGAGTTTATTATTTTTCCAATTCTCGAAATAATTTTTTCTCGAAAACAGATATAAAAAGCAAATTTTATATTTTATATTTTATTTTTGCACAAAGAATTACTTTTTCGAAATTTCTTTCAAATTCCATGCAATATCCTATATAAATTAATTCGTAAGCACTGGTGCAAGCTACATTATATCCAATTACTATTGATTATTAAAAATAATGTATGCAGAAACATATGTACTTTAATTTATTTAATATTTTTTAATACTTTGTACATATTTCGATACACTCGAAACAATATTGCGATAATCAGATATTTTGTATAAATTTTATGAAAATTACTATACATCTTATACCAGTGCTTAATGATTATTAAGAAAATTTGACATCTGCAATTACTTTCTTATAGCCTTCTGACTTCATGGAAACAGTTGCCGGTAAAAATTCGTTGCAGGCAGGTAAATTCAATTCCGCAGACGCATTGCTAATCCATTTGGCACATATTTTCGCCGGCACCTTCTCTTTTCGATATTTAAAGGTTCCGATATTTTCGGAAAATTCTGCAAAATTTTTAAACTTTTCCGCGATTATATAAATTCTCATATGTTGTTGCGATAAAAAATCTTTCAATATTTGTTGAATCCAAAATTGCTCATACGTAGGAATTTGATGCAGAATATCAGTCATATTCTCATATTTAGTATCTAGCAATAATCGCGAAATGATTGTCACGTATTCAAGAGGAGATTCCCTGTTTTTAAAACGAAATTTTAATTCTTTGATTTCTTTATATTCCTGTAAATGAAATATCTTACATGTGTGCTTATATACATGATAGATGCATTATATAAAATAAAATAAAAATCGTTCGGATTAGTACAAGCAACAATGTAATTATAAAAATATAGAGTGAATAAAAAATAGATCAGTTACTAATATTCTTTCGATAAAATAATTTCAAATTATTAGCATCTGTTTAATTGCATATTAATATTTGTTTGCATTTATCGGTACATACTACTTTTGAATACTCATCAATTATTTTAAAATTTCTTTACGTGATCAATGCCGCGACATACCACTTTTTTAATGCACAGCGCAGGATGTAGAACAAGTACTATGCTTGTAATAATGTTTATCACATTAGAAACTGCTTAAATTGCGATTATTGTAATTGATTATTATAAAGAATCCTGATCATATTCTTATATTCATATATCTTAAGCATGAAACGAATGCACACACTTATATACTTTAATTTTAAAAAATACTATATATATATATATATATATATATATATGTATATATCAATTTTTCTCATACACAAAAATGCAAACAATCAAGAAATGCGCATCTACATATTCTATATTTTATACTTACTCGTTTATTCATAAAAAATCATCCCACTGACTATGTTAGTACATCATCATTTTATAATAGATTTTCAATATAAAATTACATTTCATTACTTACATTAAATATTCTCCTGTATTCAGTACCGTTGCTTTCCTTCAACAGTTTGACATATTGGAAAAACAATGTCATGATATCATCAATATGCTCAAGACCTTCATCAGTTAAATTGATGGCAACGTTAAAAAAAGTGAACTCTTTGGCATCGCACAGGTTTCCAGTATCGATATCATTACCCCAACCATTAGCTCTTAAAACTGACATTAATGATCCTTTGCCGCCATATTCGAACAAATAGGTGAGAAAAGACTATATTAGGAGAAGTCAGTAATAAGATAAAATGTATAAATCTCGAATTATCGTTGTATGAAATTAGATGTAACATTAGCATTAATTAAATGATGAATTAAATTAAGTATTAGATATAATTACTACGTATTGTGTACAATTACACAGGCTGAGTAAAAAGTGTTTCAAAAATTTATAATCGTGTTCCTAGACAAAAAAAAAAGAATAAATATGTACATATGATCGCAAATAATTCGAAATAATGGAGATAATTCAGTAGTATTAAATAACTTATTTGACTTATTTGAACTTCAGTTTTGTTGTTGTTCTTTGCAAGAGATGCTCTACGTGTTCCCTATCATTTTTAATATATGCTTGAGCACGATATCTACATGATTGGCGCATTCGTTAAAAAACCTGAGGTGGACTATCTCGCAAACATTCTGGATACGTGTTCATAGATCCTCTTCATCGTTAAGTGTTTAATAGACGACGTTTTTCAAATAATTCCATAGATAAAAATCTCTTGCAAAGAACATTAATAAAATTAAAATTCAAATAAATCATTATTTAATCCTGCTGATTAATGTCCATTATTTCGATAACGAAGCATTTGCGACTATAAGTATTCACATAAACATTTGTTCCTCTTTTTTATTTATCCAGAAACACGCTCACAAATTTTTAAAATATGCTTTTGACATTGTATGTATGTATGTATGTATGTGTGTGTGTGTGTGTGTGTGTGTGTGTGTGTGTGTGTGTGTGTGTGTGTGTGTGTGTGTGTGTGTGTGTGTGTGTAATATTTGTATAAAAAGTGTCAATGCTAAATTTCTATTACCACATATTGTCGATGAATCAAATATTCTGAAGGAAGTATAATATATAATATCTTATAGTCTGTATAAAAACATGTGTGAATTCCATATATTTTATAGACAGATTCACATTTAGGAAAACATTGGATCAAAGACATTCCCTTTTTCATTTTTGCAAATTTGTTCAATTTTACTTGAGAAAAAAGACTTGCTACCCATACTTGAAGTTGTTCCAAGCTTTCTAAAAAATTTATTCGTTAATATTAACAAAATAAACATATTGAACACAACATTATACAGAATGCACTCAATACATACAAAAAAACGTACATAAAAGAGGTATTATTCAAAATAAATAAAAAATTATTTTTTTGTTCGAAGAAACTCTACAATTCTTATGCTTTTAATTTATTATTAAGCGATTAAAGGCAAAAGACTGACAGAAACTTGAGTTGTAAAATGATGTAAATAAATAAAAACATTAACGTATCTAATGTATTTTAACAAATTTATAATTTGAGCATTATTTAGAAAGCCATTGGTTTAAAGAAATTGGAAATTTGTAACAAATAGTAATTTTTGATATTTATGCTAACAAAATTTACTGAAGTGCTCTTATATTTGTAAATATGTAATAAACAAATAATCTCGTATATTTCAATTCTTTTATGTACATTTATAGAAAATATCTGTATTATTAAATTATATATATATATATATATATATATATATATATATATAATCATTGTATAATTTTCTAACAATTATTATCATTATTAATAATGATATTATTATTATGATCGAGAGTAATTGATTTTGTCGAAATTAGTAAAGAGAAAGATTAATAATAGATACGAAGAATAACTAACAATATTCACATGTAACAATAATAAACGATATTCATATGTAACAATTTTTTAAACATAAATTGGAAGAAAATAAAGCAGAAAAGTATTGTTTGCACAAGTAATTTGAAATCTCTTTCAATGAATTATTGTTAAATGACATTCTCTTCCAAAAGCAAACAATATATAATAAAATGATACGCAGTTATAATAAAATCCCATTACTACTAAATACGATTAATAAATACAAAATAAATATTATTGCAAACAGTTTTGAAACACTTTTCCGAAAATAACTCTATTCAAAATGTTTTGCAATTGATTTAAAAATACATAGATAAAAAATTACATAATATACGTAAAAAATTGCAATCTATATAATAATATAGATTATGCAATCTATATAATAATATAGATTATTAATTATATTTAAATGTATTAATGTTAAATTTATTAATATTACATACCATTACTAAGGATGCATAATGACATCATATGAGAGGAATAATAATTATCATAAAATTTCTGCATATATTTTACGATATTATTCGATATTGGTTCGGGTATATTTGGTATACTCGACACTTTTTCAAAATTATTGCTCTCTTCATTCAAAATCTGATAATCGCAGTCTATAGTCGATTTAAACAATTGCAATATTCCCCATCTATCTATTTTCCTCACACAATTACAAACATTTATTTCCTGTAATTCTGATTTTATCATGTCTGGAGTGAAGACGACCGAATTTATGAACAATTGAGCAAAGGATGTTAAAGCATTTTTGAACTTGGTTACGGCTATATCAAAACGATAAGTGCTGAGATTTTCTGTCGTTTCAGTAGTGACCACGCCGTTATTTTGCGATACAAATTCTTTAAACTTCTGTTGCGGACTATTTTCCGTCTTCAACAAATACAACACATGTTGCAACAAGTGTGTCAATCCTGGTAAATTCTTCGGCTCGGTTAAGGAGCCTGCAGTAATATATATTATTATTATTATATTTAAACAATTATACGATTAATAATTTAATAAATATTGATTACAAAACAACGTATTAATCCAGTATAACATTAATATGTGTGTGTGCGTGTGTGCGTGTGCGTGTGCGTGTGCGTGTGTGTGTGTGTGTGTGTATGCGCATCTTAAATTTTCGGGATAGATATTTTATTAAAAATAAAATGAGATGATGTGCATGTGGTGACAATAACAATCATTTCTAATACTTAAAAAATAAAACACTCTTTTTGAATATGAGATTGTTAAATATTGCTATCGTTAAGAATTATTTTTTTCGCTATTGTTGCTTATAATAAATTAAAAAATATATATTTATCAAAACCTTGTTGTTTCTATTGACGTTATCTTACTTTTATAGGCAAAATATATATATAATAATAAGGATAAGCAAAATTGACTTATATAAGAAACATTATTCATATGTATATAATCTCATTTTCTTAAAATAAGTGCGATTGTACTTATATGTGTATTGGCAAATATAACAGACATAAATACATTAATGCATTTGCAAAAAATCTAATCAAAGAGAAATAAATCGAAACGGATATAATATTCTTGTAATACATTTTCTAATTTTGATTTAAAGTTCCTTAAAAATTCAGTTTCTCGCTATAATAATATTGAATTGCACAGAATTATATGTATAGTCATAAAGCAACAAAGCATGCGACTTCTTTTCTTGTTTCTGCGCACATGTGTGTATTTGTGTGTGTGTGTGTGTGTGTGTGTGTGTAAGAGATAGAGAGAAATACATCAAAATAAGTTAATTTTTTTATATATTATTCAATCGTGTTCAATAGTATAAATTAAAATTTAATAAAATCTCTTTATTTCGATTTGTAAATTAAAACATAACTTTTATAATTGGCCATCAATTATCAACAAGATTTATTGTTACTAGAAATGTAAAATGTGCATGTAAATTGGATTATATATGTATTTAATATAAATAAACAAAAAAAAATTTTCAATATTTTCAATCCATATTATCGAATATGATGAATCATATGAAATAATGACTAATTTCTTTTTTCAAAATTTATGATTTCTCGCTCTCTCTTAATTTCATGATTCAATATAGCTGCAATAAGGAAACACTAAAGAGAGTTACTATCTTATAGCCAAGTTTTCAAATTTGCTCTGTACGCACAATGCAAAAGAATATAATACAAATTACCGATATTAACATTCAACGCAGCGGCAGCTTTGTCGGTCGTTGGATCGCTTATTAAAATCACCTTCATATAATTATTCAATAGTAACATCTTGTATAATCTATTGTCATTTTCCGATTTTATTATATGAGACCATTCGTTTTGCACCAAATGATTAATGGTCGTTATATTGGTCTCCATGATCGTTATACTTATGCTACTCAAATTTGGAGATTTTACTAAGAAAGTTGTAAACAAAACACAAAGCTTTAAAATCAAGGTCTCATCAACCTATCATATTTACAAATTTATACGATTGTGAGTGATAAATGTGATTGTTATAGACACCAAATAACTATCTCGCAAGTTTAAAGCTTATTCCAATCTGATTATTTATTCCTAAAATTTTGCAGATACATATATGGACGAAAAGAATGTAATACAATTAAAATTTTACTATATTATAAATTAAATGGTATATATACATATAATTTAATTTATAACACAGTAAAAAAATAAATATAAAAGAATAATTGTTAAAAGTTGCTTTTTTTATGTGCATTTAACACATACATATTATATATGTTAAATGCAGATAAAAAAACAAGATTTAACAATTATTCTTTTACATTTATTTTTTATCATTGCATGATACAATTAATAATTTACAAATAAAAAATAATAAAGAAAAAGCTGTGAGATATTATATGTACACATAGAGATTGGAACTTTATGTTTTAAAAATTTAGTTATTTATCGCTGTTATATTTATTATATATATATATATATATATATATATATATATATTATTTTAATACTAAATATAAATATCTAATTATATTTTTATTAAATATATTGATTTCTTTTTCGTGAATCGTTTTCTGCTCGCTATTAAATTTTGCAAAACAGATTGATTAATCTCTTCACAAAGATAGTTTCACAAAATCGCGAAATATATAACCGAGACTCCGTACTATACTTCGTATAATTCATATATTTTAACCTTAATTTCCCTTCTTATTCCATCCCTCGTTGTTCTCCTATTCGCATTTGCCACGTGTGACCGCTTATACATGACATAAAAATGTCGTTGTAATGATTATTTTAAATATATGATGATAATGCGTGTATACAAAAAAATTATCTCCATTCTAGGCGTGATTACGTGACAAATTAGTCTGTGGAAATGAATGGAAAAGCAAAGTGAAAAGCAGCGAGAAGCTAAAGAAAAAGCGATTAGCAGCAAGGGTAGAATAGCGGATAATATGGAGAGATTCTACATTTGGCCATTCCATATTTGTGCGTTAAAATTGCCGAAAATGTCCACTGTTTATATTTGATAGTTCCCAGTTGTTGATAGTAACCAGTGTTGTTTATTACATTAAATATAAATATCGCTATATAATATTACGCTGTAATTTTTCTAAGAAAAAAAAACCGATATTTCAATGTGTTACAATGTTCTATAACAATACTATAATAAATATGATAATCTTGCAGTGAAATACACTTCTACATTGTCCTACTACTTTAGTACATTTAGGAAGACATTTAAGATCACGTTCTGCTGCTACGTCTTAAGATATTCGATAATAATAAATCGATACTTCGATAACGTATAATCTCTCTGTGTACGTTTCTCTCGCAACTGTCCGTTCGTTTCGTGAAGAAGTGTATGCGAGATATTTATTCAAATAAAAACAATAGTGTATACGAATATATAACAGGCGATATTGTTTTTAATAAATATATCCCCTTCTCATTAGACATATTAATAATTCAAACAAGGTTTCGTATATTTGTATAAATAATAAAAATTATTCGCCGCTTTAACAGATTTGTATATCTCATCTCTTTGAAAATGTCCAAATATATATATATATATATATGTATATAAAGTAAAAATTTAATCATAATACTTACCTATTATAACGTATATGAAAAAACGCTTTTATTAAAACAAAACGGTTGCCAGCGATTTGTATTTTTTAATGGAAAGTAGATTCCTTCACAAAATAACATAAAATAACTGACTCACTTTGACCCACTTTGACCCTAAGAAACGAACAGCAATGAGAAATCTTGCATCTGCTTGCTCCATAAATACAGAGATATATAGGCTGCGTTCCGAAATTCATCTATCGATATATACACACGTATATTATAAGCCGGAATTTATAGTCCGATCTTATATTCAAGATTGTCTTAAGTCTGATCTTAGGTCATCTTAAGATTCTGTTCAGCCAATGAAATAGCCGTATAACATTTTCAAAGCTTACTTAAGATTATCTTGAATATAAGACCGCACTATGAATTCCGGGAATAGATTTTCGGTACTGACAGTGAATTTTGGAACACAGGCATAGTATACTCGATACACATCTAGCCATATAATTTTGCTATAGTATATGTATGGATTAGGCATCGCGTTAAGAGGGAGAGAGAAGGCGGCATTTCGGGCGTTTCTTTTTCCTTTATCCACTTCCTCCTTTATGACAATACTTATAATCTTATACTATTAAGGAAAATAAATGATTCGATATTCTTTCTCTTTGGGATGTTTGGGACAAGGATATAATTGTGATATGCCGAGCTATTTTATGTACATATATAATTTGTTCCTATTTACTGAGAATTATGTCTAGTTTATTTTTATGCTATCCAGGTAGCGAATATACGTAGTCTCGACCGAAATTTTTCATCTTTCCATATATTTTTCTCCCTAGGCGCGGATTTTTTAAATCATTGTCCAATATCGATGAAACAACGTTTTTATCCATTCGTCTAAAACTCTAAAATGTAAGCTACAACGACGAATATATATGAATAACGGAATATGTGTTAAAAAATGCGATAATATTAAGATATAAATAAATTGAAAAAGTAAATAAAAAAAAATAAAAATGAAAGTGATTATGGAAACACACATGATTGGTTCGTACTTTTAGGATAAAATACTTTTCGCTATATGAAAAATCTATATATGATATTGATTTGTGCGGCACAATGTCAATGAAATATATTTATAGATCGCTGTGTTACGGCGATAAATAAATAAATAAATAAAAAAATAAATAAAATAAATAAATAAATAAATAAATATACATAATGACAATTTGTATTATATGTAAATCAATTCATATATCTCACTCGTTTGAAACGTTTGATGGATAAATTATCATTCACTGAATCAATCAAAATAATAATTATCATCATAATTGTCATTATTTGTTATATTATTATTATTATTATATTATTAATATTATTATTAATCCTCTTATACAATATTTATAATTCATAGCTCAATTAACATAATTTTTGCTCTTCCCCTTTGAAGGAGCGTTATATTACACTTTCTCTGTAGCTCTCTCTCTCTCTCTCTCTTTCTCTCACTCTCTCTCTCTCTCATCATTTTTTCCGTTACTCTATTAAAGTATACACTTGGCATATAAAAATTACAAGGACAATTTATAGTGATAATGGTAGTAGAGTTTCTTGTGTAATAATAAGATAACAGTAGTTTTTTTCTAATGATAGTAGTTTCATAGTAATAATCGTAAAAGTTAGTAGTAGCAACTATAATGGTAGTGATAATAATGTTACCGATACTCATTAATCAGATAACTAGGAATTGTTTCGTTAACTACCATTCCACACGTATACTTGCATAAAGCCAGGTGTCAAATTTTCCTTCGTTCCTTCTTCCTTTTTCCCCCTTTCCTCCGCTTCCGTCCTCCCATCTTCTCTCAATCTCTCTACAATCGCGCAATTTGTTTTTTTATGTAGTTTTTTTATGCGTATATTATTATTTTTGTCTTTTTTTATGAATATATTTAATATGTGCCACTTTTTCTCGTAGTGATGACATTAACCGCTAATAGAATCCTCAATCGTTGTCGCGCATATAAGTGCGCATTTAGTAATACTGCTTTATTCTCGCAATAAATATGACAATAAATCTGACTGACTTCTCCCTTTTTCGCTCATCTGGCGCGCGTACACAAATTCTCTATTATTAACATCACAACTAGGAAGTGCCCCGTTTCCCATACATTACGTTATCTTACATTTATCATAGGAAACATGAAGTAGTATATGAAATTATTTTCGACTAAAATGATAAAATTGAGAATCATTCATACAATGTTGCACAGTGCACTCTTGTACATTTTTTTTTTAGAAATATTCTATTACAAGTCTTTCATTTGTACATATACACATATATACATATACATACATACACATACATATATATATATATATATATATATATATATGTATATATATAAAATCTTTATGTATTAAACAGCTATACATTTAGGATCATTAACACATATAATGCTTTACATTATTTATTATTAATTTTAATTATTCATTAAAATAAATTTCACCTAGTTTATGTAAATTATTATTTTTTTTTAAATAAATCAGTAGTAAATTATAAAAAAAAACGAGATACTAAATTATTGTTATAAAATTTAGAATAGCTGCATATCTCTCATAGTATTAAATATCTTTCATATCTATTTGTAAAATTTGTATAAAATCCTTATTGTTGATCAAGTAACCCTCAACCTAGTATAGTATTGTATAACCTTTGGTTATCGATACACTTATAGAGGGTGATATAACAAATCTATTAAAAACTATGCACAATGCGTTACTCTGTTCATTAATTTAATACTTGATAAGATGTAGTGCACCTTTTTCTTCCCCTTGTATCATATACATATATATAATACAACTAATTATATACTACTTCATATTTAAGAGATGTTACTTTTTGCGTCTCCAGCGTCTAATTGTTTTTTTTTTTAATTTCGTCTGCTGGCACTATTACCTGTGAGATGCGCACAAGTAACATTATATATATAACATAACAAACGAATACCATTTATTACTGACGGTTTAGGCATTTATATCGAGGGACATTGAATATGAAATGTAAACTTGTACATACAACACATTCGTATAGCTGTTTCCTACTCTGGATAATAAAAAAATGTATTAAAAGAGAGAAAAGTAGAATTATCTATTGTATCTTTTCACAATCAATGTTCCTCATATTTAAATTTTCCTCATTCTATTTGCATTAAAATGAGTTCTATCTATACAATTTTTATTTCTTAATTAGAATTTCAATTATAAATTCACTTGAGACTAACAAATTCTTTCTTTCATACCTTCTTTAGTTGATTTGGGGCAAAACGCTTGTGTCGAAATTAGTACGATCGCTGTGCGACTTGTATTTAATGCCCGATGATTCAATGAAAAATTATATTACACATTTCATTTACACATTAGAAGAGTGTCAATCGCACTGTATAGATTGTGCAAAAAAGTCGATAAATCTATTTAATGTGTATATATACATGTACGTATACATATATATATGCATACACACACACGCACGCACACACACATAAATTTTACACACGCCACACACACATGTATGTATGTGTATATGCATGCATGTATATATATGTATGTATATACCTATATCATATCCATATACATATATGCACGTGCGTAGACGCGCGCATACTTATATACAATTATTAATAGCATATAGCAGCAACGCTCATATATATATATATATATATATATATATATATATATATGTATATATATATATATATATATATATATATATATATATATATCATACAAAAAACACCGAAATAATGTTGGAATCCTTTTTTCAGCTCGATTTTTTCATCAAATAATCGATATCACGATTGATTAATGTTATTTATATGTTTCGCATTATTGTAAATGTTCTTCCATCGAATATATGTATGCGTGTGTGTGTGCGCGTGTGCATACACGCGTATGATTGTGTATCTGTAAAATCATAATTAGGATTTTTTTACAATATTATGTGTTTAAAAGAGGACAAAGATGAATCGATTACATTCGATGTCGAGTTCGAACTTAATCGTGGGAACACATCTATTATTGCTGAAGACAATATATGAATCGATATAAAATTGCAACGAAGAAAACAGACACGTATAAATGAATAATTGAACGTACAAAATGGAATCACGCAAATCAAATTGAAACAGGTCGACGTAGTATAAAAATCTATGTACATGACAAAACGCACAAGACAATGTCATTGTCCGCATTCCTACTACTTCCTATGTATACGATTAATATTAACCGACAATCACCGTCATCGGCGTTATCGAAATTCAATCTAATTTTGAATGAAAAATTTGTCAACGTTAAATAAAAGCGAAATAAAACTGAAATAAATTGGCAAAACTGCAGCGATTTTGAACAAGAAGAAGAGAAGAAACGAGAAAGATTGCTGGAAATGTCATAAAGATAATAAATACCGCAAGATTTCAAAGACTCTCGTTATGCATTTAAACACGGGGACACGAATTATATACCAGTAATTAAAACAATATAAGCGATTAAATTATTCGTTATTAATTATGCCAAAGAAATTGGGCTTTATCGATAACGATGACGGGTGGCGCGACACGGTCCATTTCGATGTGTATCATTTCAATGAAAGTCCATGTAAAAATATTTGATGTCGATTGTAACGTTACACACGTATAATGTACATAGACTTTTGATGACAACAAGACGCAAAATTAAATCGTTTCCAGGAAAAATATACACCCACAAGCGGAATCGTCTACAAATATTTCTGTTGTCTGCGCTTATTCCACTTTTCTATCCGATCAATTGTAAAAGCCAAACTTTGCGGTACTTTTTATATCATTATGTATACATTTATATTTATATCTAGATACATAGAAGGCGTCGCGCGAAGCTAATACATACTAATCCATGACGTGCATATATGCGATTATTTTTTTTTCTTTTGGAAGGTCCTTCTGGAATGTCTATAGACACTATTAACTATCACACATTAAAAGTAATGTTCAGTCACTTTACACTTATGCTGCAGACTCTTCCGAAGGGGAGAGACGGCCATGTTCCGTAAAACGCATTTAACATTTTCATACACATCCATATTTATGCGTAGAAAATAATATATACGCACAACAATTTTCCTATTAATTTCTATCGTTGTAGTAAAGAAAAGTACAGAAATTGGAACGAAAGCTACAAGAAACATACAAGTTCCGCGACAATTCGTACGATATTATCGACACTTTGCGAAAAATGAAGATTTATTGCGTGCAAAAGTAACATCACTCGCGCACATACGCATACACGCACACGCACACGCACACGACGCACATGCACACATTTCCATTGCGTTGAAAATAATTATACTATTGCATAAACGTACTATACAGCAAAGTAAACGAATAAATATGTGCATGTGCCTTTTATTCTTATTTTATCAAATTCCTGTTACACTTGTGCATGAATTATCGAGTCAGTCGCACAATGTATATGTACATCAATTGCAATTTGAAAAGTACGGGACATGCGAAACGATGAATCGACGCTTTATGCGTCTGCGAAAACAAATATCGCCATACTTCGGTATTGAGGTAGCATAAGTTACTTTGGATCAATGCAACGGTATGTCCGATTATTTCTTTTAAAATGTACCTCGATCGATCGATCGATGGGGGTATGATGATGAATATACAGGTATGAGAAGAGAAAAACCACATATATCGATAGAACGCAATATCTCAACATATTACTCTCCGATCAGAAGCGTCGATAAATCGCGTATAATCGACAACAAATCAATGTATATTTACTTTTGTAAAGTCTTTGGTAGAAATTATTTGGTACGTTTACGCCCGTTCGGAAGATCGTGCAGAGCCATGGAGCCTACGATGAATAGAACAGCTTGCGAGAAGAGTATATATGTTCATGGAAAACAAACAATCAACAACAATGATTGCTCAAGTATCAACAACATTAACAACATCAGCATTTATAACTTATCGTCCTTATTGTGATCGTCTCTCTTTCTTTTTCTCCATCTTTCCCGATCAGTTCATTTTTACAATAACCATCAATGTCTCACATCAGTCTTTCGCCGCATCTTCAGCTTTATATGATATTTATATAATTGGCAATAATAATGATTACCATCACGCGTGATCATTGTCTTCAGCAACATCTCATTTCTACATAGTATACTTAATTGTCGCTATGGTCAATTCCCCCCCTCCATGCGATCGTACAGTTTTCTTGCTGCACAATTATATAATACATTTTGCATTATTCTGCTACCGACCGTGTCTTTATTAACAATGAGCTATATACTTATATGTATCTAAAGGAGATAATATATAAAAGTACCTGCGCGCGCGCTCGCGTAAATGAAGCGATTTTTCTTCCGCAATGTTACATTACGCAAAATGTAATGTAATGCGGTAGTAATAATATCCATGATAATGGACACCGCTCGCCGAAAATATTATATAATATCCGATTATTATAATCATTATGCATAAAATTGGTCGGTAGCCCCCCATTTACGAAATGTAATTGAGTCGTCTAATCTTATATAACACATTTACTAACACACATTGTACAACCATTTCCAAATATCTTATAGTATAAAATGTCCATTCTCATAATTCTTTTGGTAAATAGCACATCAATCGCACTTCTCTCTTCATTCGTATATAATTTCATTATATATATATATAATGTGTGTGTGTGTGTGTGTGTGTGTGTGTGTGTGTATGCGCTAACATACATTGCCTGGAGGTATTTCAAATTCATCGAAATAATGGAGAAAAATGAATGATACTCTGGAGCTCTGATTACGTAAAAAGTAATAATTTGTAAATTCTATGTGTACAGAGTTCATGCTTACAGAGCTCAATCTTATAGATACAGAAACATAGGACGCAGTCTCCTTGATATATGGTATTTACAAGATGTCCCATAGTTAATACAAGCGGGAAGGAAATGATTCAACGAAAAAGTAAGCAACAAATTTTCTTATCTTAATATCATTGTAATTTTAAGTAATCCTTTATATATTTTTTTTATTACACAATATAATAGGCAGACTTAATTGGCAATTTTATTTTCGCACAAATGCAATATGTAACTATTTTTGAAAAATTCATTTATATATTTTCTTCGCATTAATCGATTAATCGTTAATTATTCTGTCCATGAGAAAGTATTAAAGTTATTGGAAAAAAATGGTTTCTCTATCTGATATCTCATATGTATATACGTGTGTCAGGATATACTGAAATATAAAAAATATAATGTATCCTGTAAACTATTTGTTTACCAATGTGTGATCTTACATCTTAATATTTTTATGTGATCTTACACCTCTCTCTCCCCCTTAATATTTTTATATGCAAGTTGACTAGGAGAATCGATTTACATAAAATAAATCAAGAATGTGTAAAAAATATCTCTTGTTTTCAATGATACATATATACAGGGTGTTTCAGACCATCCGTACCACCCATTTAAAAACTAGAGAAGTGGTTATTTCAAAAAAGTAATAACATTTTCTTTATAAATGCGCTCTGTCGAATAGTGATATTTTCAACTTCTGGTTCCGGCCGGAAATAGGCGATTCAGACCGGAAGTGCATTTTTTTAAACGGAACCCCCTATTTTTATTATATATTCTTGTAACTTATCTCGAGAGCTTTCTAAAACACTATAATAAATTAGTTCTCCATGAAGTACTTTTCGAGTTATAAGGCTTGAAGTCATTTCTTAATTTTACGTAAACCATAAAATATCTTGTAAAATATTCATTTTTCGATTATCTTACCTTAATACTTTTATGTACAAAATAATGAGAGAAATCAATTGGTGTAAAGAAAACACATAGTTGTTTCTAAGAAAAAATATGTAATTTGCAATTAATAATTCCATATTTTTTCTTAAAAACAACTGTATGTTTTCTTTACAATTGATTCCTCTCATTATTTTGTACATAAAAGTATTAAGGTAAGATAATCAAAAAATGAATATTTTACAAGATATTTTATGGTGTATGTAAATTAAGAAATGACTTCAAGCTTCATAACTGGAAAAGTACTTTGTGGAAAAATAATTTATTATATAATTTATTATATAATTTATTATAGTGTTTTGGAAAGCCCTCGAGATAAGCTACAAGAATATGCAATGAAAAATAGGGAGTTCCGTTTTAAAAAATGTACTTGCGGTCTGAATCGCCTATTTTCGGCTGGAACTAGAAGTTGAAAATATCATCACTCGATAGAGCGCACCCGATTTATAAAGAAAATGTTTTTACTTTTTTGAAATAACCACTTCTCTAGTTTTTAAATGGATGGTCTAAAACACCCTGTATATATGAAAAATATGAAAAATTTGTAATGTTAAAAAAATTTTTCCAACTATTAAATGGACGCTTTTTAAACAGATATCCTTTTCTTCAAATTATTTTTCTACGATTAAAAAAAGTATATATTTAAACATTTTATTGTTGTCAAACAATAAATAAATAATAAGGACACATTCTTGTTTAATTTAAACTAATTTAAGTTACTGAAAGAATCAAGTTTTAATGAAAAAGAATTATAGTAAAACATATTAAGCTTAACTTTTATTATGTTATAAATAAAACCTTATATTTATTGCTTTTATTCAGATGTCTAGCTCTAATCTTAGCAGAATTCATTCATTTAATCTAAATTCGATAAAGAAAAAATAAAACAAAATAAAATTATGTATAAAAAAATTTACTCCAGTTCTTTTTTATGTAATTCACTTTCCTGATTGTATTACACGATATCTTGCAACTTCACATTTCTTCAAAAGCAACGGTATATCCTAGAGACTCTCTACTATATCTTTGTACGCGATATAAAGTTAATTTACGTTGCTTCAAGTATTTACCGAGTGTTATAAGTACACGCTGTCATACGAACGCGGTATATAATATTCGCGACATAACGAATGTATTCTATTACGCGACGTTAATACTGAAAGACTACGGATTATCAATTTTACAAAAAAACCAAGCCAACTCAAGGAGAATTATTGTCATAATTATTTGCAACTGATATTTCGAGTTTTCGAAAGGAGTACTATTATAAAATATCTCTTTAATAATATATAATAACAACGACTGCCTGCTACATTTCGATATCTATATGAAAAATTGTCCGGAATAACTATCTCTTCCTCTTTTCGTCAAGAGGTATGCGACATATATAAATTGATGCACGTGCGACATAAAATGCATTCCTAGTATCGAATGTATTGTGTAAGCTTATCTCTTAACAGTTTTATGTTAAAACACACCTCGGTGTTACCAAAAAAATGTCACATTTGTCACATTTGTCGTATGTGAAGATTATTCCTAATATGATATTTAAAGCTCTTACAACTTTTACAACACATTTGCGCATAGATAGTAGCGATAGCTGGGGTTTTGGACTAGACGTGATGTGGTTGAATATGAGACAGTCGACTTGACGTACTGGATCAGGATTTCAGGCTACTATTCTCATCCAGTCGTCTCTCTGTCGCTACCGTTAATAGATTTGAAAATTCCATTTCTAGTAATTGTCTTGCCTATAAGGACAAAATGGCGCATTTGTTTGAGTTTGTAAAGTAAATGCAATAGTATAGTGCAAGATAAAACTCTGTAAATACATGTCGCGTATTTACCTGCGTATTTTGTGTGGGAATTTGTAAAGTTAACGCAAAACTATTTGCATCGAAACTTTCATCTAGAGCTATAAGTGCACCATGCACACCCGACTCCAAGAGATTATTTCCATATTCCTAAGAAAAAATTGATATAAATTTTCCAAATATGTATGATCAATTGCAACAAAATATCGGAGGATATCCAACCAACCTTCAAACCAATCGACTGTACCCATCTTATAACGCGATCGTTACTCCATACGAGTACATCTATATTGGCACTTTCTGCCACTCGTCTTCTTTCTTCTAATTGTTGTCTATCATAATTTAGTCGTTTTAAACAGGAAATACCATACTGCAAACTTGTTCTGTAATGTATTAATAATAATTGTAATTGACAATAATAATAATTATAAAAGTAATAAGAAATAGTAATGTAGTAATAATGAACAACGATAATAATTAATATTAATACATTAATCGTGTAAACTTATTTCTCTTAGATGATTTGCCTCTTATAATCTATAAGATTGCCTCATTCAACATTAATCTCTCTGCACTTTACCTGTGGAAGCTGTCAACCATTCTCAGTTGACCACGAAGATCTTTCTTTGTAAGATGATCGAGCATTCTAGCATCAACAAGGCACTCCATGAAAGTGGATCGGTATTGAGGCAATCCGAGACTCGGTAACCAAACATTACCTATCCACTCGTGATTCATATCACCAAATGCTAATGTTGTGCGAGAGGTTTTTGGCGCTGACGGACTCGTAAGCGACACCATCTCTTGAATGGCTAATCTCAGCTTTAATCGATGCAAGGGATTGCTGTTGTGTGAAAAAGTACAAATGTATAAAGAATAATTATAATATTATACAACTTTTATAATGTTTACCATAAGAATTCAAAGTAATCTCGAGTTATTGGACGATGCGATTGTTTTTAGGCAAGCGTGAATTTCTTTGTACCTTATGCCAATCTCTCTTTGAATCTCGGTATCGCTAAGAGCACTCATGATAGCACCGCTTTTGACGTTTGCTCGGCAAGCAGCGACATACCACGTCGGCATGCCCACCCACAGCTCCAACCATGCGACTACCGTTGGTCCATTCCATAGGGCAAAGGGCGTTCCTGCTTTCATTGCTTCTGCTAAGAGCTCATGCCGCGAAGAGTCCAACATACTACCAAACATACTCGGACTAAAATAAATATGCCAAGGATTGTAATAATTATAATTATTATATGAATTATCATCGTAAGTCCAATATTATTATACACATATAGTGTAATAAGGTTTTAACAATTTTTTACGCATAATATACTGCGGTATGTGGATGATAACTGCCGTCTATATAATGCAAATCTAAGAAAAAGCATTTTAACAAAAAAAAGTTTAATTTATAATACAATACATATATAACTCTTTGGAGAAAATATTATTTCTCCTTTATATTTGCAATAATTTGAAACTCAGTGGCAATTTAGACAACTGAGGGTAGACACGAAAATATTAACAAGTGTGTTTAACAAGTACTAATTGTTGCTGTAGTTAAAGGTAAAACAAAAGATATATATATATATATATATATATATATATATATATATATATATACACATGAAACCTCGCAAGAATAAAAATCGAGATTCTAACTGAATCTCGTTTCCTCACTTTTGTTACGTTCAAAACCGTAGAAAATATCGTTTCACACGATGGTTATTCACGAGATTCGCGTGTTTTTTCTGTGCCGCTGGAAGAGAGTTTGCGTCCGCAGCTTGCTGTGCGATTGGATCGTTATCTCTTTTCATATTATTTGGGAATGACTTATCATTTGGCTTAACGCATCGAAGGGATACAATGAAATATTCTTTCATGGTTTACTCTTGAGGTTTCCGTGCACAAAAAAATTATTAATTAAATTATAAATTACATTATCATTTTTTTCTAATTTTCTAATTTAATAAATTATATTTGTTAAAAAAATTAAAATATATAGGAGATTTTTATAATTTTGATGTAAATACCTCTTCTTTTTCCTACGATCGAAATCACTTTTGCTTCCAAGTGTACCAGCTACAGATACGCTGTCCCCATAATCAGGATCAGCTGGCGTACTTGCACCTCCCATACCTGGTACATCTCCAGGCATTGGTGTGTCTTTCCCTTTAATCTAATAATAAAAGATATGACGATTATCTCATAGATAATATTTTACAATCACGTTGGAGAATAATCAAACTCATTTCAACATATTTCATTTTTTTTCTATATCATACACAATCGATGTATTGAAGTTTATAAAATTTCACAATAAATCTTCCCATCAAGATACCTGAGATGCATTAATCATTTGTAAAAAAATTTTTTTATTATTTTATATTTATTTTATTGACATTTATACTACGCTCACAATACATTTCATGTGATACGTGTGTTTCTACACTCTGTGTCTCTCTTTCTCTCTCTCTTCTCAATGTATTTATACTTACTTAAAATTTTATATGATGATTGAAAAATTTAGTTATATTAAAATTAACTATAAATGTAAAATTAGCTATATAATACTAACGTATTTATGATTATTCGAAAATTAAATATTGTAATTCTCTTTACATATAAAATCACATCTCTTAAAAGATTAATAATAAAATAGAAAGTGATGAAAATAATCATATAAAACATGTTCTTATCTATCTGTAAAAACATTTTCAAAAAGCGTCTCAGAAATCTTCATAAAAAAACTTCATTTTTTTTACAAATTTTTATATCCTATATATGTAGCCCATAGGATATAGAAATTTGCATATTATTAGGAATTTAAATAGGAAAATTTCTCACCTTTTCCTTCTTACTGAAAAATCTACCAAGACTGCTTTTAATGCCTTTCTTTTTTTGAGCAGCTGCGACCGCAGCTGCCGTAGCGGGACTCATGGTTGATTGCATGTGCAAATGTGACGTCGACAATTGTCCAATAGGCAGTCCGACGCTGGAGAAGTTGTTCTTGTGCAAACTGTCCTGGCTGCTGTGGCGTGAGGACAATGGGGAAGGGGGAGTTCCAGAATTCAGTGCGCCGTTGTTATGCTGCCCATGCCTGCTGCATGGAGCGCTAATCTAATTTCTATTTCTACTCTAATCGATGCTACTACAATCGCGCGAAAATATTCGTTTTTTCTACCCTTTTTTTTACTTTCTTCTCTTCATTTTCTACTCTTTTTTTCACCTCAATATATTTATTGCTATGAATTATTATTTTAACATTATACCTTACGCATAACATATTACTTAGCGCGGTAAAAAATCATCTTTATCAAATTTATTCTTTACTGCTTTTGCATTATAATAAATGAGAAAATGAAAAGAAGACTGTGTTGTATCGCTTATTTTTTAGTTTTATACTATACTTTCTGCACTGCTCAAAGACAGAAACTTACAGATTCGAGTGAATTGTGATGCAATCATATGCAATAGCCATAACGTTATATATACAATATATATGTATATGTATATGTGAACATACACACACACACATATGAGCGTATACAATATATTAAAAATAAAAAAAAATATATCAGTGAATCATCAAATTAATACAATCAATATAAGCATATCTAATAAATCATTATATATATATATATATATATATATATATATATATATATATATACACAAATACATAAACAGAAAGAAGAGAAAAAGAAAATATTCTTTACCTATACTTCTCTCTAATGATATCTTACTTTTACATAATATTCAATAATATTTATGTACTCGTATATCTACAGTAATAAGAACAAATATAGTACCTACTCAGTATTACATATTAGACATACAAATCTGGAAATATTGCCGATTAGCTACTGTAATAATATGAAATTATCATGTAAATCGGTAAAGACAAGTGATTACAAAGATATAATTGTTGCATATTAGAATTAAAAAATTTTGTGCTTTAGACAAGAAGAACGACAATTTCAATATTAATTAAATTATATTACATTTTGCGTCGCTACATATTTTATCCAATATTTAATACATTATATCTTTGTAATCTTTGTTTTTGCTTTTATACACGGAATAATCTTATGCATGAAACGGACCGACACATTGCATACATCAAATCCAATTCTCTCGATTCCGCAAGTAACTTGGTCTGTCGAAGATCGCGATGTTTATCACGATCATGAATTGGGCAGGCTTGAATGTACGATGAACGGGAAAAGGAGCTATCGATCCCTTCTGGGATTTTATATTTATCAGATCTATCGGGCGCTTTATTTGTGCCACTGTGCTCGTGAATCGTTACTGTAAGCATGTAAACGATACATACTATATATGTATATCATCATTTTTAGAATCGCTACATTACTCACTTGAAATCATAGAATTTATATATATATATCTGTATAAATTCTATGATTTCAAGTGAGTAATGTAGCGATTCTAAAAACGATGAACAAATATGTTACCATCAATGTGACTTGCTTTAATTTCAAAGTCGTTCATCTCATGCCCGCAGGAGCTATTCAAATGTGTCGTGCACAGCGGCATATAATAATGCCATTTACATGCAATATTAATATCTTTAATTAACCTGTGCGTGGGGAAACCACTGCTTGGAAATCCACTCTGTCCGGTACGTCTGATAGCATAAACAATGAAAAGTACGAATAATTTAAGAGATGATGTTATAGAGATAAATTCTGGCTAGGCCCATCTTTCCGTAGAAGCAATATAATTAAGAGATAACAGATTAACAATTAAGATTAATAATTAGGGTTTCCCCACATTAGATCAAGATCATGGCGCAATATTTTCTGTACAGTATTGTTATGTACAATATTTTCGCCCATCTCTATAATTGTAAAAATAAAATTAAATGCTGTGACTTTTAAAGATGTAATTGCCAAAAGGAAAAGAGTGCCAGAAATGATATAATTTACATTATAAATATATATAAAAGCATTATGTGAAAGCATATACAATCAACGTAGCGTCAAATTGATTAGAGATTCGAAAATTTTGTAAAATTACAAATATACATACCTTCTAAGTTCTTCTTGACTGTGAGCCAACGCTTGAACCACTCGTTCCAATCTCAGTGACCTAGCTGTTAGAGGAGAAGCTGCATCGCTACCACCACTTCCCGCACCGCCGGTACCATCTCTTTCGCTAACCGAGTGTAATTCTTCCCCTGACAATTGTAACTGTCACAGAAAATAGATATTATTCTGTAGATATTAAATAAATAATAAACATGATATAAGCAATGATGAATCTTTTACACTCTTTTACACTCTTCTCTAGATTAATAATAATAAAACTGAAACTTGTTGACAAACCTGGCTAGCAGGAAGAGATTCTGACAATTGGCCCGGACTAGCTAAAGAAGCGGCATATTGATGTAAATGCGCTGGAGACATTGACGCGGGTGCCTACATGAAGGAGAAAGTACATAGTATTATGAACAATGTAATCAGAATTTGCTTAAATTATAATTAAACTATATAATTATTGTATAAGTATTGTAAAATTAGCAATATTACGTGATTACTAACGGTGTGGTACTTGTGCAAATAATCTCTATTAGGGCTATGATGTGATTTTGGAGTGGATCGACCACTCAATGGCGGTGATGCTCGTTCGAGGCTCCGTCCTCTCGCTAATAGATTCATATGCTCAAGGCTGCCGACGCGAGATTCTAATTCTTCTGCACGCGCTTCCGTACTCTGCTTTTCTTCCTATAAAATTAAACTAATTTCGAAATGCGTACAAAATCATAGAATAAATAAAAAATATAAAACAAAATAAAGTAGATAATTTATGAATTCATGATATGTTACAATTTCTTGGCTCGAGTAAGAGTTAATTTTTTCCTAATAAAAATAAACGCAATTATTTTTTGTAAAATTACACTTCTATTCATAAAGTATAATTAATTTTTACTGAAAAACTTTAATTACTGAATTGTTAACATTAAAGTTTTTGCTTAAAATTAAATGTAAAAAAGTATATATAAATTTAGTAATCAAAAAGTCCTCCAATTTTCAATTGCTTAGAAAAACTTGAAAATTACATTATAGTCTGTTGATTTTTCAGTACTGCATGCAGAGATAAAAAAGATTGTACAAATAAAAAGTAATTTGTCAAATATGTGATATATTCTATTTTAATCGTTTCATATTAACGAATTTCAGAATTTAGTTTACGCAAAATATATTCGTATACCAAAATATTTATTCACCTGAATTAATCTAATTTCCTTATTAATAGCATCCAATTGTTCTTGCAGCATCAATGCCAATGTTTGAGCATCTGTATGTCCAGTAGGGCTAATTACATCTGCTGCACAACTGAAAATACTTTCATTATCTCCGTCACCCTCTGCGTCGCTCGAAACATCAAACGCTTGTTGAACGTTGGCAAGTACATGTGCTTGTTGCAGTTTTTCCCATTCCTGCTCCGCCAAAGTTCGTGCAACATAATTCTAGAGAGCATCAAAATTCATGTTACAATTTCAAATATGTGCAATTGATAAATAATTTTTATATTTTTTGATATGTAAAAGATGTGCAGTACCTTTGATGAATCTTCTTCCATAGATCGTTTACCTCTTCTAGGCAATGAGTGCGTATCAAAACTGCTATGACTTGCACTCCTTGAAAAGGAACCTGGATCTACAGCATTCGGAGATAAACTTCTCGTCAACGCGTCCGTTTGTTGAATATTAAATGCAATCTCCTGCTGGAGCATTTGTCTTTTAACATTGTCAATTTCTAAGCGCGCTTTTCCTAATTCCTTAACAATGTCAGTCTTTTCATTTTGCAGATCTTCCGCTATCTTTCTCGTCTTCTCGAGTTCCTGAGTAAGAGCATTCTTCTCTTCCAATGCGTGCATCCTTTCTTTCAAATGTACTTGTAATCTTTCATTAGATTCTAAACAAAAATTTAAACTCTTAAAACACTTTATGTGTAAAATTCTTCATACGTGATACACACACACACACACACATACACACAAACACACACATTATATACATATATATATATTTTTTTAAAAGCATGTTGAATAACCATTGTATGTATAAAAGTAAATAGGAGCCATGTTTAAATATCTGTCCTACTTATCAAACATTTATAAAGGAGTGTTACATATCCACAAAAAGTTATATAATTCAAAGAGATAACTATAGTAAGTAATGGAGAAAAAGATTCGAAAGAGCTAAAAATGCTTATATAAGTATATATATAAGTATAAATAATTGTAGGAAAGTCTAATGTAAAGAAAACATTGTCAGAAAAAAAAAATTACCAGATAAAAGTTTATCAACGGTTGTGCTAAGACGCGTATTATGCTCCTCATTCATCTTAAGCCGTTGATTAACGCGCATTACTTCTGCATTTTTTTCTTCCAATTGTGCCTCCAGTCTTTGGATTCTATCCTCTGCGCTACCATGCCTCTCCTGAGCCTGCTTAAATTTTTACATAATTAAAATTATCTGTTATAAATCAATGGTGATTTATAACATTATGTCGACTTTCTTTCTTTTATAATGACATGTATTTTATAAAGCTTTTTATAAAACTGTGATATTTACAAAATGATTTCTTTAAAATCTCTTTAATAAACTTTGATATTATATCAATATTTCTCATAATTATAATTAGAATATGCATTACATCGAAATGTAATTTAAGGCAATAAATTAATAAACGCATATAATGTATTAATTTATAATTTATTCTATATAATTATTCTAATAATTCTTTCTATATGATCTAAATGAGATTGACATTCTAAAATGGAAATACAGCAAGAGAATAAGAGCGCGTTATATTCAGATGAGCAAGAAGAAAAAAGAGAGAATGAACGCACAAAAATAAATGTATATACGCACGCATACACACACACGCACACGCACACGCACGTACACGCAAGTATGCACGCACGCACGCACGCACGCACGCACGCACGCACGCACGCACACACACACGCATACACGCACGCACATACGCACACACGCACGCACGCACGCACGCATACATACATACATACATATGATATTAATCAATAAACATTCAAGAATGAAACACACTATTCATAAACTATGAATGATGGTAATTGAAACATATTCATCACTTGCAGAAGTAGTAGATTTTGTAGACCAAGTTGATTTCCACTATTCACACATGCTGCATTGTATCAATTCGCAAATCATATAAAATAGAATGTGTAATTAATTTTCAAAAATAAAGAAATTATATAACTAAATTTTCTCTCTTAATGCAAATAAATTGAATCTGTAAATTTAGCTTTAGTATCAGACAATTTGTGTATTTTAAATTGTTGCAAAAACATACTGCAATACATAAAAATAATCAATCTGCATTATAAATATACATGAATCGAATGCTATTATTATGTATCATGTATGTATACATAAAGTATAGTGATGTAAGACACATGGAGCAGCAAATTATTATTGTTTTTTTCATTTATCTGAAATCAACTCAAACATAATCAGAACATTTTGCAATAACGATGCATATCAAGAAAGCTCTCTAGACACAAATTGTATCTCAGAAACGTTAAAGTGCAGAGGAATAAAAAAAAGAGGGAAAATTAACGAGATGTGACGTGACATGATTCCCCTGCGTACCTGGTTGGGCCTCCTCACCTGCGTCAGAGCCTCCATCCTCTGTTTCAATTGCTCTTCCATTTCTGGTAATTTAGCATATTGAGCTAATTTCTGTTCCGCGAGTTCTAATTTCTCCTGTATAGCAGCGATTTTCTCCTCTTGGAGCTTGAATAACATTATATATTCAATTAATCATAATATCATTGTGTGTATATTATATATACACAATTATAATAAAGATATAACAAATGAAAAGATTAATCAAATTACCTTCAATTGAGCTTTTTTATGCTGCAATTCCTGCTCCAATTTTTCATTAAGGTCATGAAGACTAGTGGACTCCCGTTGAGCACTGAGATATCGTTTTTCTAGAGTTATTATTCGCTCCTCTTGATCCTCTTTTTGCGCTGCATTCTCCCGCAAATCTCTTTGCAGTTTGAGACCTGCTTCCTGTGCCTTTAAGAGATCCTTTTGTGTTTTTGACAGTGTTTCCTCTAATTCGGCAACACGTCCGCTTAGTTCCGCTACTCGTCGTTGCCACGTACTTAATTCCGAACTCTATAATGATATTTGCAATATTTTATATCGATTATACCAATTATTAAAAAAAAAAACTGTTCAAGCAGATCGTGTAGAGATCGAGAGGTATATGTAATTCAAGTATGCAAAACCCTTCGTTAAATCTTACGACAATTATCCTATATGACGCTAAAAGACTAATTTAGAAAAGTTTTCATATGCGTATATTCATACGTGTATATTCATACATGTATCAATCGTTTCTAATATTTGTTCTGCATTTCTTACATTAAGAAAACGGCAAAGCTTTTTAAACAAGAAATATTGACCAAAGTAAAATCTATACTTAATTACTAGTCATGCAATATATAACTACTCAATTACAAAACAATATTTAACATGAATATTTATTGTTCATTCCACATGCCATAGGCACCATTAAAGATATTATATTAATAATCATCGAGAAAGGTATTTTTTACGTGTTATAATATTAACGGTTATATAGGTATTTGATGTTAAATTAAATTACATAAGTTAAATAAGGTTCAATGCAAGATATCTGAAAAATGTTGCTAGACAGCTTTTTAACTAATTTGAAATCAATTTTTGTATCAACAGAAATGTTGAGCAAGATTGTTATCTATGGTTAGGATTTTTATGAATCTTTGCAACTCTAACGAGAATAAATTTAAAATTATAATTTTATATTAAAAAAAATTTTTTACTCTCTAACAATAAGTAACAATAAGTTTATAATTTTGTTTTATTCGTTTTAAAAATTCCTTCTTTCTCAATCGTTTATAACTTGAAAATATATCGATGCTTTGACATTTTCGTTAAAAAGAAAAAGACCGATTTGAAAAAATCTGTCGTCTATAGTATATTCACACAATCTTTTTAAGACATTTTATAAGTAGGTACGAATGCGTATATACACAGTCGTGTGTTTAATTAATAAATTAATAAAAAATAATTCTATGAGCTACAAATAACTTCATTTCTTACAAATTGAAAGATTTAAAATCTATAGCATGTTATTTACTAAGAAATTTTCTCATGCACTCTATAAAAAAGTAAACAGATGTAAGATGAGATGTGTACATTAAGTGCTTTTATAAATTATTTTTGATATAACATTTCTTAGAGAATTGTAATAATACAAGCTAATAGAATATCTATACGATATAAAAATATACTTAACATAATTATATCGAGATAGCTCGCAAGATGAATATTATCTAATACTTTCCTGATTTGAATCACACGTTTATGCTTAACATTGTGCGTAAAGTGAATAAAATTCATGCAAAATCGAAAATAATCGAAATAATATTCACTTCATCAATTTGCGCGTGCGCGCATGTGTGATTAAAAGAAAATTAAAAGTGTGTGTGTTGCGATGATAAGATTATATATGAAAATTTATCATAGTTTTTTTACATATATTTGCATACAGAGATGAAAGACTACCTGATGTTTTGTGACAGTTGAATTTTTCTATATATAGCCACTTTCCACCGTAATATACTAATACTAATTCGTACCTGCTTGTCGAGAGTGGCTTGCAAGTCTATTACTCGTACTGCTGAATCCTGCTCGGCGAGATCAAGACTTCCATTGCTCAGTCTACTGCCGACTTCAGTGGACTTCTCTGTACCTGGTTTTTGTACCGGTTGTTGTTGTTGTTGTTGTTGCTGCGATTGGTGTTGCTGATGCTGTTGGCTCGTTGTCTGCTGAGTCTCATTCTGCCCGATCACAACACTACATTCAGAATGCCTCGCTCGCATTGCCTGTCCTGCATCGCCGCACACTTTCCAAAAAACTACGTATAGACAACTACGCGATTGTACGACTATCATGCACGACACTACGGTAGATACATTCGTATGAATTCAGCGAGTCGATGAGTTAAAAACAGAAAAAATGACTCACTATCATTTATCATCAAATAAAAGTGCACTTTTAATTGATTTTGAGGAACAGATACATAAACGTAGTAGTAGTGACGATATGATGATATGCTGACATGGTCATGACATCATCTTATGTGCCGCTTTATGCAATCTTTAATATTTTTCTATGATGTGAAATATGAAAAATGTTTCGATGAAATGATAACACGAGAGACGTGAGATATGATTCTAAAATTACAGCGAAAAATTCATCGATATGAAATATTTTAAGAGAAGGCAAATATATATATTACCGGAAAAAAATCTTTTTCTTTTTCGACTCACATCTATTACTCACACTAGAAGCTTTCGATACAGAGACTTTGACAATAAATAAAAAAATAAAAAAAAAAGTTCTAAACGTTAACAAATAGGTAGGAGAATAAGAGCGGGAGGTATATGCTAAACGTGAGAAACATGCAAAGTGAGAAAAAGTTCCACAAAGTGCATTTCTCAAACAAATTTTAAACATTTCCATTTATCCATGATCGGTACGAGATATGAAAGCGACGTGTTTATATGTGAATATCTGTGAATGTTGTGAGTGCACACATATTTTGATTAAAATCCAAATTGACAATTTGTTTTTGATACCTTATTCTGCTGTTGACCTTCGTCCGCCTGCCCGTTCTCTTTTGGTCTATCTTCTATAGCTTTTGGTGGATGCCCGCTTACTTTATACTGCTGGAGCTACAACCACACGGGGTTTGCATCAGATAGCGATAATAATCGGTGTCGATCGGTCGTTATACATTTTACTTCCTCTCTCATTCTCTCGAGAGAAAGAAACTTTGATACACATTCATGTGATTTTGAAGTCTCAATTAAATTTTTACTGAGAAAGTGTCTTGAGTCTTTTAACTTAATAAAACGCAAAACTTACTTCTTCTTTGGTATGGGCTAGCTCTTCCTCGAGACTCGTATTCCTTTCAAGGGCCACGCGTAAACGTTCACGTACCTAAAAGTTCAGCAACATTAACTCTTTATCAATTCATACATGTCGTTTATGCACGCGTACATATTTTCGCTAACATGAAGGAAATTTTAAATAAATAATGATGAGGCATTCTCATTGTTGATTTAAAACTGTTGTTTTGTTTTATATTGAAAAGCACTCGATGCATAACAAGCCGCAAATGTTTGACATATATTTAAACAGTACAATGATATGATGTAGCGTCATTGCATGTGCATTGCTTCATTATCATTTCGTGATATTGCTTAAACGTATAGCAAATTGATACGAGCGTACACGCAAGTTTTTTTGCCGCATATGTATGATTTTATATATATACGACTTTATTTATAAATTTTTCTTTTTCTTTTTTTATCTATAAATTTTAAAAAATTTTTCTTTTTTAAGTATGAGAGGAACTAAATATTTTGAAAAGATAATTAAATGATTTTTTGAATGATTGATTTTTCGATACACATGTATCGATCGCGAGATGAAAATCATAAATCGAGTAATACGCGCGTCATAATTATGATATATTTCTATTTTGTTTGCCCGTAATTTCATCAAACTTTTTGATGCATAATCAAGAGATTAATCGTTAAAAAAGTCATTCAATTATCTTTCCAAAATATTCATTTATCTCTCATACTTATTAAAAAAAGAAAGAAGATTTAATAAATCAATTATCCTTGATTTGCGATAAATTGCAATATCAGAATATAACATAAATAACAGATGAAAGACAAATAGCAATACCAGATAGAACACGCATACCTTTTCATCCAAAGCCTTGTGATGTTCGAAAAGACTTTTCAAAGCTTTGAGTACCTCTACCTCCGACGATACGCCAGATTGTGCGGCGGCTTGACGTTTTACAACTGTCATCCTGAGCGATCGTTCATGTCGTGATACTAAACACTCCAGATGTTCGAGCAAGAGCTGCAAGAAACGATAAATTACGCTACACTAATCAAGTCACGTCAATTAATTATAATTTCAATTTTTCTTTATGATTTCAATTTTTATTTTTATCGTTATATTTGCTCATTATATCTATTGTGTATTTTAAAGATTTTTGAATATTTATTTATTAGGAGAGAAAATAAAGAAATCAAAGAATCTAGAAAAGGGCCTCAAGAGGTTATAAGAATTTTAAAAAAATGAAAACACTTTGGTTACGCACGCGTGTGTTGTTTCGTTCTGCCTTTAATTCGGAAATTTCCTCTTCCCTTTCCAAGATACTCTCTCGTGCCGCTGCCAATTCTTTTGTCAGTTGCGAGAATTCCTATACAGAAAACATCATATTATGTTAATATTATATAAATATTATATTAATATTATATAAATGATAATAAAACTATTATCGGATTATTTTAATTGCGTGAAAATATTTACTTGTATCATTTTATTTGTATTTATTTAGTAAATCTCTGAAATGTCAATTTGATTCTCAAATCAAATGTAATTTTTAAATACCTTAATTTCCTGGTATTATTTAGATAGGCAATTTGTATTTTATAAGCTAAGAAACTATGTACTGAAATTATATATTGATTTTATATTTTGGTTTCCGATTTAAATGATATCATGCGTTTGTTGCGATCTTTTATTTCTGATTCGCGAATGATAATGTATGATTTCTGATTTTTAGTTTTGATGTAATTCTTGATATTGATATTGATGCTGCTCTCGATTTTTGATTTTGAGTTTTGAAATTGATTTTGTCTCTATTTTCGTTTCAGTTTGGATTTTGAGAATCATGATATTAGATATGTTAGATACAGGAACACCAGGAATATTAGAGTATTAGAATGCTAGAATGTTTAGAGAAATGAGGGAGAAAAAATAGCATTAGACCTTGATTTAGATAAGGGAGAGAGAAACTGGAAAGAAAGAGAGAAAAAAGTAAGCAAGATAGAGAAAACAAGAACAGCTCAGGGGATACGATGAAGGGATAAAAATTGCAATTGAAAATAAGAAGAAGAGGAAAGGAAGAATCAGAAACAAAGGAAGTTAGAAGGAGAAGGAAATTGAAGTCGGAGTAAAATACAGGCAGAGAAGAGAATTATACAAAACATAGTGGATACATAAAAAAAAGAAGAGAGAATAGAGAGAAGAGGAAAAATTAAGAGCTAGTGATGGAGAACAAGTCAGGAGGAGTTAAAGAGAAATAGAAAAGAAGAAAAAAGATAAAACATAAAGAGGACATAAATAAATAGGATAAAAAAAATGGTAGAGAATAGCAAAAGAAGAGGAAGGCAAATTGGAAGATAAATTAAAAGGTGGAGAGTTAGAGAAAGCTGGAATATGGGGAAAGGGAAGGAAACGTCCAAAAAAAGAAGAATCGCATAAAGGAAGCAAAGAGAAGAGTAAGAAGCACAAACGGAATAATTAAAACAAAAGACGATGAAGAATAAATTAACAAGAGCTAAAGAGAAAAAAAGAGAAAAAAAAAGAACAAATATACAGGAAATAAGATAAAAGGGGGAATAACAAATAAGAGAAAGTTAAATGGAATACGGAAAAGAGGGAAAAATGGTCAAGAAACAAAAAATGGAATGGTGAAAAAAAGAAGAGAGCATAAAGAAAGCAAAGAGAAGAGGAAGAAGCACGAATAAAAAGATCAATAGAATAAGAAGCAAGAAAAAAGAAGAAGAAATCAAGGCAAATGCCGAGAGAAAGTAAACAAAAAGGAGCTAAAGAAAAAAGAAAAGAGAAAAAGAAAAACAAATATACAGGATGAAGAGGAGAACCACAGAAAGAAAAGAAAAGAAAAGAACAAGGAGAAAAGAAGAAGAAATGAAAAGAAGCGAAGAAGAAAATCTGAAAAAGAAAACATGGAAATATAGAATAAGAACCGAAGGATATAAAGCATCAATGGAGAAATAGAAGGAGAAGAAGAAAGTGAAGAGGAAATTAGACATAGAATTAAAACAAAGCGGAAAGATAACAAAGATAACAAATGAAATACAGAGGAAGACGAGAAAATGATCAGGAAATAAATGGGCCAGTGAGAAGAGAAAAAGGAGACTCATATGAAGGGATCAAAGAAGAAAAAAGAGAAATGAGGAATTTATAAACAAGAAAAGAAAACAGGATAATTAAGATAGATATTACTAACAATAAGTTGAAAGCGACTAGGGGGATTAAAGGAGTAGAGAGATAGGGTTAGCAAGAGGGTGGATACATAAATGGAGGATAAGAAATGTATTGTAAACCAAGTCCCATCCAAAGCCGAAAAGCATGGATTAAAATAAATAATTAACAATAAAATATATTAATTTCCTGCTTTTCATGTAAATGTTTTTTTTTTTGCACGATCACCGATTTTACTATCTAATAATATTGCAATATTCACAAATATATTGCGCGTTTACAGTCGTGTTCTTAATCTTTTTAAACATTCTTATCTATCATCAGTTAAAAAATGTTAACGTTACGTGCACACATATATATATATACAGATATGTGTGTGTGTGTGTGTGTGTCTTGATATATGCGATAAAGTTACGAAAATAGTGATAGAGGGAAAGCGGTATTCTACTTGAATGTGGAAGTCTACTTTGTTCTTAATTCGACGATAAAGAACAAATTTTCAATTTCTGTCATGCACACATAATGTATATAATTTCACCATATCGATATGCAGAGAGTTGCACGTTCTCATGTTTCTTGCAAAAAACTACATTTGCACACTACTGGATTTATGAATAGTCTGTTACACTATTATAAACTATGTGAGAATTTAAATGTCGCACATAAATCTAATAATTTTTATAATATGTGGATCAGAATTCACTTGCAAACAAGTTTTTTAACACTAAATTTCCTTATCAAATAAATACGCGAAATAAATTCACTTTAATTGTAGGAAACTAGCAATAAAAAGATATATTTTCGAGAATCAAACGGTCATAAGTTTTATTTGAACCGCATGATAAATAAATATATACAAACAGATTGTATACCAATTGTATAAAATAAACAATCCATGAATAGTAACATCTTTCACAAATTATCTTTAGATAATTATAAATATATATTAAATATTTTTTATATTCGCACTAAATATCTACACATGGAAATAAAGTTTTATTATTTTGCCTAAAATATTGGAAATTTTGATTATAATTGGAAATTTTGATTATAAAAAAATTAGACCACGTATATGCCAAAGATTCTAAATAGAATGCAGAGAATCATGTCGCATGACGATAAACCGATAGTAGCTATTCTATTTCGGTGTTAATCATGTCCAAACACATGCTTGCCATAATTGGCAAACCTAACCACATAGGAATTATAGTTGGACACTGAACGTGTGTTTCCCATACAACCGCACGCGTGTACTGCGGATTAGAAACTATGCAGCGGTCGTTACGCACATTCCGCATCTCTATTATTCGAACATACAAAAATATCCATTTTGTTTTATTTACTAAATGCAATTTACAAAATGCAATGCAAAATGTGATGCGACATTATGACGTAATATATTGATATAAAAAAATAATGATATTAAAAAGTTGTTGAAAGATATACATAAGGCCAGATGAGTCCACGTGTCGGAATCAATATATGTCAATGTTGGCACGTATTAGTCAAATGTTATGTACTTATAAATTTCACATGATCAATTTACGATAATACATCGTCAATGTTGGCATTGAACAACATTTGTGAGTTTTTGGAACAATATCAGAAAAGATGGCCAACGTTGATCCACTAATAGTATTTTATCATATTTTATCTAATTGTAAATACTATCTAAATAATTGGGCGTATATAAATTGGGCGTTATAATGTATCACTCGTCATTTCACTAGGAATTTCCCTGCACACGTCTATGAATATTTATTTATTTATTTATATAAAGAATTTTAAAAAATTGCAAATCAAGTTTTATTTAAAAAATTTGGTAAAGAAACATGCGTTTCAAATTAAAGCAATAAATTAATTTTTTTAGTCAATTTTTAATCTGTGCTTCTCTTTAAAAATACCATCTAATATTTCCCTTAATCGTTGTTTTTTCTGTTTATTATTTAGTGGATACTGATACAAGATACTGCGATACAAAAAGTAATTACAACAGTATCTGCGATTATTATCTTATTCTTGCTGTCTATTTTAATCAATTGGAGAGTATTTGCTAAAGTTTATTTTACTATTAGTCCATATTCATATTATTAATATTGGACATATTATGTGAATATCAATTATGTGAATTCATATCAATATGCTAATGCATTTGGCACGATGCATTAATCATAATGTTGTATAGAATCGGTTTAAGAATATTCGTAAGAACAAAATATACCATATTATCGTATCAAAAAATTATTATAAAATTTAGGAACCTATCTTTTTATGTGTGTTCACAATACTACAATAAAGTCGGATCTAGATCAAGCAAACGAGCACACATCAATTTCAGTGAATGAGTTTGAAAAAGGAAAATCATTATATAATCTTTAGAATAATTATTATGTAATCTATTTTATTATATATATATATATATATATATATATATATATATCTAGAATAGTTTAAAAATTTATAAATAATTTAAATTTTTTATATAAAATTTTGTGTCAGACAATTTTTCTTAAAATTTTCTCCATTGATATTTATTCGCAATCATTTATATTTGTTCATTTGATTTGAAGAGAACCCGATTTGAGACAATAATAATAATATCGGAATAATAATATCGGAATAATAATATTGGAATGAATTACATAGATATCGCAAAAATTAATCTAATTAATGAAATTATTGGCAATAACGTAACGTATGTGAAGGCAGATAAGACAAAGTAACTAAAGAATGATACAAAGAATCATAGTGAGGAAAAGGAAAAGAACAATGTAATAATTAAAATGTACATTTCGTATCTCATGTCGATTGAATCACTGTTTTATGCCAGCTTTGTTCACATGAGTGGATTCAAATTAACTGCACATTGAAACAATACAAAATCAGTTAAACGATATAATAAAGTTAAACGATATAATAATTTCTATCAGTAGAATAAAAAGAAATATAAAAAAATTCAGATACTTGGCACATTTCATATTTGAATTTACTTCAGAGAGGAATTTTTTCAATTCCTTATGAGATGCTGAGTGTGATGTGAAGAGTTAAATAAAGAATTAAAAGAATTAAATGTGGTCAAAATTTACTTAAATTTAAAATAAATCACTTTAAAAAAAATAAAATAAAATGAATAAATTATACAGAATAAAATTGTTTACGATGCTATACAATCGAAACGATGCTACATAA